AAATGTAAGGCCAGACACCATCAAACTCTTAGAGGAAAACATAGGCAGAACACTCTATGACATAAATCACAGCAAGATCCTTTTTGACCCACCTCCTAGAGAAATGGAAATAAAAACAAAAATAAACAAATGGGACTTAATGAAACTTCAAAGCTTTTGCACAGCCAAGGAAACCATAAACAAGACCAAAAGACAACCCTCAGAATGGGAGAAAATATTTGCAAATGAAGCAACTGACAAAGGATTAATCTCCAAAAGATACAAGCAACTCATACAGCTCAATATCAAAAAAACAAACAACCCAATCCAAAAATGGGCAGAAGACCTAAACAGACATTCCTCCAAAGAAGATATACAGATTGCCAACAAACACATGAAAGAATGCTCAACATCATTAATCGTTAGAGATATGCAAATCAAAACTACAATGAGATATCATCTCACATCAGTCAGAATGGCCATCATCAAAAAATCTACAAACAATAAATGCTGGAGAGGGTGTGTAGAAAAGGGAACCCTCTTGCACCATTGGGGGGAATGTAAATTGATACAGCCACTATGGAGAACATTATGGAGATTCCTTAAAAAACTAAAAATAGAACTACCATACGACCCAGCAATCCCACTACTGGGCATATACCCTGAGAAAACCATATTTCAAAAAGAGTCATGTACCAAAATGTTCATTGCAGCTCTATTTACAATAGCCAGGACATGGAAGCAACCTAAGTGTCCATCAACAGATGAATGGATAAAGAAGATGTGGCACATATATATAATGGAATGTTACTCAGCCATAAATAGGAACGAAACTGAGTTATTTGTAGTGAGGTGGATGGACCTAGAGACTATCATACAGAGTGAAGTAAGTCAGAAAGAGAAGAACAACTACCGTATGCTAACACATATATATGGAATCTAAAAAAGAAAAAAAAAGGGTCAGAAGAACCTAGGGGCAAGACGTGAATAAAGATGCAGACCTACTAGAGAATGGACTTGAGGATACAGGGAGTGGGAAGGGTAAGCTGGGACAAAGTGATAGAGTGGCATAGACATATATATGCTACCAAACAAAATAGATAGCTAGTGGGAGGCAGCCACATAGCACAGGGAGATCAGCTTGGTGCTTTCTGACCACCTAGAGGGGTGGGATAGGGAGGGTGGGAGGGAGGGAGACGCAAGTGGGAAGAGATATGGGGACATATGTATATGTGTGTCTGATTCACTTTGTTATAAAGCAGAGGCTGACACACCATTGTAAAGCAATTATACTCCAATAAAGATGTTAAAAAAAAAAGCATAGCCACTCTTGTTTCTCTGTATTCTGCTCTGAAGCCAGTTCTTTGCTTATGACGTAGCCAGTTAGGTAAAAATCTGAGAGATTTTCGACATCAGAAGATAAGTCACAGTATACTATACTATATTAACTATAATTTTCATCATGCTTAATCTCTGAAAGTCACTGGTTTAAACTAAATTGGATAAAATTTAGAAAATCTAGCCAATTGTTGAAGCTTTCCTACTCAGTATTACATAGATTCATGTAATCTCCTAAGCAGGTGGGTACAATACGTACTCACCTGGTGCTAAAATCACTTGGCTCTGGCAGATTCATGACTATTGCATTATATTTGTTGAGTAGGTTTTTGGACCTTGGTCATGAATATCTTTCAAAGATTTGAAAGATAAATACCTTTAAGCCTCTAATACAGATTACACACTCTGACGTATTTACTATTGTCAAGAAAACTTTCGTTTCAGCAGACATTTCCTTACTCAGTCTAGAGAAGAGATTCCTTATAGCAAAGGACTGATTGACTGTATCCGAAGGATAATGTTTAATGGGTTACAGTTTAGCTGGAGAAACATCTCGTCTTGTTCAACATTTAGCTTTTTGTTCAATTTGTAGAAGAACAGAGGTTGCAGCCTTCTCTCGTTCTTGGTTAGACAGGGATAGGAAATACACAGCTAAGAGGGTTACTGTCCAAGACGACTCTAAGATGGTCTGAATGTAATAAGAAAATGTATTGCGGCTACATGTAAACTCTTGTACTTGAGTCCAAAGAGTCGAATGTTCAATTAGTGCTCAGAAATAGCTGTGGAATTAAGAGTGCGTCAACTAAAATCACTTATGGCAAATGAAGTGGCAACCTCTCTAGCTTCCCCAGGGCCAGCCCTGCAGAACCGGGGAGGTGAGCTGTGCTAATTCGCCGTAGGGTCGAGGCCGATGCCACTGCCTGGAGAGCCCAGAGCTGAGATGCTTCACCGTGTCCCACGTTTCCGTGAACTTAAACTCCCTGGCAGCAGCCGCTCCAGGATGAACTCCGCGGGCGACAGGAGAGGTCACCGCAAACCACAATCCTTATTTAGAGGTGCTGGCTTTAAGTCATGAAGAGACCTGTCTCGCTGGGTGTGTGCAGGCGGAGAAGACACTGGTACAGCAGCGTCTGCCAAGGAGCTGCCCTCACGACAGGCGCAACTCACACGCCCGCCTTGTTCTACATCTTATTTGCTGTGCGCCGTGCCTCATTCTAGGAGAACGGGTATTGTAGTCACCAAGTAGCCTAAATTACTGACTAATCCTGTCTTAACAAAAGAAGCCTTCCCTCCAAAATACTTCCCATGTATTAGAAGCACTTTTCTCAGGAACACTGTTCTGTTGTTTTGTACACACGCTACAACGACTCCTCCAAGGTCCCCTCAGGGAGTGAGGCCAGCACACGGGCCCTAGCATCTTATATACGCAGAGATTGTTCTCACTGCGGCAAAGAGGAACACTCCTGTTTTTCTTGAAAGGCACAGTTCTATTTAGCTTTCACTTCCCCATTGTGGGGCCTTAGGTGCAAAGGCACATGTTTCTATTATAAAGACAAGAACATCCTGATGACTGGCACCTGGCTCTTGCCGGCAGGGTCGGGAACTCTGTGCACAGTGGACGGTGGAGAGCCGACCAGCCCAAGGTCGCTGCTGCCACTTTAGGAGGGCAGGCCTGGTGTTGCTACCTCTTTTTTCTCTTTTTTCAAGAGATGCCAGGAATGCTGTTTTGAGTGTACGTGTGAACAATTTTAAGTTTAAACTGTTGGGTCCAATTTAAATTGTGCAAGCTGAATAAAACATGTCTGAATTGGTTACAGCTTACAGGCTACCCGTGTGTAACCTTTCCTCATTACCTTGATGTCTACAACTTCATGTTGAGAATAGAAGAAAAATCAGAAACTAAACATTCAGCATCCAACAAAGAGCTATATTCTGTTCCACAAACAATTCCACACCAATTTCTCACTTACGTTACCAGTTAAGAATGACTAGAAATCAGCTAGTGGCAAAGACCAGACCGGTTGGGGTAGGGCTTGGGGTGGGAACACTTCACACGCCTATCTGTACTTGGTCACCATCTCTGGCCGACTGACATCTCTAACTGCTCAAGAGTTTGCTAGGTTTAGTAAGGTAAGTACTATTCCATAAAGTCCACGCTTCTCTGAAATAGAATACACACGTGGAATAAGTTTTGGCATGTTGACTTCGCAATTTATATCCAGACATAGATTCTTCAAGTTAAAGCTCACTTCCTATCTCCCCCTTCCACTTGTCCCCATGCAAAGGGTGCTCAGAATAATTGGCAACTTCAAACTATTCCAGAAGATAGAGAATCTGACTTAAAAAAGAGAGCTGGAGTGAATCAATGGAGGGTAAGCAGTGCTCTGAGGTCAAACATCTGTTGGGTTTTGTTTTGGGATGGAAGCCAAATGATAGCTCTAATCAGAAAAATAATCTCTCTTCCAACTCTGGATATAAGATCAATATTGAGATGGACTGACACTGTCATTTCTCCTCAAGGCCCACCCTGGAAACGATTTCTCATCCTCTGAAGGATGCACACTCTAACGGGCTTTTCTAGGTGTGACAATGTAATTACAAGGTGACCTCTCTGCCTAGACCCATCAGCAGCCCCCTAACTTGTCTTCCCAAATCCACGCTTGCCCACTTCAGTCCATTTCCACAGGAGAGTGGGCGAGCCCCACTCTGATCACACCCACCTGTTACAACTTTTAATTGCCCACCATTGCTGTTAAGATAAGCACCCAAAGCCCTGCAGGGTCTGGCTTGTGCAGCTTCTTCAGACTCAGACTTTTCTCCCTGTCACTGTCGACACGCCCAGCCCCACAGGCTCTCGTTAGTCCTTGGAAAGGGGCAGGTTCCCTCCTGCCTCGGGGCCTTCACACACCCACCCCTCTGCACTCTAGCTCAGAGCCGAGATCTCCACTTAGATGGCACTTTGTGGAGAAGCCATCCCAGACCTGCCCTCCTGGTAGGCCAGGTTCTCTTCTGTATTCTTTCATAGCTTTACTGTTCCTTCCTTTCCTTAAGGGCATTTGTCACGGTTTACACGTGTATGACTGTTGGTTAACGTCCATCTCCCTGAACAGATCAGAAGCTCCACCCGGGGCAGAATTCACTGTTGTACCCACCACGGGGGTCACAGGAGTAACTGCAGAACTGAATGATCTTAATCTGTTCACACTTTTCTGCCCAGTTTCCTTTACAATATGACATACGTTTATAAGCCAGCTGGTCTGAGGTGTGTAGTTAAAGCAATTCTAAATGAGGAAAAAAAAAGTCTGAGTGATTGCTGAAAGGTCAACAAAGACTTTCTTCATTGAAGGAACTAAGTGGTTCAGTGAAGAATTAATGACATTTGGTTTTACATTCTGAATGAAGAATAGATTTATTAGGAAATGGTTAGTATAGTTAGTGTCGAGCAGAAAGGTTATTTTTATACTTCTACTTTTCCAAAAAGAAGACCGCCCCGTCCGAAATCCCATCAACACAGTCATGCTTGGCGCCAATGTCATTCTTTCTTACTCTAGAGGTGTCATGTGAATGTATGGGATGACTCATTCTGCCTCTTCCTTTTTCAAGTTCCACGCTTCTTGGGTAGATCAACACCAACACACAAAGTCAGAGCACAGAAAAGATAAACTCTAACAGGCTTTTATTACCTTTTCTTCTGAGTCCCCTGGTTGACAGGTAATTACTCCATCTCTTGATCCTCCTGCAAATGTTGCCTTACAGTTTGCAAGCCACTGTTGTCAGAAAGAGATACAGACATGGGTAAATTCAGTGATGTCCTAAGAATGTTTTTACAATCAATTCTGTCAGGAAAAATAGATTAAGCTTCTAATCACAGTAAAATAAAATTTTTATATAACGACTGTTTGAAAACTTTTTGGTTAAAGATTAATAATTTGAAATTAAAATATCTGCTTAGATGGGTTCAGTGATGGTCATTTAAAAATTTCAACATTTATCATTTCAGTGTTGTGATGTATCACCCTGAAGAATGGTTTCACCAGGCCACTCCAAATTTATGTATAGATTAAATTCACATATGGTTAGAAACCTTTCATACGACTGAGGTTAGGAGACAGGTCCAACACTTCCTCGCAGGCTGGGTCATCCTGCACAATGCACCCTGACTCACGGCACACCTTCTTCTCTGTTATTTTGAGGTGGCTTCTGGGAGGAAGGTCTATTTCACTGTAAGAAAGGCTACTATAGTAATAGCCCAGCTATTTAAAGATTCTGTCGGTCTTAAGTATCTGGAATAGTAACTAGTATAGATGTGAAAGGAACCTTTGGGCAGCAAACAATAAGCACTGAAGAACGGAAACTCACACTTGACATCAAAAGACTGGCTCGTTCACCAACCAGAATGAAAGGATTACTTTTATTAACTGATGACCGAGAAGCTGGAAATCAATGACAGCGAAAGAGCCACAGAAATAGAAGACAAAGGGAATTGTTGCAGTAGAATGTCAGAACTCTCTTTGACAGGTCATGAGATAACAACAACAAGAAACAAAAACCCAGTAACTTTAGAATGAATATCTTCTATGTATGATGCACTTGTGCTGGGCAGTTTACATATATTATTTCTATTTTAAAGGCAATATCGTGTTGTGGTTACGAGCATGGACCTTTGAATCCCACAGACCTGGGTTTTAATACCGCTATGCTACCTCCTAGCTAATGAGAATAATAATAGCAACTCCCAGGGTAGTTGTAAGCATTACATGATTTAAGTTAAGAGATGTAACTCTTATCAGGTTGTTGGATACATAGAAAGGACTCAGGAAATGACAGCTGCTATGACTGTTATAATCGTTATGTTCTTACAACAGTTCTGCAAATTACTATTATCACTGTCTTATAGATGATGAATCTGAGATGAGGGGAGGTAACTTACCCAAGGTCACTAACCCTTCAGTAACTGAGCTGCAATTTGAACTCAAGTCCATCTGACTTAAAAATCCATGCTCTTTTTACAGTGACTGGTATATGATAGGAAGTGCTCCATGGAAATTACACATGGAAGTTGTTGGAAATCAGGGGGTTTGCATGGATGGTTTCTGAATCACTTCTGGCTCTAACATTTTACAATTTACATCTTTGAAGGAAGAAAAAAGTAAAGAGCAGGAGCCGAGGCCAAGAGAAACCACGGAGACGGAGAAGCAGCTACCGAGAATGGTTAAAAGGAGAAGAGAGGGCTTCCCTGGTGGCGCAGTGGTTGAAAGTCCGCCTGCCGATGCAGGGGACACGGGTTCGTGTCCCGGTCTGGGAGGATCCCACGTGCTGCGGAGCGGCTGGGCCCATGAGCCATGGCCACTGATCCTGCGCGTCTGGAGCCTGTGCTCCACAACGGGAGAGGCCACAGCAATGAGAGGCCCGCGTACCGCAAAAAAAAAAAAAAAGGAGGCGAGAGATGAGATCCGTCTCAACCAGTTTTGGGTGAGGCCAAACACTGGAAGGAAGTAATTAACAATTTTAAATTTCTGAGAAAAGAAAAGTTGTTGATAAACTGACATATTAAGCAGATACCCACTTTCCCCAATTTCTTGGTAGGGAAATTATAGGGCTAAAATCGAAAGCCGAAAAATTTCTCTTTTGTAGGTATAATTTTTATATAATCCATAGTACTGACAGTTCTGCCACCATTAAGCTGGAACTGTAGTCCTTCACAGAAGAATAGATGAAATCTGTCTTCTCCCAAAAGAGCCTCTCTTGGGTAAATCACATCGCCTCCCAAGAGCTCACAGTGGTTGGGTTCATTTGGTTTTAACTAAATGTATATGCACAGAAACATAAAAGCTTACTGAGAGGGTGGCCTCTTTTCTGTTGTTGTAGGTGTCCAAATATTCTTGCAGTTCCAAAACACTGAACTTGAGCTTGTCCAAAAGTCCACAAGAAAGGAGCTAAAGACAGGAAAATAATTTGTATTAAAACAACTTCCAGAGAGACACCTAGACAAAGGCATGGCTATGCAGAGAGAAAAGAGAAGTATATTTAGATGTAAAGTTTGGGGCGGGGGGGTTGGTAGCATCCATCTTAATAAGCTGTGCAGTTTGTAGTTTAGCTCCACTATCCACGGCAATTGCATTGGGTACCGCTCATCCAAATCTGTGAAGATATCCATCTTCCCCGTATCAGTACAGACGGACAAGTCTTAACAAGTATTCCACAGAAGCCCACATTAAGATACAGCATCCATTTTATGCATGGACTCTAGTGTCTTCATCCAGTAATACTCCAAGCAATGTGAAGACAGACCGCCAAATAGGTTTTCAAACTGATTTTGTATTTAATCTGTACTTTAAATCATTAGTATTATATTTATACAGTCACGATTCAGCAGTCAGCCAGGGACTGTTTTAATCACCCTTTAAACCAGCGGTCCCCAACCTTTTAGGCACCAGGGACCAGTTTCATGGAAGACGATTTTTCCGCAGACGGGGTGGGGTGGGTGGGGGAGGGGTGGTCCAGGCGGTAATGCGAGCCCTGGGGAGCGGCAGATGGAGCATCGTTCGCCCGCCCGCCCACCCACCCGCCGCCTACCTCGGCTCTATGGCCTGGTTCCTAACAGGCTGCGGACTGGCACCGGTCCACGGCCTGGGAGTTGGGGACTCCTGCTTTTAAACTCATCATTTGCAGTTCGGCTGGACGAATCCATCCAGAGGGCATTCAGTCTCTTGGAAGTAGGGAAAGTGGTAACATCGCTGCCTCTGGGGACCCATCCGCCTAGCCAACCTGGCGTCGTGGGGACTGGCTAGGTCCGCTCTGGGGGGTTAGCTCACCATATTCTCAGCCTTCAAAGTCAAGAGTCATCGGAGAGAAGTGACAAGGCCGCGAAGGGAGCACAGAGGGGGCCCTCCTCCTGATCCCCTGCAGTGACTGCCTTGGCTTGGGCTGGCCATGCACAGTCATGCCTGTGCAGGGCCAGGCCTCTGGGACTCATAGCACAACAGAGCACCGCTCGCAAACACTGAGAGTGTCTTTCAAACAAACCACAACACACGTGTGCTTCCCTGAAGTTCCACACCATCAGCTGGGCAGGCCATTTGCCGCGGGAGCAGGCCTGAGATACTCACGGTCTCGGCGTCCACGAAAAGCGTGGGGCACTCGGAGCAGGAGGTGAGCATCTGGGAAGAGCTGACGAACTTGGATCCGATGCCCCGGAGGTTGTCTCCAAGGTAACTGGCCGCATCACAGGTTAGGAAGCAGAACCTTTTCTGAATATTCTGAAAGGCAACATAATTACTATTTGTAAACGGCCACGTTTTAACTTTTGTACTAGAAAAAACTATTCTTTAATCTTCATAAAACTATCAAATGAGTGCAGGTCCTCCATGTAGTGGCAGGGGGGTGATAGGGGCAGAGTGAATGTCTTAAGTCAAGTGAGTAATCACCCAGTGTGAACAACGTTTCTTCCTAAAATGTCATTTCCCAACGCGTGGGTGCTCATATAATCTTTTAAATAAATGCTGCTTTTGCTTTTTGCTGATTGTCAGCACCAGTCAGCAGCCTGAGTCTGCCTAGCGTGTTTGTCAGATGAGTGAGAGTTTCTGAGATTATTTCAATGTGGGTGAGAAGAAAAAGGTCATGAGATATAATCTGTTTCCCAAGATCACAGCTCCCTGAGATAGAGCACTAAAATGGGCCATAAAGCCTCTGACGAATGAAAGAGTAAATTCATGGGACCTGTCTCCCTGTGAGAGCGCCTCCGATTAGGAGTCTGTAACTGTCCGATAGCTTTGCACACATCAACTCATCAATCCTCACAACCAGGTGAAGGAACTGAGGTTAAGAGAGGTTAAAGGACTCAAGGTCATGCAACTAGTAAGTGAAAGAGTAAGGATGAGCTTGACTTCTAAGTTCATATCCCTTCCATAAACCTATAATGCTTCCTAAATGTTACTATTCCCCCTACACTGCCTGAAGAAAAACCATAATTGGGAAGAATCTGACTCACTGGGCCTGTGTCAGTGCCAAAATGAGAACATTTTTAGCCCCAACTTCCAACACACAACATCTTTAACAAAAGGAACAAAATATTTAACCAAAAAGTAATTCTGGTTGTAGGCACTGGCTTTCCCCCAAGAGATGTCGTACCTTTTGAGTTGGAGAATCTAACCCACGAGAAATCCTCTCTGCCCTGTTATGGGGAAATTAGCAGGTCCCCAAAACAGCAGCAGGCTCTTGGTTCCTTACAAGTTATACTAGAAAAATGCCTACCATGTTGCATATTATTTATTTTTTATTTAATACCTCTGAGAATCTTGTTATAATACATAACATACGTATGTCTTTATGGTGTTTTTAGTTTTATGTGCAATTAAAAAAAAAAACTCGACAGAATGTTGCTGCTGAAAGGAACAGGAAATGCCACGTGTCACCAGCTAGTGGAGTGGCAGAGCCGGGAGTAGGATCCAGGTCCTGCAAATAGTTTGGTTTCTTTCCATCTTACTTAAGGATGTGGTGAGATCTGGGCTCATTTTTGTATTAAAAAAATTTTTTTGGCCGTTCTGAGCAGCTTGCAGGATCTTAGTTCCCTGACCAGGGATCGAACCTGTGTCCCCTGCAGTGGCAGCGTGGAGTCCTAACCACTGGACCACCAGGGAAGTCCCTGGGTTTGTTTTTTATTGTACTGAGAAGCTAGATCTTTCAGGGAACTTCAGAGCCACATATGACTTCCATATAAAAATATCATATAATTTGGTGACACTGTATGATCAAATGACAATATTCTAACACAGGAGCAGCAGGAAGGAAATACACTGACTGAGACACTTGGAAAGCCACCCATGCTGGACCTTTAGAAACCATTTCCTTGTTTTTAAAACCAAATTATTTTTGCAATTACCTGCTCTCTACCCCGTCCAAAATCCAACCAAATACAGGGAAACGTGGTGTCCAGACTCACAGGAAAAATGTTAGAAAACAGTAAACAGCCATGGTGAGGACATGACGAAAGATTAACAGACTGCATGTCTGAAATGTGTTTCATTTCCAGCATATTGGATTAATACCGATTTTGCTACCCGTGCTACTCTCAATCACAGAGCATTTGATGGTAGCTGAGAAAGTTCTTAAAGCTAAATGTAATATTAAAAACTGAAATAGGAGGTACACGTTTGTATTATTATTATTGTGGATAAGCTCCTTAGAAATTGGTCCAATACGCTGATGAAAAAAATCCAAACCCCAATGTACCTCCCAGGGCCCAGCCCCACGTCCCAGCTCACATGACAGTCTATTGCCGTAATGGCATTAAGTCAGAAACTGTATGTTTAAGATTTACATTGAAAAGGTTTTTTTTCCCCATTCATTCTTTCTGCATTTACTGAGCAGCTACTGTGTGTGAGCCACTGTGTGCCAGCTGCTGGGGAATCAAAGCAAGACACCATTACCTGCCCTCTCCCGGGAGACAGACACCTAAACAAGTGTGACAAGTATAACAGATACAACTACAATTGGCTCGGGATCCTAAGTGTGTGTGTGGGGGGCAGGTAGAAAGAGGTAAAGGAAGGTGTCATTCACTGAAGTGACAGCCGATCAGGGATTTGCATGTCATTGGGAGCACAGCTGTGGGAAAAGAGGGGATGACAGTTCTCGGCAGAGGGAAAAGTACTGCTCAGGACTATAAAATTGAGCATGAAGGGTCTAGCAACTGTAATAAGAAAAAATTACTACAACAGGCAAACTTAAATATACATTATTAACCATTATTTACAAATTGACTTTAGAACAATATAATAAATTACTTTGCTCCTGAATCCTTAACAATTAAATTTACCTCAAATGGTAGCTTGTGGATAGTTGTTGTTGTTTTAAAATTTCAGTCTGGCTTAATGTTAGGGTGTTTCTGGATTCTTATCTTTCAGCAGCCCATTGTTTTCTGTCTTAAGGCTAACAGTCCCTCCAGCCCCCAGTGCATCTCAGACACCACCTTAGTTTTTGTCCATTCACTTTTCTAACAGGTCTCACGAAAAGTAAATTGAAAACCTTGAGAGACAGCAGCATGAATAACACTCAGAATACTGAGAAACTAGCTCTGAGTACTACTGGTATATACTTCTCCTAAATGGAAGGGCCTCCAGGCTCAAAAACCAAGTTGACTTTTATGTTAACTAAATTATGGCTTCCTGAATTTGAAATCATTTAAAGCAGATGGTCCCAGTTTTTTCATTTTCCACTTTTTATATAATTCCTCATTTCCCTGCCTTTCCCATGGCTCTTCCTGAAGGAGATCAGAGGGCTTCATCCCTCAGTCCAACTACGTTACCTTGCCTCTCTCGTGATATACTCAGCAGAACTCAACCTCTAGAAAAGTTTCACTGGCTGGCACGTTGAAGGACTTCATGTTGGGGAAAGATAAAAGACAAGGAAAAACACAGTGAATTAAAAAGAGGAGAGGTCTAAGCGGAAAGAAGAGGTGGAGGCTGGGCTTGGCAGAAGGTGCCACCCTGTGGTCCTGAAGACCTGGCTGCCTGCCTGGGACTGATGATGCCAGTGAAAACCAGAGTGGGGGAGCGAGGGGCACAGCACGGCGGCCTGAATCCGAGCGCAGCGTCTCCACAGTGCCAGCCTGAGAAGGCTGAGTAGATGAAGGTTGAGGAGAAGAAAGGATGAAGTCAGAGGAGACTGAAGGAGGTCAGGAGGACAAAGTAGTATAAACCCTGCACTTAACCCCTTCAGCTGGAGGCCGGCTGGCTCCCCGAAGAGACCGCAGCCCCTGCGCGTCTGTGGCCCCCTCCGCGGGCGCCGTACCTTGAACAAGGAGGAGAACACGTGGAACGTGTACACGGCGCAGGAGCCGTCCGAATCGCACAGCAGCTGGTTGACATGACTGCGCCACGCCTCCTCCGCGTCGTCACAGGCCGCGGGCTGAAATGCAGCGAGGATGGCCGAGAAGAAGGGCGAGGGGGGCGGCGAGACTCCCCTCTCCCCTTCTCCAAAGCTGGAACGAAGGCAAACGGCAGCGTCAGGAAGTGGCGTCCTCCTCTCCTTTGCCAGCCTGTGTTAGTTCTCACCCTGAGGCACCCATTCTGCCCACTCCTCCCGCTGGGGTCGCTTTGGGAGCCTGGCTCCCATTCAGAGGTCTCTCCAAGATTCTTTTCTGACTCTAGAAAAGAGAATTTTCACCTGTAGAATTTCTGGGATTCCTCCCGCTCGGATTTCCTTTATAGATTCGGTGCCTCTTTTAGCCTTCAGTAACTGCCCCTCACTTTCCTGGACAGCCTTTCCCCGCACACAGGATACATTCATTCCTGTGCTGTGGCCTATTGCAGTCCTTTTCATTTTTCAATACAATAAGTGATAAGTAAATTTCTGAATCTTTTCACTTTTCGTTTGTGGAGGGACAGTATTAGTGGGTGCAGATACTTAAATGCCCAGAAGAAAAGGGCAGAGAGAGGAAAGGAAATGAAAAAAGAGAAATGCAGGGGGAGACAGAGAGGAACGAAGAAAGAACGAACTGTGAAAAGTCAAAGTTCTTCTCTAGCTATCACCGTAAGCTGTTTCTCTGATGGACGGATATGGGTCACCATAACAGAAGGCCTCTGTCCAGCCACATCAGAAGCTTTTACTTCATTCTTATTTTCAACGTTCAGAGGAGTGATTTTAGGATTCTGACTTTCTTCTCCTAAAGTAAATCTGTAGCATTATCATTTGTGATTTATTCTAGATGCCACATTAGTGGGGTTTTTAAAAATCTATCCTCTTTATATTTTTTCCTATTTGTATTCTCTGACTAGATCTCACTTGTCTCAGAAATGTCAGCCACGAGGCTGAAAGCCACCCACTTAAAAAAAGAGTAGGTATTTGGCTTATAAGAGGCCTCTTGTTCTGGTCTTTTAACTCAAAATGAAAAGAACTCCCTATTTCCAAGCCTTGCCAAGCTTGCTTATTTTCAAAGCTTACAAGACCATGTCCCCAGGCTCCCCTCTGGCTTTTTACGTTACTCCAGGGCTTTATGGGTTCCGCATAAGGCCCTGCTCTGGGGTTGGAGGATTCCCACCCGCCAAGAGCCCTCCAAGTTATATGTCCGCTTGGACTCCTTTGTTAGGAAGTCCCAGCAGCACAAGCCTGACATTTAACTGGAGTGAGAGCAAAGCCAGTACGATGTGCCCTGTACACTCTTCACCTGGCAAGAGTAAACTGGTCCAGCGCTCGACTGCCTTTTTCTTCTGCCTCGGTCATATCCAGGCTAAAGCTATCGCTGCATTCGAAAGTTGCCGGGAGCTCGTTGATGGAGCTGGAAAGATCATCCTCATGCACGGTAGTGTCCTCTGCCTCCTGGGCAGCGCTGACCTGGGAACATAAAAAGAGAAAAGAATCCCCCCAATATGTAAGACTATCCATAGGAAAATCTGCAATCCTGAGAGTAATAGAAATTGGGGGCATTTGTCTTCTAGCTACGGTAGAGTCAATTTCTATAACTGAGCTCAAGAATTCTCTGAAGTACTGTTCTTTATCTTCTTTTCAGTCTTTTCCGGGAGAGTTCCCGAAGAGGCTCTCAGTAGATTACCATATTTGACCCACGCTTATGAAGTATAAAATGCTAAACTTGGAAGAGACTGTAGAGACCCCCTGGTCCAATCTCCATATTTTATAGATGAGGAAACAGCTGTTCCACGTGGGAAAAGGACGTGCCTAATATCAGGTATATAATCAGAGCCAGAGCTGGGACTAGAGACACCATCTCTGATTCAGAACTCTTTTCATTGTACAACCCCAGTCTTCTAAAGCAAGTTATCTGGAGTTAACTCTCCAATATATTATATAATATGTCCAATATTACCTATGGAAACTAGAATTTAGAATTGTCAGTGCCTGGCATAATAAAGGCTCCAGAAGTGTCTGCGGTGCTCACAAGTGATCCAGAGTTATTCACCAAGCCTGCCACGTTGACAGGCCTTTCCATGCTGAAAATCCTCCGAGATCCATATACACATATGCTTTACTCTTCGGAATATCCCTTGAAGATAATAGATATGAGAGGCTGCTCTCACGTTGCTATAAAATGTAGAATGATCTGCGAGATGAAAGGGCTCTAGGGCAGGCAGAGCTGGGATCACCGAGGGGCAGGAAAAAGACGTAGCAAGTCAAATGGAAAAAGAGGCTGGGCTTGAACCTGGGCCAGGGGGAAATCATCTGGAGAACTGATTGTTCTTTGGGAGAGGAAGGAAGGCAACTGGATCACAGAGCAGAAGAGGAGAGGAAGAAATCACACATACGTGGTTCAGTGAGTCATTTTCTTAAAACAAAAACAAAATCAAGGCGAAATAGATGTATATATGAATTAGAGAGTTATCGTGGGCTGACATCTGGCTGCCCATTTAGTATTTTGAGTCTAGGATTAAATAGCGAAATTAGAAATGTTTACAGATATGTTAGGGAAATAGGTTATCTCATGTCTTTGAAGGAATTGCTCATAAATACTGTGTTTCAGAGGCGTATCCATATCTGCTGCTTCTTATTTATTTTATTTTTATTTTTTTATCTTTAAAACATTTACTATTGCCATTAAAAATATTTAGTTTCTGTCCAGTTAGAATTTCATTAATGGTCCACTTCATATAATTTTTGTTGTTGTTAAAAACTCATTTATCCTTTACCCCAAATTTTGAATGTAAACAGTAACTGTCTAGGTTGATAGCCATGCAGTTAACCAGCTTAATTTTGGCTAGAAGATTCACTGCTTTCTTGTGTCTGATGAGTAGGCAGAGCACTATATTTTATTTTATTATTTATTTATTTTTAAATTAATTTTTATTGGAGTATAGTTGATTTACATCTTCCTGCTTTTTAAAACTAGAGTGGTTCCAACGAGACTGCTGACTGGCCTGGGTTATTAGCGTATATAGACTTAATCTATTAGGGGTGGGCTGAGTTCTTATAAAAATATTTTCTGTTTTCTCTTTCTGACATCACAGATACATCAAACATTGTAGAAGCCCAGCTGATGTGAAAAACAGATATAGCTTTTCAGAAATTAGACTCAGCCTTTCCTTGACAGAATTCCTTGATAGATTTCTGTGTGAGTCCATGAAAATATTACTCCTTAGGCAATGCTTTGTATAAGGAATTATATAACTTAGCATTCAAAATAGAAAAGTTGAGAAAATGACTATTGCAAGACTGAGAAATAATAAATGCTAATAACTTCACATTTATTTTGTGATGTCCTTTCCATGAAGTTTAATCTCAGACAGTTTTCTTTCTGGCCCCTTTTTTGGCTAAAAAAGGACTCTGCTAATTCTAAGAATCCTGAGCATAGTCCTTTTGCAATGGGGAAGTCTTAGAAATAATTATTTTTTAAGCTTCAATATTTTTAGGTGATTGCAGTTTCATTGGTTGCCCTTGGTTTAAAGTAGATTAGAGTTTGCTAGATCGCAGACATATTTTTTAGCACACTGTAAAAGAATACAGAATAGCCAGTATTATATTTTTCTAGTAGAAGCATCAGAAAGAATATACTTTTGTAAATTTTTTTCTATTTCATTTTCTCCTTAAACTTATACCACCATAACCAAACTAAAGATAAAGAAAACTTTATCCTAACAGCAATAGGTTATTTTGGTATTTCTAATATAAGAAAATAAAATTCTGTACTAATGGGCATTTATGTGGGCACATATGTGAAAACAGTGTGGGAGTTGACAGTTTTATGGACAAGGTCGTTTACGGGAATATTGATAAAATAAACCTTGAATGAAATACACATTTTTAGATTTTTTTTTTTTAAAGCTGACCTTTTAAATCAGGAAATTGTGTCCATTTACTTACTTTTCTCCTCAGAGAGCCTGGCTAGGACAGTTCTGTGCATAATACTGTGATTGATATTGAAAATTCTGATAGTCAGCCAAAGGCGAGAACAGAATCAATGTACAGATTGTAAAATTGGTTCCTACATAGGAAAAAATTTCCCCCCGATACACGCATACACCCACACCTCACTTAGCAGATCGTTTTATAAAAGTCATGACAAAGAACAGCAGTTTCCCAGTCTCAGCAATCTCCGACATATACCAATTTGTTTTGCCATTAATCAAATGGCAAAACACGAGCAGTGTTCGTGCTCTATGGAAAATGCAAAATGTTTCATTTTAAAAGGACCTCAAATCAAATCTCCTTCAACCAACAGCAAGATGGCTACTCAGCTCTGTGAGAATAAAGCAACTTCAAAACCTAGGTTTAGGGTCACAAACTCAACTACTTCAAAAAAGAAAGAAAGAAAATAAAGATAGTCCCTCCACTTATAACCTGCTAAGAATGCTCAGAAAATTGGAAGTACATTTTTTTTTTTTAAAGAAAACTACAGTCAACGATTGCCAAAATCTCTTCACCTTTGAACCCTCAGAAATCTGAAGATTATTCATATCAGGCAGAGAAGCGTCAAAGCTAGCCATTCTGGTGTTAAAGGCATGAGGGTCAGCGGGGGTCATATCGCAGGTGGTCGTGAGTTCCATGGGATGAGTCTCTTCAGAAGGGGAGAGATTCATGATCTGTTGAGAAAGCATAGGAAATAAAACAGAGTGTGGCGTTCCCATTCTTCAAAAGCTCTAATTATTCTTTACATAAGAGTACAAACCAGTGTACAAGCTAGTTTTTGGTGGACAGGTAATAACTGTTTAACATACATACTTCACTGTCATTAGAACTTAAGCACACTAGCTGGCAAGGCCCAGCACTGAACAATACAAACACCCCTATTTCCAGATAACCCCATCAAAATGTCTGTGTCATATTTCCTCAAACTTCAGATGTCTGAGGAATTAAAAAAAAAAAAAAGATTTCAGCATAATAAAAGTTTTTTGGGGAAAATCTAGGCCTGAACGGATTTGATGGCTTTCAGGGCTTATAAAAACCCCAGTGTTTGTTTCCATCTGCAACCTACAGAGAAGAGACCGGTTAGAATCAGACACAACCTCATGTTTCAGAGTTGAGTTGAGCAGCTGTAGCAAGTTTCTTTAGCTGCAACTGGAAACTGCACTACTGCTGGAATCACAAAAAGAAGTCTCCCAACGTCTTGGAAAGAGTAGGTGGAGAGTTCCTACTTACTAGGTCAGCGTGCTCCAGGATCTGGCTGGTGGTGAGATCCTCCTCTTCGGAGGATTCATCGGAATCCTCGTGGTTCATTTTATTTAGGCTGGGAGAACTTCCTGAAAGCTGGCGCTCCTCCAGAAGCTGCATATCGCACTTGTCCAGACTATCCAGAGAACGCCTGCGGACTCCCCAGTTGAAATTGTCCATACTCTCGCCCTGAAATCACACCATCAGCTGCTTTTTTCAGGCCAAAGTCCTCCTGCACTCACGCCTTTACACAGTCGATTAGCCACAGCTTAGTAATAAAATTTTTCATTATGAACTCTCAAGCCCTCATGGCCTTGGGCACCAAACATTTTGCTTACATGATGTGAAAAGTAGTAAGAAGCACACTGTTTTCACCAAAATGCGTATTAAATCATAGGTAGACATGATTATACACTCTACTCTGGCACAGTGGGTAACATCTTGTGTTTTAACAAGCTGATTTTGGGATACTCTATAAATGATCCCTGTTAACAAAAATCTGTCAGAACGAGACTGTTAATATTAAAACAACTTCAAAAGAGATGTTCCCTCCCCAAACCCCGCCCCTGTTTAGTACTCTTTTCAGGAGAAAAAGTAGGAGCTCCACTTGTGGCACGTTCCACACCCTCTGGGTATTAAGTAGAAGAGCATTAGGTAAACATTCCAGGCTGTTGCTGCCGCAGCAGTTTTCACAGATAAAATGCAGCGTTAAGGGGTATCAGAGAGCAGCTGGGCACAGTCGGACAATCATGCACTACGCAGAGGCCAGAGCAGCAAGGCTTCAGTTTTGTTTTAGGCTCATCTTTAAATAATTGCCCCAATATAGAAAACAGTTCCTTCCCTAGACCTGAATGGACTGACTCGGTACCAAGGATTATTGCTGAATTGTACATTTGCACTGAGAACTGGGCTAAGTGGCAATGTAAAGTGTTAAATAAAGATTTTAGATACAGCTCAGACTTTCTCTCTACAAACCATCAGATATTAAATAAGCTTATGTGATGCACATAAATTTTTTTTTTGAAAACCAATTTGGGTTTTATTTTTCTCTCTGTTAAGATAGGAATAAAGCTAGAGAAATATTACTAGCTTATTGGTGAGCAAATTTTAACCTAAACAAATAGGTAATCTGAATAAAATCTAGCACAGAATCTTATTTATATTAGTCATTTGAAACACTGATGGTTCACTGACATAAGTAACTTTTTTTTAAATGTGATGTTTTATTTATTTTTATTTTATTTTATTTTTTTGTATTCTGGCCATACCGCATGGCATGTGGGATGGTTCCCCGACCAGGGATTGAACCTGGGCCTCTGCAGTGAAAGCACCGAATCCTAACCACTATGCCGCCAGGGAACTCCCATAAATAACTTTCTGATGAGAGCTCAGTAAATAGCATAATAATATAATTTCAGTGAGAGATGTAAATTACTATTAAAATTAATAAGCATTAAATTTATTAATTTTCCTCTGATTTTAAGGGTCTATTTTTTCTGGCTCCTAATGAAATGAATCTTACCATTCTCACAGATCTCTCATATAATAGATGCTTAGCTTTTCCAAAGTCTGTTTTGGCTATTCATGGTGGAAGGCAACAGGTAAGAATCCTGAACACATTCTGGATATGATATGGAAATTAGCATTATTCACCCCATTTATGATATTTATGATTGTTCTTAGGACTGTTTGATTATAAGACTCAGAATATGCTTTCCATAGTTTATAGCTGTATTTGTACCTTTTATCTGTAAGTGCTGTGATAAATTACCACCAAATGATTTTTTTTCCTGGTAGAAAAGGCTGACTGTTGTGCTGGTGTTTTAAAATAGCTGTTTCAGTGAAAAAATGAAAAAAAATGTGGAAGAGGCAAGAGTTCTAGGAAGAAAAAGAAAACTCAATGTGTGAAGAAACAAAGAGGGTAAAGAAAAATGAGATTACAATACGGAGAAAAAAGAATGTAAAAGTTACCGGGAAAAACGTACAACTGTAAAACATAATTCACAAAACAGATTCTCTTCTACCAAATCAATGGATGGGGTAGATGAACTACCTCAGGCAGCAGTTCTGGATGTCTCCCACACTGAACCTGGGTTGCACTGAGCTTGCAGAGAAATACAGACACCTAGGGCCAGAGAATGCTACACTGGGTATAGATTGCCATTGCTGTTAATTTGATTGCAGCTCAGGTGAAGATCTGAATCAATCAGGCATGGGAACTGGGAGTCAGGGAAGTTGTTCTTGCAGGAATAATATCTGGGTGTCTTGCAAGAAGATGCAATACCTCCATTAGAGGCAAAGATGTTGAAACTGTTTCCTTGGTGGTAGCTGAGGGGTTTAGATGGAACAGTAGCCTAGCCTACGTTAAAGTCGGTGGTGATTAAAAGTCAACTGGGCCTTCTCATAGCCCAGGAATACCCCTATTGGGAGAGCCACCTTCCAACTTCCCCACACCCAAATGTCAGATTTGCATTTTATGTTACCTACAAGGTCAAAAGCCAAAAGAGTGTTTCACTGATTAAGTGAGATTTTCTATGTGTGAGAAAATTTAGAAGATGGCTAACTATTCCTGATGGACAATTTGCATATGTCAGTTATCAAACTTAAATAACCACTCAGGATTTACACTGAGATGAGAAAGTATTCACGATTGAATGTTCCAGAAATGTTGGAAATCGTATTCTTTGATCCTGGAGTTCCAAAAAATAAGAATTATTGTTGAAGGAACCTGGATGGTCAAAATATGTTCTCCCAAATGTACCTACTTAGAGTAAGTCTATATGACACAGATACAGGGTGATTATAGGTCAGTTTGCCCAGGATAATGCCAGCTTATGCCTGTTGTCTGGGTGTAATTATTACCGGGCCCCTTTTACTTGAAAAGGGTCCTCATTTGGATCAAATTTTATATAGTCACCATCCAAAGATAGCTCCTAATTCCTGGAAAATAAAAGGGATTGGCAGTATATGTGGTATACTGTTAGATGCAGCTTCTTGATTTCACTTTTAATAAAAGAATTTAACAGCAAAACCAATCCAGCTGTGCAACTGCCTAATGAGAAATTATAGGATTTCCATGGATCATATTTAAAAACTCACTCTCTCTCAAGAGATATAATCATGCAACTTCCAGAACTAAACATATAAAGATTTTAAAACTATCTCATATTTATACTTCAGAAAATATTTCCCTTGTACAGCAACCAAGAAAAATACTTCTATCACACACATCTCAGTGTAAATGTGCAAATAGGCATACATACTCTCGAAGGGGGGAAAAAGCAGTTATGCAGTTATAAATCTGCAATGATGCAAAACATCTACTAGTGCATCTGAATTGAAAATAGCATCGTCTTACCTGAAGTTCCTGTGTAGCAGATTGAATGGACAGAAAAACAAATAAGAGGTCTATTTTAAATGATTATATTAGATACTCAAGTGCATTTGTCTTAGTTTTAACACAACAGCAACTAACAGTGCTAACAGTATATACGTCAGTAGATGCAACTTAAAGAAAAAAGACAAAGATACACTAACCCCATAAAGAAAAATTAGTATGAAACACCGGAAATTCCAAACCTCTTAGCGGTGGATGATGTAGTTGGTAACAAATCATAAATACAATTTCTGAAATAGCTTTCCACTTCGGTGACAACTTTGGTCTCCTCAACACTTTTTTTTTTTTGGAATGCCTAAATTTTTATCTGTGAGAAAATCGTGAAACGTCATGGAAAGACTAATGAGGGTCATCAGCTGGGGAAAAAAGGTGGCATCACCTGATCCTGCACACAAAACCAGAAGTGTTTGTGATCATGATCTGTTTCACTGCTGAGGTGCAATTAATAGCAAAGACACAGCACCCTTTAAAGATTCTGAGAAGTTCAAAGGCAAACCCTTAAAGATATTAGTCAATACATTCTGAGACTATTTAATGAAAAGGAATAGACATGACAAAAACCTTGTCTTTTTTTTTTTTTTTAGTAAATGTGTGTTGATCTAGAAGCCAAATATGCTTACCTTTGGCAGATGAGGAAATACTGAAATTATTCACCAAAGACAGTACAAAGGAACAGATATTTCGAATGCCTACTACCTGAAATTATGCTAAAAGCTTTACATAGGTCATCTTACTTGATCCTTACGTCAACTCTATAGGCAGGTATTATCACTCCCATTCGATAGATGAGGATGCCAAGAGAAACTGCATCCAGGCTTGAGCTGGGTCAGTGGCAGAGCTGAAAGTCAGAGTTGGACCTGCCTGACCCCAGAGCCCTTACATTTTCACTCTACCACTCTGTAAGCTCGCAAGGATCCCTTATTATAACCTTATTGAGAAGTAGCAAAATATCCTCAAATGGTTAATTTTATTTGGATAAAATATATACTTTCACATTCTTGAACTTCTTATAAAATATTAATCATACAAGATAAAATAATGACTATGATTTTTTAGTTCTTGTTGGCTAGGACAATAGCGAGAACACTAGAAGGAAGGCCTAGTAATCATTATTTATTGTCCTTGAAAAATACTAGTATAATATTTATTTTCAAGTGATGGGCATCTATGGTTTTCCTTACTTTATTTTGATAGAAGTTAAATTTGTTAGTTGTTCTGAAATTGTTTCTGATTTCTCTGACACCATTCCTCCTAGGTCCCTTCACATAACACATTTTTCTTTGGCTGACACTGAAAAATGATGCCTCTCTTGTCTCATCAATTTTTCTCTCCATAGTTTAACCCCTGAAGAGGGTGCCCAAGCTTGAATTCTAGCCTAAGAGCAAAGATTAGGTCAGTTGCTCAGACCAGGAAGCTAAACTTTTGACATTCCATATACCTCTGGATCATTTCGAAAGTATTCAAAACAGCTGTATTTTGCATTAGACTTTTTAAACAATCCTCACTGCATTTAGCAATTGATTTCTTTATCACTAATTATGGTTAACAGTCAGAAAACTCTGCAATGCTTTTTACTGGCTTGAGAACAATTCAAGATGAAAGCGTACACATTTTAAAGATGCCTTGCAGTTGGTGCCTTTATACTCTTAAAGGACTGGATCTGCTAAACTTGCTTCCAGGGAAAGAATTGGTAAAGAAAACATTCTTCATTCTGAGAACATGATTCTTCCTTGCTGGCACAGACAGCCAGGGTAGTCAGTGGCCAGCAAGGACAAAAATAGAGCTCAATAGAGCTTGTCCAGCTCCGTGGCCTTGCCTTGACATAAGTGGATTGGTCAGCAATCATATCCTTTTAGGGAAGGTAAGCAGTTACTTGAAGCATTATTTCCCACAAGTTTATTGTTAAATTAGGAGGTGCCTACCTGCCACAGGATATGATAAACTTTGAATTTGAGCCTCCATTTTAACTGTACGGCTAGCAGAAAGCCCTTTCTTTGCCTGGGAAATAGAGTGTGCTTGGTTAAATGTGAGCTGAAGTAGGTGGATCCCACCACATGCCAGGCTGGGTACCAGGCTTTATTACAGATGCCAACCCCACTTCAGGGAACATGGTGTCCATCCCAGGAGGAAAAAGCCTGCCTCTCAGCTGGAACATGCCCCTGAGCTACTGAAATGATGCTCCTCCTTGCAACCCCAGGTTTTCAAAAACATGACTCATAACGGAAAGGGTCTTATTACCATGATTATCATTCAGATAAACAGATCTGCATCTGCCTGTTGATACTTGAATTCAGCTACTCCAGGTGTCAAGAACCAACTGAAAGCAGAGCCAAGAGCTCTTGTATGTTCAATATAGTTTCAAGTTCTGAGGGTTTCATCAAACAGCACAAAGATGCCGGGGCCCCTGGGCTCTGATCGCAGGTTGCAGCAGGCAAGCTTTGACGTCAACCCATGAGAGCAATTGCACGTTGAAAATAATAAAATGCTTAGCCTGTTTTACCCAGGTACCAGAGAACAGGCTCAGACCTTGAATGCTTCTGTGATTTTTTTTTAAAGTTCACCTTTGGACTACACACACACAGAGTCTCTGTATGGTCATTCAAAGTCAGATCTTTGCCATTTAGAAAGAACTTGGTGGCTTTGGCTGTGGGCTTAGACAGGAAGCTTGTGGTGACTTTTGCCAAAGTTAAGCTGCTGTACTTTGAATAAACTGATTAAAAATAAAGTTTACAGTTTTCTAATGAAAGAACTCATTATTTAGCAGATAGAAAGAAACTGTTCTGTTAGTCAAGGAAAAGGCTGAGCGGATGGTTTTCACCGAGCCTGGCCATACCTCTCCATCCTCCAGCTCCACGTCTAGGAAATCGAAGTCTCTAAAGACCCGGAACTGCTGCTCACTGTTGGTGTCGTCCATGTTCTCCTGGTCCCGGGTGCCGTCCTCGGAGGACACTAGGCTCGTCTGATGCTCCAGCAGATCCAAGTCCCCACACGACGAGAAAATCACCTACGAACCAAGAGTCCTCTGCTGAGAAACCGCTCTCCCTTCGTTTGTGTTACAAAAAGTGTAACTGGCTCCTCAGAGCACTGTATTTCCAGTACACACCTAATTCCTTAAGTGGGTATTTTTAGAATGCTCTTTTATTATTTATGTTGGACAGGCGCCTTCAGATTAAACTCATTGTGAAGATGCAAGTTCACACACTAGGAAACTGTTCAAGAGTCAAATCGCTGCTTCTTAATGAAAAGTGTATCCTACATGCGTGCGTGTGTGTGTGTGTGTGACAACTGAGTGTATGTTCACAGTCTACAGCAGCCAAGAAATTTTCCAATGTTTCTGCACTTACCGAGGTTAGAAACTGTACAGATTCACACACACATACACATCACATACATATTATCATGAAAGATTTTAAGGACTACTGATGCCAGGATATGTTATTGTAGAACGAACTGTGAGAGCAAAGTATTTAACCCTCTTAGAGATAAACCAGGAACCGGTAGGGAAAAAGAAACATAAGTCAGGAAGTACAGTACTTGTTGATTTGAATTACAGAGGAGAAGCTGAGCAGCCGTGCTCATAATTCATACTTAAAAGTCCTGTCCTGTTGATTCAAACAAAACTTTTTTTTCTATTAAAATTTTAGTATGTTAATATTTTTAAATTAACTTCTATGTTTAGGTTCATTTCACTTGGGCCATTTTAATATAACTCTGTAGAAATAACAGACTTCAAATAAATCTAAATGTTTTGCTCTCCAGCCTCTCCTGAACATAGACTGATTTTAAATAAAATGAACAGTATTCTTTATTTAACCGTTATAATGTCTTGGTCTTCCTTGAAAGTAAGCAAGTCATTTATAAGAATTTAGATATCACAAATATCTCTCAAAAGGAAAAAAAAAGGGGGGGGGAATGGATTTTATTTTTTTAAATTATTTTTTAAAAATTTCTTTCTTTCTTTTTGGCTGTGTTGGGTATTTGTTGCTGAGCGTGGGCTTTTTCTCTAGTTGCGGCGAGCAGGGGCTACTCTTCGTTGCGGTGAGCGGGCTTCTCATTGCGGTGGCTTCTCTTGTTGCGGAGCTCGGGCTCTAGGCACGCGGGCTTCAGTAGTTGTGGCGCACGGGCTTAGTTGCTCTGTGGCATGTGGGATCTTCCCGGACCAGGGCTTGAACCCGTGTCCTCTGCATTGGCGGGTGGATTCTCCACCACTGCGCCACCAGGGAAGCCCGGGAATGGATTTTAAACATTCTTTTTTTTCTCCAGTGTTTAAGAGCAGTCATAGGATTTGCACTAGGTTTTCATAAAATGGTACAAGACACACAGTCTGTACAGGGATTGCAAATGGGTATATGAGATAAATAGCACTGAGGACCAGCCAACTAGTCAGTGAGAGATGAGAGACTAGAATTCTGATTTCCTCAGCCGAGGCCTCCCTTTCCTTGTTAGTGCCACTTTTCTTATCTGTAACATAGTAAACATTTCTAGCTAGAAAGGCCTGGCACAGAAACAGGCAGTTTGGATCTGAAGGAGACAGTGTAACCACAGGGGTGGTAAGAAATGGACCTCTCTGGCTATGCCACTGCAGAGGTAAAGGGCTCTCATTCCTCTCCCTTTCAGGCTGGGGGGCTCAATCTACCCCACACTATCTCCTCGTCTCTCTGCCCTCAATGATGTCACAGGAGCAGCAGCAAACCCACTGATCAATAACTCAGAAGGTGACTTCAACGGAGGCCACCCTTCTGGCTGGGGCACATTCCCAGACGATTACAAGTATCAACTTGCACTTTAGCTCACATCTATGAGTTTCATATTTCACCTGCTCATGAACTACATTAGTATATACATTTTGGAATTTTAAAAGTAGTTCCACAGAGACACTGTTTGCTACTTCTTACTTGGGAAATTACTTAGTTTGCTATTTTCTTTTCTGGTTACTAATAAAGATGCTGTGATATAGATGAAATAAAAATACCTGGTAAAACCAAACCCTGAGATTTTTATTGTTTTTGCTACAATATTGTCACACAATTTGAATTTTCTAAATTTTATAAAACTTCAGAAGCTAACTTCTAATACTTCAATTATTCATTTATTTCAAAGCCCAATAGCATTTTTGTGCAACTGTAACATCAGTAGAAGTTTTTTGTTTGTTGGTTTGTGGTTTTTTTTTTATTTTGGCTGCGCTTCACACGGGGTCTTACTTCCCTGACCGGGGCTCGAACCCATGCCCCCTGAAGTGGAAGCATGGAGTCTTAACCACTGGACCGCCAGGAAAGTCCCTCAGTGGAAGTTTATATGATAAAAAACATGATAATATATCACTATTTTTGCCTTTATTGTACATGAGTAAAATAGTGACATCACGGTAACAGATGTGTGTACAGAGAGTAAAATTACACCGAAAAGGAATGTGTATCATATATGGTGGTGCAGAAGACAGTCACATATACATATTTTAAGAAAGTCTGGGCATATTTATTAAAAATATCCAAGATATTAAAAAAATTAAAATAACTGAGTTTTTATTTACCAACTGGAGCAAATAGCCAATAACATCTTTCATTGTTTCTGAACTGAGATTAAAAATCATACTATGGAGAGAAATAATCTAAGGGTTTGACCTAGATGATGGATATCATACTTGTAATTCATAGTTGAAACCTCCAAACTACATGACCAAAGGCAAAAGCTGACCAAAGGTAAAAAGGTTATGACACCAAAATAAATGTGATATAGGACAGAACTTACCGATGGATTTTTGCTTAATCCGACTTCTTGGCCACACAGAGAAAGGACGTGTACCAACTTCTCTTTCGTCCTCTTCTGGAAAAGAAACACACAGGCAGGTTTTAATCATGGGGTCCTGTGATCAAATCTACTCCAGTGCTGTAGCCATCAGCCACAAAGGGCTAACCCACCGGAAATGTGGCCAGTGAGAATGCAGATATAAAATACATAAAGAGTTGGTATGAAAAGAGAATGTAAAATATCTCACCAATAATTGTAAAATATTGATTATATGTTAAAAAATAATATTTTAGATATATTAGGTTAACTAAAATGTGTTATTAAAATTAATTTTACCTGTTTTTTTTTCAAAAGGTGACTATTAGAAAATTGAAAATGAGGCTCACATTATGTTTCTACTGGACAGTGCTGATCTAAGTTTTCCCAAGGGAGGGGATGAGAAAGTCAACCCCTTGGTTCTCTAGCAGATGTTCATTCCTCCCCTTGATAATCTTTCTTGTGTGCTACAACTTTCAATCATTAGCAAGCCTTTCCTTACACCTAAATTAAATCTATTATATTACAACACAATTCTCTTTTCCTCAAATGGGAGGATAAATTTACTTTCTGCAGAATTAAATTTGATTATTTGCAAGGCATATTAAATCTTTCCCAATTTATTCTTCCTATAATTAAATGGATAGAATTCCTTTTGCTGTTCTTCGTAAACCTTACTTTTCAGTTCCTTAGGCACAGGGATTCTTCTACAAACCTTCACATTTCCCAATGACACAGACAAACTAGGTCTCAGAATGACTGGTGAGTTAAGAATGAAAAAGATGGATAACCAGAGCCTAAAAAACGTTATGTGCCTCAGAATTGCTCTTAAAGCAATCATCCTCCTCTCCTGAAAATGATTTTTTTCCCTTTTAATCTGATTTAATATGCAGACTGCAAGGAGGCCAATATCACTCATAGATTTTCCTTCTTAATGGAACTCAGTTCCCTGCATCCTTCTTTTCAAATTATAGACGGGACACTCAATATGGTGTCATTTCAAGGTCAAAGACAGGAGGACCTTGATGTTGAAGAATGGCAAGAGGTTCACTAACCTATTTCCCTAAGTTTTAGTGGGCACTTTACAATTCTGGGAAGGAATGAATGTACAGGAGCATGGAATTGGGCTGTACATTTGTCTTCTCTTTTCCAAATTCCCAAGAAAGTAGGGCGGGCTCTCTGTTCAAGCGCGCAGTGAGCACTCACTGAGAACTGGCTCTGCTCCAGTAGGCGCCGTGCTCTAAGCTCCACTTCCCTAACCTCTGAGAGCGAGGATGAGTCCTGCTGGGCGTGCAAACCAAGGGTTTCTCTCTGCGCAGCACCCAGCAGCACCCACTTCGCCTTCCTCCGGTAATGCAGTCCCTCTTTTTATCTTGGGACGGCTCTTCTCCCGCCAGATGGGGCTCTGCCTCTCTTGCACAGAGCCCTTTCTCCGGAATTGCTACGACGCTCGGGAGGGGAGGCCTCTGTCCTGAAATTGTCAGAGCCGAAGACCATGTAAATCTGGAGCTGCCAGAGGTTGCTGGGCCTCACATTGGAAGAGTCTGCCTGAGAATGAGGTCAGCAGGGAGGAGAGCAGGCCTGAGACCTTGGGAAGAGAAGGTGGGGGCAGTGAGAAGGACAGAGAGGGTCTAAGGATGGTGTGTGCTACAATCCAGTTCTGCTTGAAGTTATGACGGGAGTTAACACATTCCCTTTCCACTTAAGGTAGTCTTCCACTGGGCTTCTGGCATATGTCTCCAAAAGAGCCCCAAATAATGCATGGGTTTCACTTGACAGTAAGTCCAGTGACATCAACGCTGTGATGCAGTCACCCAGAAAGTGAATACAGATGACAGAACCACAGAGAAATCTGGCCGCCCACCATGCTCTGCAGGGTCAGGTGTGCATGGAGCCCACTGGCTGGAGGGCAGGCTCGTAGGACCGCAGCCAGAATGGTCATTGGGGTGTGGCCCTGTTATGCAGGATTGGTTAGGAGAACTAAGGATGTACTACTTGGAGAAAAGAGGACTGATGTGGGTGAGTGGCAGAGGAGGGAGAGTTTCTTTAAGTGTTTGAAGGGCTGCCATGTGAAAGACAGATCCAATTGCATTTTCTAAGCCTTAAGAGAACAAGGACCAATGAGAAGAAGCAATAGAGTGTCAGACTTCAACTCAATGTAATGAACTGTTCAAAGATAAAATGGGTTCCCTCGGGATACAGAATACCACGAGATCATCATCACTGAAGTGTCGATGCCCAGACGGGAAATATTGGGATGGTGGATGCAGGAATCCCATATCACAGTTGGGTTCAACAGGTCCCCTAAGCTCCCTTCCAATCCTGGGAGTCGAGGACTCTTTATTTACCTGAGAGTACTGGGGCCTCTTCCAGCTTACAGGAACAAGGACATTGGAGTTGGAGCCTGATGAGGTGGAAGATGCACTCCGGGTGACAGCCATGGTCCTGGGCTTCCCATCACGCCCAGAAGAGTTCTGCAGTTCATCATATCGCCTCCCGATGATGGGCGTCTTGAGAAAAAAGAATAGAGAAGCACATGTTCTTCTATCTCATTCATACTTCTGGGGTATATGGATCACTGTATCCCAGCAGCAACCAAGAACTGCTTATCTGATTAAAACTTAGATTAGAGAAGTTCAGTGTTACAAGGAGGCTCATTTTCCTTATGTTCAAATACATATTCCAGATCATTCTGCATCTTCAACACTGTCCCACCCTCTTTAGCAGCTGAAAACAAATCCAATTGCTTGTTCTTTTTTTTTTTAATTTTTAAAATATATTTCCTTTATTTATGTTTTTATTTTTTTTTTGCAGTACGCAGGCCTCTCACCGTTGTGGCCTCTCCCATCGTGGAGCACAGGCTCCGGACGCGCAGGCTCAGTGGCCATGGCTCACGGGCCCAGCCGCTCCGCGGCATGTGGGATCTTCCCGGACCGGGGCACGAACCTGTGTCCCCTGCATCGGCAGGCGGACTCTCAACCGCTGTGCCACCAGGGAAGCCCCAATTGCGTGTTCTTAAACACACTTTGGAAATGATTGTAAAGATAAGAAGGAAGACATGCATGAAAGCAAAACAGTTTTCAGATATTTAAGCTTGAAAGACTTTCTTTATAGTTAAAACAAGACCAAAATTCCTTCCCCTCACCCCAACCTGTAATCACCAATCTTGATACACTCTCAATTATTTAAAAATTTATTTAAATTATTTATATCTTTTCAATTATTTTAATGAATGAGGTCAGGGCCAGGTTCTTGACAACACTTCAGAAATTTCACTTCCTGAGAGTCCTGGAGTGTGGTGGCTGGGTAGGCAGCACCTCCCAAACTTTAGCCCCAGGGAGGCCTCTGCAGAAACCTGTTCGCAGGCCTACATTCAGAGACGGCAGACACTGGCTGGTAATTCTCCACCTGCCTCTCAAGGCACATCTTTCTGGAGCAGCTGGGTCTCCGGGGCATGCGGCGGATTGGCTACAGGTTTTCTGTACCTCTTTGGGACAGAGTAAACTTAAGTCAAAGAGTAAGCTTCCCCCACCCCCAGCAATGTAAAAAAAATGTTAAACATTGCAAAATACTGAGTTGATGCCTTAATATCATATACACACTAAACATCACAATGGAAGCACAACAGCATCTCCTCCTGAGTACTGAAATGATGAACAGTCAATGAGACTGTGTGAGAAAACCCAATCTAGCTACAACCTAATCAACAGAGTGAGTTCCATGTAAGCAGATCTAGTTGATCCCTTTAGTGAATGAATCCACTCAGCCGTGTTGAAGAATATTTATGAACTACCTAACATGCATCAGACACTGTACAGACCCTGCTTACAAAGTGGACAGGCCGTTGTTTCTGCTTTGGGGGGTTTATGGGCCATGGGGTAAAGGAGACAGGAAAGCAAATGTATTTTTACATCTTGGACTAAAATAGTTAAGTACAGGCCTCCCAAAAGTTTGTTCATGGACCAGCAGGTAAACCTGACTATTTTCTGTCTTCTTCTCTTCCTAACTCCTTAGTTTATAAGTCTCTTCCCTCCTCACACCCATCTCCCTCAAGGCAAGAATTTAGGTAGTTACACTGGTTTAAAAAGCAGTGTGGCTTGGGGAAGTGACCATAAAGGCAGATTCTGTATTCCTGTAAATCTCAGGCATCCGCTGGTTTGGCTGCAGTTCAGGAAACAAGGTTGTGGATACAAGATAGGACGTGACAGCTGTCAGATACAGAATGAGTGAAGGTCATGGTTTAAAATGCTTAAGATCATTCCATTTTAAAGTTATCTTTTGGGGGGAAGTCATTTTTATATAACTGAGGCTAGCTTCTATTTCTAAAAGCTGCCATTGAAGAGCCCCAGTGAATAGGACAATGCGTTGAACCTAATTTAGGTCTTAGGAGGTTTCACTTGACATAACCGTAAAATAAGTCTCCCCTTCTCCAGGCAACTAGTTCTGACCTTTGCCACTATGTATTCATGCTAAAGTTTACAGAAACAGTTAACATACCTCTGAAATATCAAAGTGAAAGTCCAGGGTTTTCCCAGGTAATTCCTTAGATGCACTGGTCCATACTCGATGTATTTCTATCTTTGAAAGGTCACTGTGTTGGTAGGAAGGTAAAACTAGGCTGGCAGATCGAGAAACTACTAGCTTCAAGATATTCAAAGCTTCTCTCCAGTGGACGCTCTGAAGGAAATAAAAGAGTCAATGGGTAAAAATAATTTTAAAAAAACAAACAAACAATATGCCGCCAGCTACCAAAACTTCTAATGACCAGTCAGAGCTCATTGATTTAAAACAGTGCAGGAAATTCTGTGATAAGTAAAAGGCAAATGACATAAAAAGATAATTTATGCATAAGATGAGCTACATTTAGGAAACAAGAATAAAAAGGACCCGTGTTGTCCACATTCAAATAAGTAAAAGTTTAAAATGACAAGGTACCATTTTTGCTAATGAGGTATTTCTTCAGTTTGAAAAACAAAACAGAAAACAAACAACTGCCCCCCCTCCCCTGCAGCAACCCTCATTGCATTTTATGCTACTGTCTACTCACTGTTTCTCAAGATTCTCCCCACCTCCAGTTTCCAAGCGTCCCTGGTCCTCCTTCTACTTCTCTGGCTCTTCCTGCCTCATCTGCTCCTGGGCATCTGACCTCTGCCCTCAGCCCTCTTCTCCACATCTTCCTCCTGACCTAACCCAGGAATCTGGGAGCCATTCTTAGCTCCCCTCTTTCCCTCCCTCCTGAGAACTTGATCCCCGCCCCCTCCATTGCTGTTGGCACTGGCTCAGGTGAATCCTCTCTGTCCTCTGCCTGGACTATTTCAATGGCCTCTTAACTGGTTTCCCCAGCTGCAGCCTCTCCTTGGGTCCGTCATCAAACCCACTCCAGCTACAGTGATCTTTCTAGAATCTTCAGCTCAAGCCACTTCCCTGCTTAAACTCTTTCAAGGGCTCCCTCTGGTGGACAAGGTGGAATCCACACTCTTTGAGGAAGGCCTGCAGGGGTAATCTCCCCCAGGCAACTCCTGGAGTTGCCCAAACCAGCCAAGGTCTCTTAGCCTCTGTGCCTTTCCTCATGCAATTCCCTCATCCTGGAACGCCCTTCCTCTCCTTATTGCCTTATCAAACTCCTACTCTTCCTGTAAGTCTCATTTGTTTCACCCTCTTTGTATCCCTGACAACCCCAAGCCGACTGAGGTACTTCTCCAACAAAAATATTGAATACAGATAAAACTAGCATGATAAAAGTTATTATTTGCCTAGGCCTTGGAATAAAGTGCATGAAATAAAACACATTTCCTTCACTGTTAAATTCTGAACACGGGAGGTCACGGTTTGAATATGAAATTAGCCACCATTCAAGACAAGGTCTTGAGTACCAGGGAGGGCCCACAGGCCTAAGAATAGGCAGCCTGATAAAACAATCACTTGTTTTTAAAGCTAGGGGCATATGATTAGTAGAAAGATGTGGACTGACCCTCTGTCTCTCATGAGTGTCAAGTGAGAAAGTGGTAATGAACGCCTACCACATGGTACAACTATTACTGGAGCAATGCCACTCGGAAAAAAAAAAAGCTTGAAAATCATTTTTAGCATTAAGTAATTTTCTGCAAGTAATGTGACTGGTGAAGCGAGGATGGAAAAAAAAAAGTTTAAAATTGTATGGCTTTAGTCAATGAGTTTAACCAGAGAAAAACCTAGCATTTGCCCTTGAACTCTGAAACTTACCAAGTACTACGTTTGTTTGTTGGAGTATTTTCAAGTACATTTATGCCACTTTCTTAACCTTAATTCCTTCAACTCTAAAGGGACAATTTGAACCTCTGAATTAACTGTTCGCATTTGAAACGCCTGGCCTAGAACCAGGCACAAGCAAGTTGCTTCTTCCTTCTCCATTGAAACAGGACCCCTCAAAGGAGACCCTGCCCCCACCCTCCCAGCCAGGAGTGTGCTTTCAATACCCAGCCTAGAAGCCCAAAAGGCAGAGAGGTGTCCTCCGAAGGCTCAGGAACGCACTGCGGCCTCAGGATACCACTCAGGGTGCGGTCGGCCACCGTCTCAGCCGCTCTCAGCACGTTATGGGTATCAATGAATGAACATGCAGCCTGGCACCCATATAGCTCTGTGGCCAAGTACAAAGAAAGCTCCATGCAAAGCCTCAATCTTTCTGGAATGACTTTCTGGAAACATCCTGGTTCAAATACTCACTTGTACGTATTTTTCAATGGTTTTCAGAACTTCCACATTGAACTGCTTTACCGGAACGACAGAAAGGTCCATGTAGCTGAGCAGACTGTAGATCACCTGCAGGAGGGGCTGCTGCATGCTGGGGAGGCCCTTCTCCAGCAGCTGTGGGGAAAAGCACACAGTGAGTCAGTTTGACACCAGATTTTCACACAGAAGCACCAGGGTTTCCTAGTACCTTTATGATTGCACATTTCCTTAGGAGAGAAAAGAAAATCCTAACTACTGAAGAAATGGAGGTATTATCAAAGGCAACGCAGGTAGGTCTGAGTATATAAATATAATATTACCCAATGGAATGCAACAAAATAAACCTCAAAAGGAAAGCATCAAACATCACTAATGACTGAAAAATATAAATGAAAGCGAAAGATACATTTATCAGTTATGGAATTGGCAAAGATTAGAAATTGATGATCGTATTGGTGAGGATATAAGAAGAGTATTCTTACACATCAGTGGAAATGTAAATTGGATAATTTGGCAATTGAGATCAACAGTACTAAAAGGGTTTATATCTTTTGAAATACTAATTACACTTTTAGGAACGTTTCCAAACCTAGAGATAAATACTAAGATTTAAGTAAGAGATTTCACCAAGGCATTATTTATAATGGTAAAACAAACAAACAAACAAACAAAAAACCCACACAAAACAAGAAAGCTCTGTAAGCAATTTAAACGTCAAACACTAGGGAAATGGATACATAAATTATGGTAAGTTGTATGATGAAATATCATGCAGTCAATAGAATGACATTTTTAAAGACAGTAAAGGATATCAGATAATATTAAGTGAAAGAGGAAGGATATATAATTTCTATATAATAGATGATGCCAACATTGATGTGAATGGGTGTGTTACATAGAAATAATGCTGGAAGTAAACCCAACAAAATGTTGCAAGTGTTTCTCCCTAGATAATATAATTATTTTTGAACACATACTGCTTTTATAATCGGGGGAAAAAATCAATGACATTTTCAAAAAGGAAAGCAAAATAATGAGAAAACTGATGTGACAGACATAATGAAAAAGGTTACTGTTCAAAATTAAAAATTAATAGAGATGATTCAAATAAATGCTGAAATTCCACATCAAAAGTGGTCCAGGGTTTCCCTGGTGGTGCAATGGTGCAATGGAATCCGCCTGCCAATGCAGGGGACATGGGTTCGAGCCCTGGTCCAGGAAGATCTCACATGCCGCAGAGCAACTAAGCCCGTGCACCACAACTACTGAGCCTGCGCTCTAGAGCCCGCGTGCCACAACTACTGAAGCCCGCGCGCCTAGAGCCCGTGCTCTGCAACGAGAGAAGCCACTGCAATGAGAAACCCGCGCACTGCAACGAAGAGTAGCCCCCGCTCGCCACAACTGGAGGAAGCCCACATGCAGCAACGAAGACCCAACGCAGCCAAAAATACAATAAATAAATTAAAAAAAAAAAGTGGCCCAAAGAAATAACTGAACAGTTAACAGATGAGGAAATATACAATTCCACAAATCTATTGTATGAAAAAAGGAATATCTTCACTAGAAAGGAAATACATAAAGAGATTAATTTTAAAGTACCAATAAAAATATTCAACTGAAAACATGTATAAATGGAATGATAGAATTTAGTGGGGATATGGGATAACCTGAATATTTATACATTGTTTGTAGTATTGTAAATTGGGAAAATCTCTGTGAAGACCAATTTCCCAAATGCATACATTTTCCCAAATGTATCCATGAGCTTTACCTGGATAGATTTTTTGGGAAATGCCAACAGGAAAAACGAGGTAAATATAATCTGATAAAAAGTCTGCATCAAAGGACCATTTTAAAAAAAATGATGAATACAAGCAACAAAAGGTAGATGGTTAACGATATAGTTCCACAGTTACTGAAAGTGACAAGATGTGAGCTATGTCAACACATACACACATACAAAGTTAGTGTGAAGTGAGCACAGCAGGTTCAATGGAAACAGTGACCACAGCTGCCTAAAACTGTATGTAGGTACCTGGCCAACACCTGAAAGAACATGGGACTAACTGAAATAGCAGTTAATTTATATCATATGTAGTGAGTAGGTAAGTTTATAATAAAACTTTTGGTGACAATTGTTGATAAGGGCAGCATAGAACAAATTAGGATATCCACTTTATTTTTTTATGGTGGTAAAATACATATAAAATTTACCATTTTAACTATTTCTAGGTGTACAATTTGGCGGCATTAAGTACACCCACATTGTTGCGCAACCATGACCATTATTTATTTCCAGGACTTGTTCATCATCCCAAACTGAAACTCTATAACTGTGAAACAGCGGCTATAAATTTTCCTCTTCTGTGTTCCTCATATAAGTGGAATCATGTATTTGTCCTCTTGTGTCTGGCTGATTTCACTTAGCATAATATTTTCAAGGTTCATCTATGTTGTAGCATGTGTCAGTACTTCATTCCTTTTTAAGCCTGAATAATATTCCATCGTATGTACAGACCACAGCCCATTTGTATTTTTGAAACTTTTATGACTAGTGAACCAAACAAATTTTGCCTCCTTGCTCTCTCCCAGTTCACCTTGTTTTAAAACAGGCGTTGGCTGCCTTGGTAAGCAGGGTGTTTGTGTTGTTTATCCCGGTGCTTCTTGTGTGCTAAGGTATGTGTGTGCTGGATTAGTAACTCTTGCAGGGACAGATGCGACCAAGGTGATTATCAAAAGCAGTAGGGTGGCACTTAAGAGAGGTTCTTTAAATGCCAGGGATGGGGGTGTGAAAAGAGCAAAGTAATCCTCGGCTGTTGACAGTGCGAATACAGCCCAATATTGCTGATCTGTGTTGCAAACCAAAATCCTGCAGGGTCAACTATATATGCTGGTGGACGAGGCAGCTACCTTTTTCTGGGTAGAGGCGTCCAGTCTTACGGAGCCTTTCCGAAAACGGCTGATTCTTAACCTATCTGCATTCCGAATTGGTGATATAATAGAAGAAAAATTAGAATGGACTGTCTTCATCCCTTCTGAAAAGGCCCCAGCAAGAGGCATGAACGCAGATCCAGAGAGGAAAAGCAAACGCTGAAAATGCTAAAGCAAGGTAATACTATCAATCACTTGCCTCACAGATTTCATGACCTTGTATAGTAAACCAGTTGGGGTCTGGGGGTGCTAAAGAATAACATTTCATCACGTGCCGAAAGCGGTACGTATTTCTAGTATCAGCGTACACAGAAGTGAGAGTAGGGGTTTGCAATGAATGTGCTAGGAACACACTGGTATGAGGATAAAAACCCCATCCCAGTTTTAAAAAGAAACACAAAAGATGAAGATAAAAAGTTTTTTTCAAAAATATATGCTTTGTTAATGAGTTCAGAGCAAACAGCCATTAAACATACAAGCCACACAATAACTCCTTAAATAAGATCTGAACACCCAGAATAATGCAGATAAAATCTCCTCATCTCTGCCATGTCTGACAGGTATTAGTGTAGTAAAAAGGAGTTTAAGCTTTGGAGGCAGCTACACCTCATTTCACCTTAAACTTGTGGCAGATTACTTAGCCCGGCTGAGCCTCGGAATCTTTGTTAAAATAAAGAATCCTACATCATGGGGTTGTTGTGAGGATTTCCATACAGCATCTATGCTAGTAGATAATAGGTGATCAATAAGTTAAGGCTATTGTTATAGTTCTACATACATATTTTACCCATAGAAACCATAACAGATTTTATCCTTAATTGAAGAGCTTACCTCTGCCAGGTAGGTAACCATATTCAAGGTAATGTCAGCATATGCTTCATGAAGGTATCGACAGACCACGTTGACCCACGTGGTACAGTCCCTCGTGTAGCTGTGTGTTTTATAAAGAGTCATGACATGTGCAAGGTTGGAAAGTTTGGGGTTCTTCTCTTCCAAACAAACCTTTTACAAGAAGAAAATCAATTAGGGATAAAATAGCCTGATGAAAAGGAAGAAATGTCAGCAATTTTGCTATAAGCTCCAGCAGCCTGGAAAATTGATCGATACATTTTTTTGGGTAGCTGCAGAGGCGCTTAGTAATTTAATTTTCACAATTTTTTTTCCACTTGTTTTCTCAATAATGAAACAACAATGCAAATCAGCCACCCAGAGATGTGAATTACTAGTGATATCAGTTATTATTTTCAGGTTTATGAAACTCATCACCCTGTCTGAGCCTGGTAATCTCCGTCCACCATTAGGCCTTGAATGTGCCTGAAACTGTAAGGCATACCTGAGCAATCCTTTCGGCTACATCCTTACAGAACTGGCCGGGGTTTTCAAAATGCTGTATCAGCTGGGGCAGAAGACACAAGACATTCAGTGGAAACCCTGGATTAGAGAAGATACAGTGGAGACAAGTGAATATGGTGCATTTGAACCATTAATAGCGGGAAGGCATATTACAGATTTTATTCTGAGGTGCTGCAAAAGCAGCCTTTTGAAGCAGCTTTGATCTGAACTAACATAAATCCAGGAAAAATGTACAGCTGCAATGGCACCGTTTCAAAGGAGGCACTGAAGTACATTTGTAATTTGCAGGTTCAGCGGCTGTTTTGCTACGGACTGTTGCAAATAAGAATGATTGGCACAGATTTTAAAAAGCAGATTAAAATGGACTGAAGCACTAGTTTGAATTTTTATCAAAAATGTATTTTAAGGAAAACCTGCTTGAGAAGACACAGGCCAATCCATTTAAGTCTTACTCATGTAATCAGAAAGACTCTTTAAAATGATGAGGAGTAGCTTAGTGCCACTGTATCAAGCTTTGGCTTCCTGGAAAGAATTCTGGGCCACATGCCATGGTAATTAAAAATCTGGTTTGGGGCTTCCCTGGTGGCGCAGTGGTTGAGAGTCCACCTGCTGATGCAGGGGACATGGGTTCGTGCCCCGGTCCGGGAAGATCCCACATGCCGCGGAGTGGCTGGGCCCGTGAGCCATGGCCGCTGAGCCTGCGCATCCGGAGCCTGTGCTCCACAACGGGAGAGGCCACACAGTGAAAGGCCCATGTACCGCAAAAAAAAAAAAAAAAAAAATCTGGTTTGTTGTTCGCTTAATTCAAAACGATAGGGAACCAAGGGAATTTTCAAGAGGAAAAGAAAGGCTTAGAAAAATAAAAGATTTAGGAGTTAAGAAAAAAGGGATAAAAGTCTGTACAACAGCAATGGAATAAACCAACACTGTCTACAATTTGATCTGGAAAGCATAAAGAATTGATTACTTACTGTCTTATGTATTACTCCTGCCCCTTTTATGCTATTGCCTTAAAAATATCTCTTACAATATACGTAATTAAGACTTACATAGAATTTTAAGACTTATATAGAATTTTAAAAGAAAGAACAAAGCATTCCCAAAGGACCATTTTTAAGCAGAATCGTTAGAAGTACTAAGCCCACATTATCTTATTACACTAAACAGGAGTCCCACCATGACCAGAACCGTAGGAGCGCGAGTGACGTGGGCTTTACCAATGGCTTGGGAGGAGTCCACCATGGATACTCTGGACACCGGTGTCAGCACACTGAACAGCTGCAGGGTAAGGTCGGTGGTGGTGACAGAGGTGAATCCCTTCAGGAGCAGCTGCTGCAACCCTGAGAAGTCCGCCCACTTGAGCTGTGCCTGGAGTTTCTCCAGTTTTTCTCGGTTCTCAGCTTTATCGAGTGGCATGTGAGCCAGCAGTCTGTTCAACAGCCTTAAGGCCATTAGGTATTCAAACTCAAAATCGGATTCCATCAAGGCCACCGTGACCCAAAAGATGGTGGCCAACAGGTTGGTTGGATGGTTTATGTGTGATGGGTCCGTGAGGCTGTCCTTCAAGGAAGATGAGCTTCTGGTTTTTGAGGAGAGGCCTTGTTGGGTACAGGCCTGAATTCTGTCCAGGGTGGCACTCCGAGGTGGGTCTGAGGACCGGTCGACAACACCAAACTTCTTGGGCACAGAGAAGCTCCTTTGATGCCGGCTGCGCTCTGCAGTTGCTGTGCTGCCGCTGGCTGTTCCAGGGTTCACATTGAGCTGTCCTGTGCTCTTTCTGCTTGCTGTTAGTTTAGCGTTAGAGCTTAAGTCTGGTGATGAAGAGCTGGGTATAAAAGTTAAAAAGTTCAATAGGAAGCCAACACATTTCAGTGAAAGGCTAGTCCTCTCAAGACCCATCAACAAACAATGAGGAAGGAAAATCATTCTTTGGAAATATTACTTTCTATTCATTTTTCCATATTCTTAAACCGAAAGAATATGTTTCCTTATTCTTAAACATAAAGCTATGAAAAACAAAACTTAATCAGAACAACCCTCACCAACAAAACCAAATACTGATTTCCACTTATCAAAGAGTTAAAGAAATAAGCAGTTGTCTGTAAAGTTTACTGCTCTTTCATTTATTTTTTGTTTGAATTTGGGTAAGAGTAATTACAAAATAAAATGTACCTGATAGGTACAAATGTTAATATTCTATTAACTGACTGATAAAAAGAACAGATAAAGAAATATCTAGGAAAAAAAAGTAAATGTGTGCATCAAAGGAAAATTTTTGTACTTATAAACGTTTATGAAAAATGATTTCTAAATCTATTTCAGGCTGAAAAGATAGAACTCTTTATGAACATTCTTGCTAAATTTTTACTGATTTAGGTTAATCTGTAGGTTTCTAGAGATAAGTATGTATGATGTTATTAATCACACTAAAATTAAGTATGCATAAAAATGTTCAACTTCAAAATGAAACAAAGCTCAATGTGATATAACATTGCCAGCTGAATTTCAAGCAAGTTGAGCTTAATTACACAAACAGAATACAAAATTGTGAATGATCTGAAATGGGCTATTAAACATTGCCAGGAGCAAAAGGAACTGAAAAATTTAAAAAAAGAAAGATCCTAAGGTAGAAATTTCTTCAAGTAAAATCAACATTTATTCTGTTTTTATAGTGATTGATCAGTTGTGTTTCATACATATTCATTTAAAAAATAATACTTTGGGGCTTCCCTGGTGGCACAGTGGTTAAGAATCTGCCTGCCAATGCAGGGGACATGGGTTTGATCCATGGCCTGGGAAGATCCCACATGCTGTAGAGTGACTGAGCCCATGCACCACAACTACTGAGCCCACGTACCACAACTACTGAAGCTCGTGCACCTAGAGCCCATGCTCTGCAACAGGAGAGGCCACTGCAATGAGAAGCCCGCGCACCGCAAGGAAAAGTAGCCCCCACTCGCCACAACTAGAGAAAGGCTGCATGCAGCAGCAAAGGCCCAATGCAGCCAAAAATAAATAATAGGACTTCCCGGTGGCGCAGTGGTTAAGAATCCTCCTGCCAATGCGGGGGACATGGGTTTGAGCCCTGGTCCAGGAAGATCCCACATGCCATGGAGCAACTAAGCCCATATGCCACAACTACTGAGCCTGTGTGCCACAACTACTGAGCCCACATGCCACAACTACTGAAGCCCATGCGCTTAGACCCCATGCTCCACAACCAGAGAAGCCACCACGATGAGAAGCCGGCCAAAATAAAAAAATTTTTAAAAATTAAAAAATAAAATACGTTATTTCTATAGAATATAATAAATAGGATAATTACATAAAATTTGAAAAAATACTCAAAGAAATAAGAAATGAAAAATCATTAATATTTGTATTATTTAGAAATAACATTTATTGTCTGTTTTTTTTTTTTTTTTTTTTTTGTGGTACGCGGGCCTCTCACTGTTGTGGCCTCTCCCGTTGCGGAGCACGTGCAGGCTCAGCGGCCATGGCTCACGCGCCTAGTTGCTCCACGGCTTGTGGGATCTTCCCAGACCGGGGCACGTGTCCCCTGCATCAGCAGGCGGACTCTCAACCACTGCGCCACCAGGGAAGCCCCATTTATTGTCTATCTTGCTGATGTTTTAAAATACTTCTCTACTGTGTGTGTGTGTGTGTGTGTGTTGTAACTTTTTTTTTTTAACTTAAGGAAATGTCATACATACTTTCTTGGATCATACACAGACTTCCAAAACTGGATTTGTTCTTTAGACATTGCCCAAAGTCCAGGCATTTCCCAAATATTCAGTACAGCATATTTGATTTTCAAAACGAAGTTAAACTGATTCTCACCGAGATAATACAGTTAAGAGATCACTGTTCTTCAGGCAGTCAGACAAGTTATCCACAGCAGCTTCCAAGGTAAGGAGTGCTTCCATTACATAACCCTGCCAAACAGGCAAAGACAACATTCTGTACTGCTTATAACTACTGTTAACTTAATGAAGATAAATTTAATCAAAACAAACTATTCAAATAATGGTAATATTGAAAGTTAGACAGTCATGGTTACTTTAATGTACGAAGGCTACAAATTTTAAGGGCCACTTAGGAAATTCAGATGGCTTAGGAGTTAGCAGATAATCATGAAGATTTATTTCCCTAGCTGTGAGGTCTTCCACAGATCAATCTCATTTGAAATCCAACAGGGAGGGGCAAGGGACAAGCATGGCCCCTTGTTGAGGGGGATGGTGGGCATGTGAAATACAGAGTGGCAACGTCTGAAAGCCAGGATTAAGAGATGAAGTATGAGAAGGGCTGTGTCCCAAGGGCATTTTATAGTGTACTGCCAATGGCCAGGAGGAGGAAAAGAAGTTGAAGTCTACAGGCATGCAGGTCCTCTGAGATGCAGAACATTTCTGGTGGAAAAGAAGGCCTTGGCCCAAGCTACAGAGCTTGTAATGCCCCTGGCTTTCCAGCTCCCCGGTCTCTGGGGTCCCCAGTCCACAGGGTCTTCCTGTGGCATCTATTCTCCCCACTATTTCTTTCACTTTTCCCAGTTTATGGAAGGCTAACCACACAGACAGGTGTGGTGCTTTGCACAGATACAACAGCGATCCCTTCTCTGGGTGGGCAGGTTGCACAACTGCATCTTAGGTTGTTAGTAGAAAAGACAAAACAAGACAACTCCCTCAGCCCCCACCAAATAAAATCAATAAAGACAAAACAACACCAAGAGTCACCACAGGATTTCAGTTGTTGGCTCGATAAAAGTGTCCACTGAATTTCTAGAACAATGCCCCCGGAGTGATTTTTGTAAAAATAAAAGTCAACCTCTAGAATTTCAAAATAAATTGTACATGTCCAAATGGCTGGGATACTTGGCGAGAGGAAGAAAGCTCAAAGAAAGTTATTAACACCCCATCTTTGAGCTGAGAGAAGGGTGAGTTCCTGGACTTTCCTTCCGTACCTGAATCTCATCTCCATGCTCTCCAATCACCTCCACCAGCCTCGAGAGAAGGTCCGACAAGGCGTGTGCTGACAGTGGCTGTTTGAGGGCCCGGAATATCTGGAAGGACCGGCCGGCATAGTGTCTGGAAGAGCTGGCGAGGGCTGTCTGCAGAGCAACTTCACTCAGCTGCTGCTCCAGGTGGAAACCTAGGGCACAGGGGTGGGAGCAGGTCAGCCGCTCCTCTGCGAACCTCGGACACCAGTTATCCGCACGTTTACAACAGGATAGCTGCACAGCGCTACCTCCTGGTGCTACTTATTTAAAAATGAACCATTTTAAAATAAAACCCAAATCTGAATCAGTCTTAAGGAGGCATAGTGGAGTACAGTCAGAAGCTTTGGAGCAAGGTGGTCCTAGATTTGAATGGGGGATTTGGGACTCTGGGAAAGAAGCTAATTCTCTGCGAGCCTGCTTCCTCGTCTTTCCCTTGTGGATAGCAGCATTTACCTCAGAGGGGTTGTGAAAATCAAACAACTTAAAAAGGGCTTAGTACTGTCTCTGATACATAATATGTGCTCACAAGCGTATTATTATCTATTACACTGCTACTGTTTGACATTGTTCTTCTGTACTTTTTACACAGAATACTTTCATTCCTGTTTTCATACGAGAATTTGTTAGAAACAAGTTTTTGGAGGACTTGTGTATGCAGAGGAAAGCGAAGCATAGCCAAGGCCTGGGCCAAAGACTTTGCTCTTCAGAAGAGTCCATAAACATGCAGATATGGAGGTGTAGGCACTGCAGAGAAGGCAGGCATCATTTAAACTTTCGCCTGAATATTTGTTCTTCCACCAGCATGAAGGTAATCTTCGTCCTCAGGAAACCATGTGATCAGACAGAAATGAAAGCAGAAGGTAAAGTCCATGGCTGAATACTGGGCCACTAACCCCTACACCTGCTGTGCCTCTTTACAGGGAGAAAATCAGGTTACGAGAGTCACAGGACATGATGAAAACATCGACTTGCGCTGTCTCCGTGGTCTAGAGGCTCTGTGGCACATTCGATTGTCTCACGAATGAGACCAGGAGGGATAATTCAGTGTTACTGTTGTTAGCTGCTGCTTCGCTGTCTCGCCCCAGAGACACGTAAGACCGTATAAGAGAATGTTCCTGCAGAGCCAACAAAGCGTCCTGGAAAATGGACTTAGACACATTCAGGGTAGTAAATACAGGATTAAACCCATATGAATGGATGTTTCAAAATAGTTTTTTACATCTTTATTTTGCTTTTCAAAACATATTTTTCTACTTAAGCCATTTAATATATGGGGGTTAGGTCCCCTGGCAATGAACAAAAGCTTATTTAAATCATACTGCTGGAACTGTACTAGTAGGATTGCAGAATCCTCCCCCGTCCCACCACCACTAAGACGATGTCCTTTGGGAAAAGCTATTTCATGGGTGGCAGAGAAAAGAAAAAGGTTTCCTTTACTCCCTGTTACACACTGGTCGTACATTTCCCAGCCTTCCTGGAAATCAGGCGTGACCTCGTGCCTGAGTTCTGGCCAGTGGAAAGTAGGAAGAAGCACCGGCCGTCACATGCAAAGCTAGCATGTAAACTCCTCCCGAGCAATCCTCCACACACTCTCTTCCTTCACCTGCCCCACGGACACAGAGGGCTGAGACCTCCGAGCCTAGGGGATGACAGGGCCACAGGGCAGAGGGTCCCTGAAGCACCAGGTGGAAGGCTGTCTCCCAAATGTCCACATTGAACTGTTATGTGGTCCAGAAACAGCCTCTTGTGTTAGGTCTCTGAGCTTTGGGGGTTATTTGTTATAGCAGCTATGCTACCCTGACTAATACAAGTGTTTCCAGGAACACATTTTATTGTGCTGGATTGGAAACAGGCAGAAAGTAGCAATGTACAAGGAAACTGAGGTGGGTAAAAGTATCTCGTGCAAGATGTGAAAAGACATACAATATTCTAAGCAGCCTGAAATACCCTCTGAGAATATGCTATATAAGGTACTCATACGTTTTCTCATTTTTAGTATCTTCATACAATCAAGAGTGTTACACAAATGAAGAGTTCACATGCATCATAAATTTCTTCCTTTAGGCTATCAAGTGACTTTTAAGTGGGGGAAATACCAATAAAAGCAGTCTTAATATTTCAAAGAAATTCCAAAGGGGAAACTCAAAACAAGAAATGGCAATCCTATTCCTAGAACAACTTTCCCATTTCAGTTTAACAGTATTTTTTGTTTTTTAGTAAGTATCCTCTGATAATGGAAAGAGATGTGGCGAATCTGGAATGTTTCAAACTGTGAAATGTGCTAATTAACAGAGCAGCCAGGAGAGGTGGTGAGCCCTATCTACTGTGACCAGCCTGCTGTGTGAAAAAAGGCAGGGATAGCTGCTGTAGCGTGCTGAGGAACCAAATTTAAATTTCACACACACATCAGCCCAGGCCAAGCTGAATCTGAATGGAATGCAGCTAAGGGCTTAAATGTTGTGATGGTACTACTGTCTAAATTAGAATCAGACTGTGTTCCGAACGTTGAGTGGTCACTGGCACAGGACTTGCCAGCAAATACTTTTAAAGCCGAAAACATTTTATCACAAAATTCTTTTTTTAAAAGAAAACAGTTTGCAAGGCTGGCAGTTTTCACAGTTGAGTCTGACAGTCAGTGACTACGACTTCTCTCTCATGGCCTTCTTTAAATAAAATTAATATAGGCACAGTTTAATTCTAGTAAGGTAAATGAAGCAAGGAGAACAGAGACATTGGGGAAATTATTTGATAGAGCATAATGCAAGTATCAGTATATGTGACATTAACTATCACTCAGGCACATCTGAAAAAGCTTCAATATCCTCTATGACTATTCCTTTGCTATTGCTTCCGAATGCAGGATTTTACACACACACACCCGCCCCGCCACACACAAATACATACACAGTGTGTGGTTATATGGGGAGAATGAGCTCCATTATAGAAAAATGCTGAAAGTGGGATTTGGAGAAACAGGATGAAGTACCTGATTTGGAATCTCTAAACACGGATACAACATGACGTAGAAAATTAGTGAGTTGTTCAGCACTCTTTGAATTCTGATTTTTGGGTGTGATGTCCTCATGGCACCAAAGTGGACCATATGCCCTTCAACAAAACACACAAAATGTCAAAAATGTAACTATCGTTTTGCATTTTTAAAACCATATACACAGTTCTAACTCCAAAGGTACAACATACATTTTAAAAAATTTTACATATTAATTTGGTGGTAAATTTCAGTCTTCTAAAGCGTAAGAGCATACTCAAAACAGAACTAGCTAATTGACGGAGATACACTTTTTCTTATGTTTTACCCACAAAATTAAAACCTCTCAATTCACCAGGACAGTGTTTATTTAGCACATAGTAGGTGCTATGTGTCTGTTAAACAAAATGATATAATATGTTAAATAAAATACAGATTTAGACACAGACTCAATTTCTATGTCTTAGAATTTGCAGAGATAATGCTTTTATCAGGATCACATCATGAGGTTGCCAAATACTGTAGCACCAACTTGAAGATACAACCTCTGTTGTCTATTTGGTTTTCTACAGTAAGAATGGGATGGATCCAGGGGTGAGAATTTTAGAGAACACCCTTCCCAACACCGACAGCAGTGAGGTGACAATATCTTTCTTCTCCATAAACCAGTCAGGTCTCTGAGGTACCCAGTATGGAGGCACCACCAGCCCCTCCCTGAGCTTCCTGTATGTTAAATTCTATACTGACTTGAGTGCACACAATACTCTAAACCATTAATAGAAGAAAAAATGCTCTCTCTTCATTTTTTGCTTTACTTGATGCATTAGTTGAATAAAGAAAAATCATGTGAGATACTAGATAACAAATATTTATATAGACCAGACTTCCAGGACTTAACTCACTGCGGAAGGTCGGCATGCCCCAGGTCACAGGTAAGCATGCGTTTATACAAATACTGGACCTCAGGGGACTAGAGATTTGGAAGCCTTCCAAGTTAAATTGTTCCTTAGAAGAGCCAGAAGACCTGCAGAAAACAGGATCGCTCGCAGTTTTTCTCGATTTTGATTTATTATTAGTTTGATCCCTTTCCTATCATGCATCCTTACTGTTTCTGGCTTCTGAATTCCATTTAGAAATGACTCCTTGGACTACAGGAGCAGACAGCTGTCCTCTCTGCAGCTGCCACTGGGTTGACCGTGGCTAATATCTTTGCTTTCCAGAGTGATGTTCTTTGCCAAGTCTCAACTCCCAGATCCTGGCAGCTCCAATAGATGGTGAAAGTCACGCTCACCTCTGGGAGCTACTTTTTTTGCCTCCACCTGCTGCAGGGTCTTTATGTACAAAATCTCCTTGCCTCTCAACTGTGACAATGCCTACCAGTGTCTGCCTTGTACACAGACTACAGCAGACACAATTTAGAAGAAAGAAGACTTTGCTAGAACTCCAGGCTTGCTTTTCTATCTGTGGTTTTAAAGTGATGTCCCTTTTCCAAAAGACTGACCTGAAAACAGCAGCCCATATCCTGACCCCTCATTACCTGGTGGTCAGAAACTCAATGAGCTTGTTTGCCTTCTCGTCTGTTTCACCAGCTGCGTCCACATCTTCAACCTCTTGGGTCATCTGCGGGAGGTTCCCACTGCTGTCTCCCAGACTGATACTGGAGGAGGTGGAACTGGAGCTCAGCCCCGAGTCTGGCACCGGGGAGGACTGGTCCTCTCTCAGGAAGTCAAAGCCACCTGGCGGAAGACAAGGTCAAGGTGGAACTTGCAGGCCGGGCACTTAATGAGGTCAGGAGGTGCGCATAAAGAAGTGTGTAGTTATTTAATTTTGGGGGGGGGGGAAACGCTTCATTTTGGCTGTGGCTATGATTAAATAAGACTGACACTCTTTCCCTGCTTACGGATTAATTGCACTGCTGTGTAAACGAGAGTGCATTTGGTAATAGAGGGCGATCTGCTATTTTCTACTCTGGTGTTTTAATTGACGCTTTCTACAAAAGCAGCGTGTGTGTGTGTCTGCGCGTGCACTCTCACACACGTGCACAGGCTGATGAACAGTTCCTCTAGGCATGTGCACCTAACTGTGCTGTTAGTAAATTATTCTTGGGTAATAGACAACTAAATATGTGAAATGATACCATTTTTGAGGATATCAACACTAACCAGCGATAAGTAGATTGTACATAATGTTTTGAGTAAATGTACCCAGAATTGTGAATACTGTGTGTATATTAATGTATTTTAATAAAATATGTCTCAAGGTAGGCAAAATAAATATGGTATAAGTAAATACTATACTACAGTTAGCATTCTACATCTCTGGGTAGGTTGTGGGTTTGAAAATGTATACACACGACCATTCCTTTTCTCCTACTTAATAATTATAAAAAGTACATAGTTCTGGTGTGTCTGACAGATATATTAAATTATGAGTAAGAAGCCCTGGGTCTGAGTATTATCTCTGCCATTTAATGTGTAATCTCAGGGAGTCATGTAACTTCCCTGTACCCCAGTTGCCTATTACAATAAGATGAAGACAATTTTTATCACATAGGTTTTTAGTATGGATTTGAAAGCAACTGTAGTTGAAACTGGGTGTTCAATAAATATTTAACAAATGTTTATAAAAAGAAGACACTTCTCGAAGTTTTGGTACACCTAGTCCATGTGTACTATATAGAGCTTCAATCATTTTACAAGGTCTTGCCTACGGTATATTGTGTTCGCTTTGGTTTTGTAAATCCCCACTCTAAACCATTTTATGCCACATCAGTGGTATAGTGAATACAAAACCGATGCATTCAGAGATTACAATTTTCTCATTCTAAGGCCACGTGCTTAACGGAATACATCCCTACCTTGGGGAGCTAGAACAGCCAGTCTTCAGAATCTTTTACTTAAGCGTCGTCTACAGTAAAGAGAGTTTTGTGTCTCTGAGAGGCTATTGATGGATTACTTTCACTTAGGTGTAGCTTGGTTCAAAATAAAGAGCTTAAACTGAGGTCAGCAAGTCCTTACATTTCAGAGTTAATGACTTCAGATTTGTTTTCCAGAGAAATACGCAACGTCTGTCAGAAGACAGGACAGGGCCCAGGACAAGAGTGCATAAAAGGTCCTTCCTTTTCAAGGTAATGAGAGAAGTACGTGGTGACTTATGAAATGCCAGCCCATATCCAGTGCCAATGTGATGTACAAAATAACGAGGTAAAGAAAAGTAGCCCCAGAACTCTGTCAGTTCATCACCATTTTAAGATATTTTAAAATGTTCTGGTTCTCAATGAGAACCGCTGGTCAACCCTTTTGGGAAAGTTTTCATGAGTAGCTTGGACACAACGGGGTCATTTCTTTGACTCGGCTAATGCTTTCTGTCCTCATTTCTAAGAAGAAATTTTTGGTTTCAAAACCGCAATGATTTTTAATAGACTTCCATTAACGGTGCCTTCCAGAAAAAAGTCAGTCATTTAATAGATTCCTTCAAGGGAACTAGAAGGTACACAGTGAAACATCTGGCACCTTGGTGACGCCTGCTCTTGAGGTGATGGAGATGGTCACTTTTTTCTGCATCTTCCTCCACGGGTGTTCTAGACTCATGCTCTTGGTCAATGGACATTTTAATTTTCACTGTACCAATAGGAACATATTTAATGAAAACAGCAATCATCATAACAATGTAAAAAGTATATTTGAAAATATTTACTAATGAAGAAAGATTCTGAGAAGTAAGTTCACATCAAGTGAAATGGTGCATATTCATAGTCCTGTCATTTACCACTTAGAAAGCTGGGGGGTGGGTAATAGCACCCGAGAAGTTAATTTGGGCTCCAGTGACACCTCGAGTTATCCTCATACTTGTGACTCTGTCTCAGGTTCCCGGCCACTCCTTCTTTTGTTACCTGTGTAGAGATACTCGGGTTGGTAAGCTGGCTGCACTGTTAGAGTCTTGGCTTCACCCATCTCTCGAGTCTGCAGGAGCACGGAAGCAATTGCATGGAAATTGCTGTTGCAAGAGAGGGCGATCAAGAGGTGAAGAAGCAATTTTTTGCTGTGTTCAAAGACTTCAGGCCGGTAATGGTCCAAACCTGGAAGAAAACGGTGGAATCTCTTAGCATAAACAAATCTTCAGCTCGTTTAGATTCCAGGGATAGTAAAGACTCCAAGATACCCAGGAGGAACATGTTAAAAGAATGTTTAGTTTTCTTTGTTATTGTTTGTGTTACCGACGTAAAGAAGTTGGTCCTAGGCAAAATAAAATGTTTTATTCCTTAAATCAAATGTTCTCATAAAGCACTGATAGACGGACTTTTCTTGACCTCTCCATAGCATCTGACATGCTTAGCATTCCTCTTTCCTGAGATGTTCTCTCCCCTGGATCTCCCTGTTACTGAAAGATTCTAATTTTCTCTCTCTCTCTCTCTAACTGAACTTTTGAGTCTCCCTGCCTGGCTGGTTCCTCTTCCCATTTTTTTGCTCTACAACTTGAGTATTTTAAAATCTCAGTGCTTGGCCCACCATGCTCTACATTCTTTCTCTCTGTGCATCGACTGTGTCTCATGGCTTAAAATTTATCATGTCGAACCAAAGACCCACAAAGAGGCCCAACCTGTTTTGGATATCTTTATAGAAATAGCACTGGCAAGGTACCACTCTACATTGTAGTGATAGTACAATTTTAAACAGTGACTGATCAACTAGAATTCTAGAGATGTCACAGAAAGACAGTGAAAAACGGAAGAGACTAGATATTTTGGAAATGAGGAAAAGCAGGATGTCCATGTAAAAGGAAAGCTCTATGGGTGACTTCTGTAGGTTTTGGACCCTATTGGCTAGAATTCCTCTTGGTTCCAGTCTTACCTAAGAAGACAGCATGGAGTAGCAATGGGAGATGAAGAGCCCAATCTTCTCTTACACTGTGATCCACCACCATCTCAGTCATAAAAATGACAGCAATATTGCACCTAATCAATGAAATGATGAAATTAATGCAACTTCTGAAGAGGATGAAAATACACTGATAGATCATTAGGTCACAATTACATCCAACTTGTAAACCTTGTTGAAGAATTATGTAAGGCCCTTATTCCAGGGAAATGGAGTTTAACTTCTGACACAGCACAGAGCTCTATGAGGAGAAGAAACTTCAGTTGAGCTAATTCACATAATGGGGATTCTACTAGTTACTAGGCAATAAGAGCTGAGGAATGAAGAGAAACAGAAGACAAGGGCTCTCTCTTCAAGCTGCTCACAATCTAAAAAGCATAACAGAATGAATACCCATACCAAGGTGAGATCAAGGAAAAACTCAGAGGGCTACAGGGCAGCTTTGCACCCTGGTTAATGGCTGACCAGACTCTGCCAATATGCTGATAGCTGCAGATCAGGTCAGCATGTTCCCTCTGATTTCAAAGGTCATTTCATTTGATGGGACCTGGAGTACCTTTCCCTCTTTTCATAGGAAGAAAAGTCCATTCAAAGTTAAGTGATCATTTCCTTCTACCTGTACATGCTACTCACCTATGGAGTGGCCCCCGGGGAGTGATGGTCTCTGGAAGGTAGTCCACCAGGGGGGCCCAGCATCCTCCAGTACAAGGCATGGGTAAGGGCTGTGGCTGTTTGGTCTCTGTAATAGTCAACAGCCAGCCAGTATAGGGAGAAATTGGGTCATCTACAGAGTGAGAAACACAAGCGTGCTTTAGTTTCAGGGAGAGGAGGTTTTTATTTTCCCTACTTGACTTTTTAGAAACTTACAAATTCATGCTTGTAAAAATAACTCTCTAACCATTCCATTTGGTGAGCATGAAATTATATGATCAAATGGGTTGGAATGACTTGATTAAGTTTCTTTCATTCCTTTGTTTCTTGGATATCTAATTTATGGTGACTCATTATAGAGTGATTAAAAATATGAAAATATAGATACACAAAAAGAAAAACATTACATCACGTGAATTCCCATCACTGTGACAACTCGCTCTTTCTCTGATCTCCTCCATCTCAGTGACATGCGATTCCTTATTTCCAGTTCGCTCAGGACAGGAGCCTTGGAGTCCTCCCTGACTTCTCCCTTACATCTCACATCCAACTTCTAATCATGATGATCATGATGGTGGTGACAGTAATAATTAAAATAACAACGTTTGAACTAGCATAGTGAGCGCTTACTTTATGCCAGGTATTGGTCTATGCATCTCACATATTAATAACCCAATGATGGGCACCTATTATCCCTATTTTATCAAGGGGACGCTAAGGTTAAGTAATTTGTTACCATCCACATTATTCAGTGAGCTCTACCTCATCACAGATCTAGGACACGATCACCTCCGTCACTACTACCCTAGGCTAAGCGCCCACCGCCTCTCCCTGCTTGCCTTCTTGCCCCTCTACAGTCTGTTCCCTGCAGAGCAGGCAGAGTCATCCTTTTAAAGCACAAGTTCATTCAGAGCCCCTTCCTCTGCTTACCACTGGCCAGCAGTTCCCCTTAACACTCAGAACGAAATCCAGCAGCCCCATGAGGGCCTTTGAGGCCTGACAAGATCTTTCTCCTGTTTCTTGGCTTATCTCCTTCTGCTGTCCCCTGTGCTCACTGCCCGCCAGTCACCCTGGCTCTCCTGCTGTTCTGTGACCGTGCCAGGCGCCGTCCACCTACCGTCCACCCCCCAGCTGCAGTGTTCTTCCCCAGACGGCCGCGTGGCTCACTCCTTTACTTCATGCAAGTCTCTGCCCAAGTACCACTTTATCGCAGAGGATTTCTGTGACCACTCCACTTAAAATCCACCCCATCCCCAATCACTTTCTCCCCCTCTCTCTGCTTTAGTTCCCCTGCGGCACCGATTCCGCAGCGCTGACGGCTTCCCCCTCCTCTGCCTCTAACACAAGGTCCCTGAGAGCGGGACTTTCTCTATTTTGCTCCTAGTACACAGAGCAGTATCTGGCACGTCGTAGGAGATCAGGACATATATATTTTGAATGAATTAATGAACTTCCTCAACAAAATATTTTTAAAGTAAGCACAGCAACAAATTTCATGGAGTTATTTTTTATAACGCTCTCAACCCAGGCCAGTGGCATTCAAGACAAGCCACTGCACTTGGGGCCACATGATATGATCAATGCATACGGCTTCAGACAAGCTGGCTTAATCCTGGGATAGACTTTAGTGTATGAAGAGGAAGGATGTTTTTATAACATCGTTAGGCAGTTTCTCCAAAATATAGGTTTTTTTTGTTTGTTTGTTTGCTTGTTTTGCAGTACGCAGGCCTCTCACTGCTGTGGCCTCTCCCGTTGCGGAGCACAGGCTCCGGACGCGCAGGCTCAGGGGCCATGGCTCACGGGCCCAGCCGCTCCGCGGCATGTGGGATCCTCCCGGACCGGGGCACGAACCCGTGTCCCCCGCATCGGCAGGCGGACTCTCAACCACTGTGCCACCAGGGAAGCCCTTGGTTGCACTTTTGAAGGTAGTGAGAGGTAGCTGATTCAATGCTACTGGTCCAGTGCAGGACGCTGGCCTTAACAGTTAGCAGAGCTGATGGGGGGGATGCCTTCCTATGGTGAAAACTGAGGCTCCAAACCCACACAGGGACTAGAACCAAGCACAGCCCACTTCTCCTGGGATGTGAGCTGAGGGAGTCTCCAGGGGTTAAGACCAGGAGTCACCTCTGAAAGTGACTCCTGACTCTTTCTAACACACAAGCATGAGCGACTAGAAACCCGTCACTCTGTGCCATGAATGTGCCACATTTTTAGCCCAGAAAAGATTTTAAGCAGGTATAATAGTCACTCAGCTTAGCCCACTCGGTAAACTACCTACCGCATGCCTCACGCTCAGCAAACTACCTCCTCGAACAGCTGTCCAGGTGAGTTAGTTGCAAAATGCACGTCTAAACAACTAGTTACTCTACACAACTAGAACGGCGAGCCGAAATGGGAGAACACTGAAGAATTAAAACACACACCAAACTTGTGAGATTTCTGTTAGGAAAGGACATGCTGTTTTTCGTTTCTGATGTTCTCAGATATATATCCAGTCAGCAAAAATGTGCTGCGAGGGATTAAGCTGACCTAAAACTGATTTTCTACAGTTAGGCCTAAACTGCTAGGACTCAGCTGCTATCCAACTTAACTAGCTGTATCCTTACTGTGGGGTTACAGACATTAGCATATGGCCTTGGAAAATAATCCAGATATGTTAAGTAGCTCTGAAAAAAAAAAAAAGCTTACATAACGCTGGTAGAAAACTGCTTTATAGACCGGGTCTAAATCAGTTTGCTTGTCCATTTTACTCAAGGTGGTATGGTTTTTTAATAAAAAATACACTTAGGAGGTACGCATCATCCTTATTTTTGGGTAACCCAGACCATGAAGCCCTGGGCCACGAGGTCTCTCCTGATCCCTTCTCACTCTTCTCACCCTTGCTGATACCCTCAGGAATTCAGGGAGGAAGTAACTGCCCTTAACATATACCAGACGCCTGGCCATAAGGTTTTGGAATTGAGCCTGCTAACTTTTGCTTCTCTCGTGGCATACTCTATCCATCATTGGGTAGCTGGAACCAAACATGCATCTGGGAGGACCCAGTTACCAAAGTCCTGAGGGTATTCGTGCCTTATTAGACACACTGCTTCATCCAAGACAGCCAAAGTCAAGTTCTAGTACTTGAATGCCTGGGAAAGGATCTTAGCATATAGTTTATGTACTTTCTGTTATGAGGATCTGTTTGAGAAGCTTGATTCCATTTTCTCTTTCAATGAGGAATTGAAGATTTGAGCTCTCAGCACCCAAACTACTTTTCTGTGAACTCCAATTTCCCTAGCTAATATTAGTAACCTTGTGAAGAATATTACTGACACCTGACTCAATTAAATTCAAGTTCTGTACCCAAAATTTCCCATTAAAATGCTGTTTATGCTGGTATGACAAATTTATAAACATTTCTGGGTAAAACAGAGGCCATAATGATAATACTAGACTACTCTTTATACCTTATCTGCATTCACAGTAGTCTTTCCTTCCCTTTATAAACACTTCTATTACTTTTTCTTTTTGTCCCTAAAGTCAGTGATCTGAGTTTATATAACGACACAACTATTAGCTTACTTTGTTATAATTATCCCCTGAAATTCACTATTTTAAAATATGTAAGGAATATGAAGTTTTAATACCAGAGGGCTCTGAAGATGTATTTTCAAAATGATTGTTACTTTGTTACGGCATTTTCTACCGAATTCTGGGTCCTATACCCAGAGCAAAGAGATACACTTTGAAGGAGTCAACTGGCCAAAGTGCGACAATATCCCTAATGTAAAATCCACAGTCACAGAGCGCTTTGCTTTGTTATATCATGCCTGTCACATTCTGGGGGAGTCAGGATTTGACTGCCTAACTTTTTCATGATTCAGTTTTTCTGTCCTCAAATTCTGTGTTACCAAATATTGCATAGCAATGACTTTTCTTGAACCAACAACTCCTTTCCTCCGGTACTGCTCTCCTCATCTATAAAATCTGGTCCTGCCTAGATTCAACTGTTTGGTGTCTGGATGGCAGAGCCCCTTGATGGGGCACGGAAAGGAGGGAAAATGCAAATAGCTTTTTTGTTTTCCCCCCCCCTAATCTCATACTGACCTTTCTAGAAAAAGGTTTTACAGGGACATAGTTAAAACTTAACCCAAGTATGGCAATATATATGGATTTTAGACATTCCTCCAATTGGTATTTTGAATGGTGGAGAATTGCCTATCTATATCTGCATTAAGGAGTAAAGTAAGGGCAACTGAAATGTGGTGTCATTAGAACTGCTAAGCTCTTACCCCACTCTGCACATTTCCCATAAGAACAAAACAACTCAAAACAACCACTACAAAGGCCCAATGCACTGACTTACAAAATGAACCTAACTCATGAGATATCATATTACGATTTCCACCAAAATAGACAAATAAGTTCTACCAGATAGTTTACCGATTTCCTTAGCATACCTAAATGTCACTGGGAGTGTTCTTTGGTTCCAGAATTTCTGTAACTTGTGAACAAGTAATACCCATCACCTTCTGAGTATCTACACAACCTGTCCAGGGCTTAAACAAAATTAATGAATGCATTGACCTTTTTGGTTTTTCCAACGTCCCAAGGTACAATGAAATTTCTGTGATAATTTTATCTCCCAGTCTGGCAAGGTTTTCACTTGGCCACTGAGACTGTGCCGTTGAGATATTCAATGTGAAAACAAATCTATCCTGGGTGAGCTGACTCACAAGGCTTAAAGGTTAAATCCACTCCCAAGACAGGTCAATAAATTGAATGGAAACCTTTGTTTTCTCATGAGACCATTTCTTACTAGCCTTTCCCCAACTGCATTACCAAGGAAAAGGGCCAAGAATACAAAAATATGTCTTTAGATAGTAGCTTGAAGTTTTAACAGCTTTGATTCATGCACTGCTTGGCTTCTTTTTACTTTTAAGAGGTTGACTTGCCCATCTACATAGTTGGATTAAGTAGTTACTTAATACTTATGGGCCCCTTTTTAGTGATTAGAATAAGAATAATCAAAATACTCATTTTCTATTCTCCAACCCTTTGCCTTCCATCTGACCCCCCCTCCCCCGCCCCAGCCTGTTGGTACTTACTTTTATCCTCGTCGTACGATCCTCCAGAGCTATTGCTGTATCTCGACTCCAGACGGGTATGGGCTCTAATGACGTTACTGAACCTTCAAATACAAGAACCGTCATGAGATACTGACATGTGGGTTTGTGCTGTGACACAGAAAAACATACTATTTTGGGGCAGCTAGTTCTCATGATCCTTTTCCTAAAAGAATACTGTAAAAAGTGGTGGCGAAGTGGTTGAGAGTCCGCCTGCCGATGCAGGGGACACAGGTTCATGCCCTGGTCCGGGAAGATTCCACATGCCGCGGAGCGGCTGGGCCCGTGAGCCATGGCCGCTGAGCCTGCACGTCCGGAGCCTGTTGCTCCGCAACGGAAGAGGCCACAGCAGTGAGAGGCCCGCGTACCGCAAAAAAAAAAAAAAAAAAAAAAAAAAAATAAGTGTACACCAAACATTCCTTTTGTCCTCGAGAGGGCCAGTGGTCACTCTTGCTCAGGAGCACAAGTTCAAACCTTGAAAAGAAACATTTTAAGACTAATATTTGAATTAAACTAGAAAATTATAACATTTGTTTGGAAATAAAATGGGCATCATACTGAATAACATGAATCCTTTACTCACATGGTAACCTGGCATATGGGAGGTGGTCAAGAAATAATTGCTGAATGATTGAATAAGTGAAAGGAGACAGAATTGGAAATAGCTGGAAACAAAAATAGTTCCATAACAAATTTTGGACTTAACCAGCTTTAAAGTTTTCCTTAAAGTGTTTTTAGGAAAAGGTGCTAGTTGAGACATGATATAACCAGAGGGACTCTTTCTGTCTGGTCTCTCTTGTGGCTTAAGAAATAATCAAAAAAAAAAAAAAAGAGAAAAAAAGGTTGAAGTATAATAACTTCACATACATTAACTCATTTAATCTCACTCACTCAACTTTGAGATAAGCATCATTTACTCTGCAAATGAGGAAACAGGCCGAGTGAGGCTAAGCAACTTGTCCAGTGTCAGGCCGAGGAAGGTGGCAGTACAGGGATGCTTTTATTGCCGTGTTGCCTCCAAGAAGGGGGGGATGCGATCTCAGGCTGAGCTCTCGCTCACTAGCTTGGTGACCCTGAGCAAGTCCTTTACCTCCTTGGGGACCCTGTTTCCACGCCTGCCAAAAAGGAATAATAATAACACCTCACCATTTATTTCACCCAATCTTTTGTTGGGACTGCTGTGGGAATCAAAAGAAATGATGTGAGAATTTCCAAAACTCCAAGTCGCCATCCAACTATAAGGTATTAATTATTATACCTCTACCTTGGATTTCTAGAATGCCTTTTTAGGGCACCAAAAACTTACAAATCAATAGCATTTTTACCATCTAAAGAGCTATAAGGTCAGGCAAGGGTGTGGATGAGGGTAAGTGTGGGTGAAACGGTACGTCTATATTTACTTTACATAAAATGATACAAAGTGGGTTTTGTCTACATTATTGACTGGGTGTTCCATCCTAACTGATAGCAGATCAACACTCTATTTCCCTCTGGAACACTAGAAAAGACACGGCTATAGCTGTCCTCATCAATGTATGGAGAAACAGTGATATTTCAGGAAAATGTACTGGATGTACCATTAGATGCTACCTCGTCCCAGGGTATAACCTCAGAACACTGCAACGATGATTTGAATTTTCTGAATATAGAAATGTATTGAGTATAAAGCCTTTGGTTTTATTCACTCTGTAGATATTTGCAGCAGCTTTTTTTTTTTTTGGTCCTGACAAGCCACCTTTCTCCCAGTAACTTTGTATTTCAAACATTCTTCATTCTCTTATCTTTTGGGCTATTAATTTGTGAATCCATAAAACAGAAGATGGAGGACATCTGCTTAGTTTCATATAAATCAGGCCACGTAATTGTCTAACTGGTACTTATGAAATTGGAAAAGTGAAAAACCTATTACCTTCTGAAGAAGTTCTACAATCATATTTATGCTGATAAATGCAAAGATATAAACAGCATATGCAGAGCCCAGACATCATTCAACAGGGAATAAAAACAGGGTGATGAAAGAATTCCACATCTGGAGATTTCCACAGGACAGAGAGCTTTGCAGGCTTCCTAGCTCTTCAAGAATTGTGATATACGTCGGTTTTACAATCGTGCTCGGGAAGGCCAGGCAGGGAAGAATTATAGGAAGGATGTCAATTCTTCTCTTTTCCTTTTGAGATAGATCTAAAGGATTGCTAGGAGGCGTTTATGATGCCAAGATGAAGGGGAGGAGCAAGCCCCTTCCAGACTATTCTCCTTATTCTAGAGAAGGTTGAAACCACAGAGCAGGGAAGTGTACACTTGGCAAAAAGAAAAGGTAAAAAACTGATTCCCAAGACTAAAATCTGCTGTGTTCATTTGCTTTCCTGGGTTGAAGAAAATAATTTTGGGTCTAGGTCCTAGAAGAATTTCAAGGACTAAGTAGACTGAACAGTCTTTTAATATAAAGGTACATGTCTTAGAAATGTTATCATAAAAATAGCTCTGCTAAGAGAAAAACGAGAAGCACAAAGTGTTTCCCTAAATTTTCTCTTGCTGATTTTGCTCAAATTAATTCTTACACAACTTTCTGTGGGTTACTAATCTCTACCCCTGTATCAACACAGATCACCAGAAACTTACATAGCTGAAGTTTATTGCTTTTAGTTCCTTATGAACAATCCTTTCATGGCTTTTATCAATGGTTGATGTATTAAAAATACTTAAACGGTTTGTTTCTGCATATTTTACGAACTGTTATTTTAATTAAAAATATGTGTTCACTTTATTGTTTCATTTTAAAAACTAGATGATAAATACTTCTTAGAGCTTAGGAACACTTATTTAGTAGCTTCCGATGAATTGCTTTTGCTTGTTTACTTTCTGATGTACTGAAAGTTACAAAATTTGCTCTATTTTTCTTTTCTTACTTTGACTATTGAGGAACTCAATGTTAGGTTAATATTAACTTTTAGTGGTTCTCTTTAGGACTTTTGACATAACTATCTTACTCTCCTTTTAGCTTGACTCATTCTTTTACCCTGGTTTTACTATAAGTTATCTAAACTTAATGCAGTAGGTATGGTATTATTAAATATTTCTGAATTATATCTAAGAACGATTAACTAGTTGTAAAGGACATGGCATCAGGGCTGCCGCTTTGCACAACTCCATGGTGCCCCCTGGAGCCCAACAATGCATTCTGGTGACTGGTACCCCCAGGAATTGTGTCACACAGCAGCCAGGTCATTGGTATTTGTGACCAAGATTATCTCTGTAGGCTCTTTGTCTAGAAGGATGTAAAGAACAGAGTAAACAACTGTCTTGTGTAACGGGGTTAGTAAGAGGGAGGGAGAAAGGGGGGCTGGAGGGTGTTTGGATAGCTTATCCACCTCTGGGGCTGTGATGTTTCTCCAATTCTCATTCACATACTGAGTAAACATTTTAAGAAATGATTACTATGTGCAGCATAGTCAGGTAATCACTGAGGACAGAAATATGTATAAGAGCTACATAATTTGTTTTCTAAGAATGAAAATCTAGTGGTTGAGACACAAGTATGCTTACAAGTATCTATACATCAGCATGACAGGGAGGAAGGCGGTAAGTAGACTGCAGAGAAAAAGGATACTTTAGGCTGAGGGCACAGTCTACCTTCAAAGAAAAGACAGACTATATTAGAGAAATAGCATAGGTGGAATATAGGGTCAATGGAATGATAGTATCCTTTGTGATAGAACATTCATATAGGTGTGATCATATATATAAATATGACCAGTTAACCTACCTATAGGTAGATAAACAGATATAGTCAGTATGAAATAACAGATGTGCACAAATATGTAAAAATGTGGGTAGCATCAGGCTTTGTAATGGCCAACAGAGATGTGGTGATAGAGCAGGAAAGCAAGAGATAAACAAGAAAGCCTAGTACAGATATTCTCTGGCTTCTTCATTTTAAAGGCTACCACTAAAAATTTAGGCAGGACACTCAGAACTCTGGTCCTAAAGGGGCCTTTGTAATGAGATGTTAATGTATGGAAATGTATCACCTTTCTACCCTTAATACAATTAAGATGAAAACTTCAGACTACACATTAAATGATAAGAATGTTACACTCCCACCAGAAAGTAGAAATATCTTTATAGAAATATGTGATTTTTTTTTTTTTTTTTACCATGAGGGAGTTTTCCAAAGAAGGTACTGGCAAATATAGATGAAAAAGTAACACGTTAATTAATTATCTTGTACTGTCATTGATGCATAAAGTATGAAAATTATCCATTTCTGAGAAAGAAAGGCCTTTATTAGAGAACTGTAAAGGAAAAGGTCTATAATTCATGACCTACTGAGTTAGAGCTTTTGATCTGAAGGCAAGCTCACAGGATGAGCACCTGCCTAAAGGCAGTGCAGCCAGCCAGTAATCAACATGTTGAGGAACCTGATAAATGCCTAAATTAGAGAATGAACTTTCAGAACTCCAGCCCCATGTCAGACAATCTTCCACCTGTAGCCCCTGATGTATTCTCGTGTACAGGATGAAATCCTGAGGATGGTCATGAAGCATCTAGGGGCTTTTTAGGCTAAATGAATTCTCTTCATTATTTGATCCACTAAATTTTCTCCAGTATGAATTTGTGAATATCTCATCCTTGTTATTAATTTCTTAAGTGAAAGGGCTCCCCATTATTTTTCACTAGAAAATATTCAACCTAAGGAGTTTTCAACACCATGAGAATCATTCTAATTTTAATTTTCAAATTTCAGTCCTGTTATCTCTTTTGGTTTGTCTCTCTGCTCTTCACAACCAACTGCAGGAAATGGTGATCTAGATTTTGCTTATTTATGGGTAGCTCCTAGACAACGTGAAGGCAGAAATACGAACAAGAGAAATATTACCATTAAAGAGCTAACAGGAAGGGGATTGAGACTTCTTTTAGACAGTGTTCTTGGTTAACCCAGATGTGAAAGAGTAAAGGTAAAAGAAGAATGATGATGTTTCACAGAATTCACCCCAAGATAACTACTCTGTCTCTAAGAAATTATTCAAGACCCAGATTTGAACATTTCACGTGGAAATTCCCTCTAACTCCAGATGGTCTGTGCCCACTAGCAGAACAACTTGTGGTTTTTATTAAGCCCTGGGGTAAGTAGGCTTCAGCCACCAGAACAACATCTCTCTTAATCTTTCTCTCCTCTGGCTTTGCTCAGCAGGAAATTGTTATCTTTAGGGATATACAGAGTGGAGTCTGAAAGTCAATCTGTGTTTCTAAAAAACAAAGAAGGATGCGTGCGTGTGCGTGTGTGTGTGTGTGTGTGTGTGTGTGTGTGAAATTTATGAAGCCCCACAAATTTTGCTAATGCTTTGTATAGACAATTGCTGAAAGTTAAGCTGGATGTTAAACCAAATTTGTGCACCAACCTCTCATCAGATTCTTTCAATATCTTGCTTTCCTCAGCGTCTGGGAAACCGTCCTGGCCAGCAACCACTGTATTGCTGCTGGAGGTGGTTCCTGTAGATGGGATTAAAGAGCAACACTTAGAAAGAAATACCTGCGCTGGGGTCAAGCTCAAGTCTCAAGTAATTCCAGGAAAGGATTTCCTGTAAAATCTGTTTGTGAGATTCCTTACATCTTCTGCAGAATCTCAGACATTCTAAACAACCTTCCAAGCCTGCCCCACTGCAATGGAGAATCCCAGACATCTGCTATGGTCAAACCAAATTCCTCAACTCTCTTATAAAGCGAGGCTACAACATTCTTGAAGCCCTTTCTTCCTGGCTGCTTAGGTAACAAGCTTATTTACAGTGGCCAGCCCTGCTGTTAGCTCCTTTAGCATTTCTGGGTCCAGGAGTTAATAAACGAATGTTAGTGAAGCATTTCCAAGTTCCTAGAGCTTCTGATCCCTAGGCCACTGCTTCTTTGCAAGAGCACTGCTCTGGCAGCAGGATGCGAACACACAGAGGGCATAAGAGACCAGAGGAGGAGAGAGGTTTGAAGGTAGTTACAGCGTTAGGTGAACTGAAAGGAAGAAAGCATCAAGGAATTTGAGGAGGGTGGTATATATTTCATAAAATGATGCTGAGAGACCAATTTATCGAAAGTGATAACACTGGTCAGGGGGCATTTTAGTAAACCCTGGGAGAATATTAGCCAAGAGAATTCCATCGATACGAGAAGGAAGGTCCAGAAATGAGACACCTAAATGACTAGTGTCCACTCTAAGCTCAGCCTAAAGCAAGAAGCTCTGCGCATGAGTCCCTGGCTCCCGACTATTGGCTATTCTTACAGAATCATTTCATTAATCAGACAAGGCCCTAAGAGTCTCAGCTATCCTTAAGCCATCTTTTAAATGAGTGCATATGTAGGAATAAGAGAAAGTAATGAACACACACTCATATCCTTTCGATGCTCTACATAAAGGTAAATCCAGAGCTCCACGGCAAGGTGTCTACCCAGCCGCCTGTCCCCTACCGGAGGCTGCTGCCGAGGCCTTGCTGCTGGCCGCGAAGCGGTAGAAGGGCGGGTTGTCACAGTGCTGGACGATCGGGTTCACCGGCTCCGTCTGCTGTAGCTCAAACAGAAGCTCCTCCATGGTTTGAATGGTGTTATTACGGCACAAGTATATGGCCACCTTTTTAATCTGAGATGAAAAACAGAACACAAGGGATATTTTCCAGAGCACGCCCGCAAGAATGTTAGGCTGTCGACAGCGGAGATGGTAACCCATTCATTCTGTTGACCACGTCATCCCCCCAGAAGCGCTCACCCTGATGGAGCCTCCTCCTCTCCCAGGAGGAGTCAAGTGTCTGGGTTAAAACTCACCTCCTTTCACATGCACATCTGATAGGAGCGTGTGGTTAAAGGTCTTACCTTCCCTAATGGCTGAGTTTACAAGAGTTACTTTGGGGATAACTTGTGGGCTAAACATGATTCTATCTAAACTAAAAACTTGCCATGTAAGGTCTTACCTTGAGAAAGTATTTTATTTATACAGAACCATGGGGGGAAAACTGCTAGCTGTTTCTGTTAAAAAAAAAAAAAAAACCAAAAACTCAGTCTCCTGCTACCCAAGAAACAAACGAGTCTGAGCTGTTTGCATAGCTTTAAGTTGTAAAAATAACCCTGGACTAAAGCTCTGCATCACCATAGCCCCCAAACCTGAGGCACGGAAGCTGCTGTAATGTGACTGATGTGGCCCAGAACAGCAGGCAGGCACAAAATCTCTCAGAAAAGCAACCAGCACACAGATGCCAACTGAGTCAGGGTTTTTTTTTTTTTAGGTACGCGGGCCTCTCACTGTTGTGGCCTCTCCCATTGCGGAGCACAGGCTCCGGACGCGCAGGCTCAGCGGCCATGGCTCACGGGCCCAGCGGCTCCGTGGCATGTGGGATCTTCCCGGACCGGGACACGAACCCACGCCCCCTGCATCGGCAGGCGGACTCTCAACCACTGCGCCACCAGGGAAGCCCCTGAGTCAGGGTTCTAAACATGTTTCTGTCGACATGGTTTTAAACATGTTTTTGTAAACATGGTTTTGTTGATCACCTCATCTTTAAATACAAACACTAAGTGGTGGGAATCTCAGTAGGATTTCTCTTTGCTTCTTTCTCTCTCTTACCACCTGCCTTTGAAGAGACAAACTGGGAGATTCTCCATTTTTATTGTTTTAAGAGCATCAGGATGTAAACATGAAACACTTTATTAGTAAAAATATAATGTGTCACCTAGTTTCTCTTACATAACGGGTGGGTCTAATGTTTCTAGAATACAGATTTAGATAATTGTTAGAAAAATGTCTACACCTAAATTCATAGGTTTCCGTGTCCAAAGTCTTAGAAAGGGGATGACAGAGGTGTCACTAGGACACTAGTCCGCATCTCAGAGGGGCAGAAGGGAACTTTTATGTAATATCTAGAAAGCTCACAGGAGATTAGTGTGACGGATGAAATCTGACATCTCTATTCTACTTGGAGCAAAGAGCACATTCCGACTTGCAAACCGCTGATGGAGCCACCGGCAGAATAATGAGCACTGAACGTCAGAGGGGCACTCACATAGGGCAGGAGAAGCGTGTCACTGCTAACCCCGCACAGGCTGATCAGGAACTGCAAGGTGATCCTCAGGTTGTTGCTCCATTTCTCATTGTTGGCTAAAGCATTCCAGGCATTTTCCATTTCTGGTCCAGGAACTTCATCTCCATACTGTAACCAACAAAATAAAAACCGGCTCGGGAGACACACAGAAAAAACGTGAGGACGCAAAATGTCTGATTAATAGTCACTTTAAGGGTCACGGTCATCTCCAAATGATAAGAAGGGGGGAAACGGCCATTCATCAGAAAGATGCCACTTTTTAGGAATTTATAATGCACAATATTTATTCGTATGATTGTTCAAATGTTAGGATGATGACGATTAGGATCACGATTAAAATTGTGGTAAAATAAAGTTTCCCATCTTAACCATTTTTACGTGTACAGTTCAGTGGCATGAAGCACGTTCACACTGTTATGAAACCGTCACCACCAACCCCACCCTATTTTTGCGACTTTTAATGGTAGATGACACTTCCCCCAGGTGTAATCCCGGGTTTCCTGGGATGTGGGAGCACAGGATGGAGGCATGATTCCTCGGAGTTTACCTTGGCTGTCATGTACATGAGGTTATTCAGCACCAGGGACGTAGCTTCCGGGGAGCCCCAGCCATTGCCTTTTAGCCCCTGAGAAGCCGTCCCCTCTCCTTCCCGGTCCTTGACGTCGTCCTCTGGGCTGCTGGGACTCGAGCCTGGGAGGAGCAGCCTGCTGTCCACCAGCTCGATGTTGTGCAGCCAGGGCAGCAGGTAGGTGAGCATGATCTGACGCCCGTTCGGGTGCGTCGTGGGAAACCGCTGGCTGACCTCTAAAGAGGGAAGGGCAGTGACCGAGAGCCATGTCATCTCATCAAACTAAACCGAAAGATGAACAGCAACTGACAGATCCAACAGAGCCCTCCGTTTACACAGCATTTTCATTTACAGCAGCTCCCCAAGGCCATACAATCTTACAACTGAGGCTTGTCCTCAAACCCCTCACTTCTCAGCAGGTGCTCCATGGAGGAAAGTGAGAGCACAGCGGGGAGAGCACAGGCTTGGTGGGATGGGATGAAAGACCTCCTGGATTCAGATCGACTGCTAGTGGAAGAGGTACGTTAGGGTGGACAAAACAGGGGACTGGGAATCAGAAGGACATGTGACCAGATCCCATTTCCTCAACCTATTAGCTGCATGAGACTCTGGGATAGTTCTTTAACCTCTCTGTTCCTCAATTTCCTCATCTGTAAAATGGGGCCCATCAGGTCCTGCCTTGGGCAACTGTGAGGATTAAGAGATACCATCATAATGTGTATAATATACTCAGCACAGTGCCTGTCATCCAGTAGGCTCTTAATAAACAGCAGTTACGATTATTATAACAATGACTTACCTTTCAACTATGCCTATATTTTACAAAGTGCCTTGCATGAAGCATTAGCTGTTAAAAAGTGAAATGCAAACTTCCAGGAAGAACAAACCCAGTGGGTGGACTCATGTCCGTGGTGTCTACTTGAGAACTGCCAACTATGTGGCAAGTGTGCTTTCAATGCCACGCTTTGTTTTATGAAATAAGGAGTCAAAAGGGTAAAACTATATGACCAGCCCGGTCATCTCACCATTACCTCCTCTGATAGCATTTTTACATTGTTTCACTGCCAGCAGCATTTAATTTTACAATCTGAATAAGCTTTCTATAGAAATAAAAGCACAGCTTTATGTATATGCTGCAAGTTCTAAGTCATCTCTTATTTCTAATATTTATGGAAGAAACTGTTTTATCCTAAGGGAAATTAGAAAGCTTGGCCTGATGCATTTGCTATCATCCAGCGAGGCGTGTAATCTCATTTCGAGAGCTCATGCCTGCTACACAATAGAACAACATGGATGCCAGGAATTATACCGAGATAATCCACCGCATCCCCAGTAGCTTTAATTGATTTGGCCCTTTTCCTGAAATTAAAATGACAATTTTTTACTTTGAAGAATAAGAATATACTTAATTCTGTGCACAATAATCAGACATGTTATGCTGTTATATTTCACACAGGTCAAAATTTCAAAATTTACTTAATTTCTAAACTTACATGAATGTGATGACTGATACCATGGATTTTTATGACACAAAAATTTTATTGGGACTTTGGAGAGAAATAAACCTTTCCAATCAGAGGTACAACTGCTTTAAGAATACCTGTCGTCTTTCAATAGCGGTATAAAAATCTACGTAGCAATAAGCACCTTCTATCATATTACTCATTTATGTAAAATAAATTTGTATTTATAGCTTTATATTTATAAAATTTATAAATAATTTGCTTATTTATGTTTATTTTATCTTGTCTGTCAGACATAAGGTCCAAGGGGGCGGGGATGTCTGTCTGTGGTATCCCAGGCACCTAGATCAGGGCCTGGATTTTTAGAGATGTTTTAAAGGGAAAAGAGAAAAAAAATGCCATGGCACACGAACAACCCCTCATTCACCTCTTTAGAAACAAATTAAATAAACTGTGAGACAATGTCTGTGGGATCCCATATACATTTGCTGGCTTTTGGGAGAGACCTGAACAACTGGCCTGGCTACGTACAAGGAATTAAGTCATTTGAAATTACAGGCAGTAAAAATCTCACCACAGGGTTTTTAATGGTAAAGGCAGTATAAACAAAAGCGAGGAATCTATTAAAACCTCATTTTTCCATGTTATTTTTAACAACTTATTCCTCATAAATCAAAATAGCCAAAAGGTCAGTTCTTGACAGAAAATTTAGCTTGAACTTGCAACTCATTACATGAGCTTCTTTTCTTATTAAATTTGCTGGACTGTTTATCTTCTCTCTCCCCAATTGTCAGTCTCTCCCTCTTTACGGGCTTCTCCCTCTCAGCCAAGAAACAAGCTCGAGTCTCGCTCATCCTCTGACTCTGCATCCTACTATAGCCCCATCCTCTCTTTTTCTGCTTCTTTTTAGCCAAGCCCCTGAGATCTGGCTTCTGCCGCTACTTCTCCATGGAAACTACCGACAGTTACCAATGAATTGTGCAATCCATAGGGTAATCTTTAGACCTTATCTCCTGGGATCTATAGGAATGTGGACTGCTCCAATCCGTCTCCCTAAGTCCTGTCTTCTCTAGGTCTCCATAAAACACACCTTCTAGGTGCTCTCCTTCTATAAACATGCCTCCCTTCCCTCTCTGCTCCCTCGCCCTTCCTTGGCCTGGTCCTTAGAAGTTGGGGGTCCAGGTTCTTTCTTTCACTCTGTACGCTCTCCATTCAGGACCTCATTCATTCCCATGGTTCTGACCCCTCTGGTCTTCCGTGAGTCACTACCGCTGGCCTTCCCTTGACCCTGGCCTGTCTATACTCAGGATGTCCAACAGATGCCTACACTCAATAGCCCAAACAGAGCTCATGATCTCTGCCTTGGCCTGACCCTCCTCTTCTCCCCCAATCGGCTCTCCAGGTGGGGTTATCACCACCCATTTCCCAGATATGGCACTAGGCACTCCCTTCTGTGCACTCCGCCCAGTAGCTCTTGACTCTGGTCTCTCCCCTCTGCTCTCACTGGGCTGTCCGGGTTCAGGTCCGCTTCATTTCCTCCTTGGACTACTGTCATCATTTCTCAACTGGTCTCTTCTCTCTAGACTGGGTGTTCTCTAATCCATTCACCACACTGCAGTAGTCTTTCTAAAATGCACTCTGATCTCGTCCCCTCTCTTCTTGCTTGAAACTGATGAGTGGCTTTCAAAATCCAAGCAGCTCGCTTGGATGCCCTTCCTGTTCACAGGCTTCTGAGGGGTTTCAAGGAGCACGTATGTGGTCACTGGCCTACAAACTCCTTAGGGTACAATACAAGGCCTTCCAAGATTGACTTCTGCCTCTCTGCCTGTCTGTGACCATCTCAAACTTTCCCCCTTCCCTGCATGTTGTATTAGCCAAACTGACTACTACATAATCTCTCAAATGCATCATTGTATTTTATGCCTCTAAGCCAAAGCGTATGACATTTCCTTGGCCTGTAATGCCGTCTCCTTGCCAACCGCAATGTCAGCTATTCATGTGCTTTGCAAATGTCTACTCTTCTTTCAAACTGCAGCTCAGACATCAACTTCTCTGGGAAGTCTTTTCTGATACTCCTGGCCCAGTAACTGATTACTCCCTGATCTTCCATCTCATACGGAGAATGTGCAATGAAACTTCGATGGGAGAGGCTGTTTAATTCACCTCTGTATTCCTAGGATCCAATCACAGTGCCTGGCATACAGGTGGCACTCAAATCTTGGTTGAAGTGAATAAAAATAAATTTTAGTTTTCCAAGAAGAAAATTAATTTATCAAAAAGGTTTTCCTTGAGTCCTTCCACTGTTTCAGGCACAATGCAAGGATGTGACTAAGTCTGTTTCAGATAAATGGATTTTCCAAAACATGATTCACAAAGATTACTCGTAAAGGTGTGCCCCGATTCAAACTCTCAACAACTGATACATGTAGCATTCAAGCTACAAAATACCATCATCACCGCCACCAAAAAACAACTTACAGCAATTATTTGTATTAGAAGTTATACCACCCATATTTAATTTCTTTGGGAAATTTTATATACACAGTGTATGTAAAGTATTATGATTCATCTAAGCATCTTCACATTTGTCCTATGTTTATTTATACCTACACTATTTTAGATAAATACACTGTTTTAAAGATATTCTAGAATTTACTTTTATATGTAACTGAACTTAGCCCAGAGTAATTTTGAGCTACAAATTTAGCATCAATAATTTTGATTCTAAATTACACTAGAATTTAAAAAGTAAGAACACTTAGAGCAGAAATGATCACACATGTCATGACTGACTATCACATGGTACCTGAGAAGAGAGGGAGAGTGAGCTCGGGGTACATCCTGGCCAGCTCGCACGACAAGAGGGCTAGTGACACACTGTACAGGGGCGGCAACGGGCCGTGTGTTCCATAGAGAATACTTCCAGGCCTTTGTTCAGCTACTTTCTTCGAGTACACAAAAAGCTTTGCTTCAAGGATCTATAAAGAAGTAGTAGGAAAGTAATAAGCAGTATGAAAAAACATTGGCTTGCTATCTCAGGAGTATTTATATTGAATAAAGTTTTGTAATAAAAACTAATGAACGAATATTTTAATATTGTATTAAAGGTAAAGCATCGGCTGCTTCCTATGTTTACAGAAGATTATGTAATTGTTTTCTCACTCATCATATCCACCGGTGATATGCAGAAATAAATAAATACGTATCAATAAATAGCAATCCAGTAGATCAACTACCATTTCTATTTTCTGTGCTCGAGGATGGAAATTTCAACGTAGTCAATGATACGTGCCTGCATGAGCTGCATGGAGATTTCATAAATCTCTCTGTTGGTGTCAGAAGCCTTGAATAGAACGAGGTTTAACAATGTCACTATGTCAAAGGGATAGTTCCTAAAAAAAATAATAAACAGCATAGTTTAGGAGACAGCCTGGCTAGTAATCTTGATAAATCATTACCTCTCAAAATTCTAGATGGTACACTGACCTCGGTCACACTTACTAAAGACATTCCCAAGCCCATGTGGCCATTCCCCCACCCCCCTCATTCTTTTGCTGTTTATTAGCAGGTGAAGAAATAGCTCTATTTTGGGTTAAAACTGAATATAGTCGCACCAGGATAAATGAATACAAAAGTCTATCTATTGCAAATAGATTTCAATGAAAACCAAATACAAGAGGAAAAGAAGAAGACAATATGTCTAAATTTCTCAACAGCTCACTGACTTACTATTTTCATTCAATCTATCTAAATTTATTAAACACCAAACATCTATCAGAAACGACTGCAAAGTACATATGATACTAAGTTAGTAAGGCTAGTGCCCTCCCCTAAGGAAGGCTTACAGTTTAGTTAGGGAGACAAACTATACAGTCTAGCTATGATGAGCTGTGGTGGGATTATCCACAGCATGAAACAGAATCCCGACAAGGGACACCTACATCAGACTTGGAGTTAGAGGAGGCTTTTTGAAGGAGGAAACAAGTAAACTAAGCCCTGAAGCGCCAAGAGACATGGTAATTGTTAGCAAGGCCATGGAAGGGGGAGCATGGTGCAGAGAGAACACCATTTTAAAAGGTTATATATGAAAATACCTCTCCCCCGTTACACAGAATTTTAAACATAAATGTAATTATACTACCTACATGTATTGTTTGGGGATTCGCTTTTTCACTGGACAGTGAGGCTCAGGCTTTCTAGTAGCTGGACTGTGTTCCATAGTATGGACGTACCATAAATAACCACTCTTGTAGTGGATGCTGTGGTGTGCCACCTAGATCCCCCTTCAGGACTGAGGCACTCAGTCTCCCACTACAGTGCTGCAGTCTGATACCTTTGGCTGAATAGCCCTCTGGGAATTGCCCAGGCCAACGTCATGCCTACTCCCCAGGAGCACTCCTGTGGGATTGGCTGAGGTTTCTTTCCTCTGCCCAGTCCTGTTTCCCTCACTTCCCCACAGATATTGATCTCAAGGGCATTCCCTCATAAATTTCCTGGACTCAAATCTCCACCTCAGAGTCTTGCTTCCTGGGGAAGCCAAACTTTGACACGTGTTGACGGACATTTAAAGGTTACTTTCATTTTTTTCACTATGATAATACCACAAACACCACATGTATAAGAATTTCTTCAGAACAGATTTCTAGAAGAGGTCATGCAGGGTCAAAGGGCACATTAAAATTCTGGTAGATACTGCTATATTGCCCTCCAAAGTGGCTTTACCAATTAGCACCCCCAAATGATTGCTTTTCTAGAACTTTAAGTGAGCAAAAATGCATGAGGTTGATGTGTTAGGTGAGAAACTGGGCAAAGCCCCCAAATAATGGTGGTGAGGATGACGATAAACAATGGATAACACTTATGTTATGATGTGCTTACTCTGTGCTAGTTATTGTACCAAGTCCTTCATCTAGATTTGTTATTTAATCTTCACAACAAGCTTGTGAGGCTTAAAGAAGTTAAGTACTTGCCAAAGGTTAGGGAGAAGTAGTGGAGTCTAGATTCCATCCTGGATTTGTATGACTCCAAAGAATTCAAACACTTATCCACAGTGCTATCAGCCTCTTGGACACCTCACAATAGATCATTTCATGGCCAGGCTAATTTGGAATTCTTACAAACTGCAGTATCTGGAAACAGACCTTTCTGACTGTGAAAATAGAACGGTAACTTTCTTCTGAGCCCCCTAGTAGCAGAGACATCTTACCTACATTGCTGTCTCTGACACTGGGATTTAATACATATGTTTTTAATATAAATAAACACTGGAAACTACTACGGATCGCTGGGGATTTAAAGGCAGTAGAAGGGTAGACAAAGCCTCCCTCTTATGCAGGGCTATGCACTTGACCAAGTAATTAGGGAATTCAATTAGCTGCTTAAGACTGAACTACAGAGTTTAAGGGGAACAACACTGAAAGAAATAACACAGATACAGAAAATGAAAGAAACCCAGAGAAGGAAAAAATTAGAAAGCTCTCAAATGAGTACAAGAGCATAAATAAAACATCTGTACTTAGATGTTTAAAATAGGCTTAGAAACCAAATGTCACATTTTTCAGTATTTAATTATTCAACGTAGGCAGCGGAAGGGTAAAAGAAATAAAGACAGCTGTGCTCATACAGAACAAAAATAAAATGGTAGGGCTTCCCTGGTGGCGCAGCGGTTGGGAGTCCGCCTGCAGATGTGGGGGGCGCGGGTTCGTGCCCCCGTCTGGGAAGATCCCACATGCCGCGGAGCGGCTGGGCCCGTGGGCCATGGCTGCTGGGCCTGCGCGTCCAGAGCCTGTGCTCCGCGGCAGGAGAGGCCACAGCAGTGAGAGGCCCACACACCGCAAAAAAAAAAAAGGTAAAATAAATATGAAAGGTAAATATGGTTCAGAAAGTAAACAGGAAATAAAACTGTTTTTTCAATCGGAAAGAGAGGAGATTTTGAAGAATTTGAGAAATACCCACTAGCTCTGGCTTAGAACTAAATGACGAAGCTCAGAATAATTTTATTCTAAAGAGAAGCAGATTTTACCAGCTGATATGATTACATCATAGCTCTTTGCCTCCAATAGCTGTTGAATAATAATAGTGTTTACAGGGTGCTTACCATGTGCTAGACCTTAGGTCAAGAGATTGGTTTTATTTAATTCTTACCCTAACCTTATCATCACTCCTATTTCACAAATGAGTAAGCATTTGTAGTAACTTGTTCAAGAGCACACAGCTTAATGAGAGGCAGAGCTAGAATTCAAACTCAAGACAGTATGTTTCCAGAGCCCAAATTCCCAAACTCTGTGCTCTCCTGAAATTCTCCAGCTGAGTGGCATAACCAAATGAGGCTCTACATCACCAGTTAGGGAGTATGACTGAGATTCATGAATCATAAGCTTCCCTTGTCTTCCTTGGCAATAGATGGATGCTATTCCCTTAAGAAATGTGGGGCATTTACTTTTAAGGATTCAAGTTTGCAGTGCCTGATTTAAATTAGCAAAGATTTATAGACAGTTAAGGCAAGGCAGACGTGCAAAGAACAATGACAATGAAAACCACCTCCAAAAATAAACCCAACAAAATTCTTTAAAAATTAAAACTTTGATCTTGCATGTAATTCTAAGGCATCTATTAACTATATTCTAGTCGTATGTTACAGAGTAAGAGTAAAAACAATGGCATTCTTAAGTATTTAATTAAATGTGAAGAGAATTCTGTTGAGTTAAGCTAGTGATTGGAAGCGGTCTATACTTTTAATATAGAGCATATTATTTACCTTGATTTATAACCTTGGAAAGCCATTTAATCTCTTTCTCAATTTCCCTATCTCTTCCAAACTGATATAACTTGGAATTGAGGGGAAAATTAATAAGAACACATACAGAACCCAAACAGTTATTTGAACTAATGCTGCCTGACAGGTGAGCTATTTTCTTTTGTGCTAAATTATAGTACTGAGCTGCATTTAATAGATTTTAATCAAATATGAAACATACCTTATGAAAAATGCTTCAAAACTAATATTATTAGTTCTACCATCACTTTCTACTTTTATACTCACTTGCCCTGGTCCTATTCACTTTCCACTCTGACTTCCAAATCTCTCAACGTCACCAGAGTCAGATCCTAGTTATAGTTACAGTTACAGTTTTGACTGGAGACCAGCAAGTTCACAACACACGCACGTACACACACACACACAGAGTCATTTAGAGAAATAAACTAAAAAGAAAAATGCAGAGAACCATTTTTCCCATTATCACAGCTCTTGAATATAAGGACTGATATATTAACTACGTAAAAACTGGTTTAGTTCTAAAACTAAAGGTAGAAAATTTTAATCCACAAGAGCATTTTTAAAATGTGAAATCTTTTAGGTATTTTAAGGTCAGTTATAAGTGGTTCCTTAATAAACGAGTCTGCTTATAAACTGTCATATTCCTACAAAAATAAATACAGTGTATGGTCATTCTCATTTGACAAGGAAGAGGTAATTCTTTTCTTTACAGGAAGAATTCTTCACTTTAGGGTATGTCTTGTTGCAGGAGTTACTGCACAGACACCTTGTTTGAGGAATTTAAAATATGATCCAGTTTATGTATGATATTTTAGGAACAGATTATTTCATAAATTATTTAGGTGTTTTTTAGAAGCAAACTTGCAGAAAACAAAGTCTAAAACACCAGAATTGTTTTTGAAAAAAGTACTGACAACTGAAGTGCGAGGACTGCGCAAACAAATCTGGAGGCTTATCCAGACGACACAGGCTGAGAACTTATGGGAAAAGAGGGCAAATTTAAGCCACAGCTGAAACATTAAATTCTGAACGTGCCCTGTGGTGAGAAACGACCACCATTTGCGGTCACATGTTCGCTACTGCCTTGGAAGTGAGGTTGCAGCCATGGCATTGCCTGGCCCTCTGACCTTCCCTCTGAACAGATGAGCATTGAGAAATAAGCTGATAGGCGATATGTGTTTAAGAAATCAAAATATTTTAGGATGCTCTCTTAAAAAATCTACTCTAAATATAGAGGGCTTTATATCCTAATGTTTTTGTGACTGAGATATTATTGGAATTGAGACTATATTGCTAAAGTCATAAAACATTTATTTGTGTTCCCTAAAAAAAATACCTAGATTTATCCAGAGGAATGCACTGTGATATTTTATGAGAGGGCCATGCAATGAAATAAATGTGACTAGGATAGTTCAAACCAAGTTCACTGGGAGAAGGGCAGTGAAGAGAGCAAACTTATTACTCTCATTTTTGTCAAATGAATCTATGGTCTAAGTCATAGATTCTAAATATATTTTTAAAAATCAAAGAACAGAAATTTATTTTTAGAATGCTGAAATACCTGAAAATAAAACAATACTCCAGAGAAAGACTCTTATAAAAAATGTTATTTTGGTAATATCCAATAGGATAAATAAATTACTTAGTATTGCTAACATCAAGAAATAAACCAATGGAAAATCAGACAGTTTAGATTATGTTCATCTGATATGACTTTTATGGAAATTAACATATATATATAATAAAAATTTTACTACTAAGATTATGGAAAACGAAAGCTTTAGACATGAAATGTTATCTACTATCTTTATAAAAGAAAGAAAAATATTAAAGAGAAACTTGCCTCTTTAAAAAGCATGTTCATTTTAGGTTGATTGAAAGTAGATGTCTTCTAAAATACTGTTCTTATTCATTTAGAACCATAACAGGTTGGAATTTACAACTAATTTACATTTATTCCCTTCAACCCTGTAGCTCAAGATAGCTATTTAAAAATGCAATATTTAATTAAAAGGGACAATCAACAGCCTATATCAGTCCTTTCAAAAATAAACTTGATGACATAAATCACAGCAAGATCCTTTTGGACCCACCTCCTAGAGAAATGGAAATAAAAACAAAAATAAACAAATGGGACCTAATGAAACTTCAAAGCTTTTGCACAGCAAAGGAAACCATAAACAAGATGAAAAGACAACCCTCAGAATGGGAGAAAATATTTGCAAACAAAGCAACTGACAAAGGATTAATCTCCAAAATTTACAAGCAGCTCATGCAGCTCAGTATAAAAAAACAACCCAGTCCAACAATGGGCAGAAGACCTAAATAGACATTTCTCCAAAGAAGATATAGAGATTGCCAACAAACACATGAAAGGATGCTCAACATCACTAATCATTAGAGAAATGCAAATCAAAACTACAGATGAGGTATCACCTCACACCAGTCAGAATGGCCATCATCAAAAAATCTACGAACAATAAATGCTGGGGAGGGTGTGGAGAAAAGGGAACCCTCTTGCACTGCTGGTGGGAATGTAAATTGATACAGCCACTGTGGAGAACAGTATGGAGGTTCCTTAAAAAACTGAAAATAGAACTACCATACGACCCAGCAATCCCACTACTGGGCATATATCCAGAGAAAACCATAATTCAAAAAGAGTCATGGACCACAATGTTCATTGCAGCTCTACTTACAATAGCAGGACATGGAAGCAACCTAAGTGTCCATCGACAGATGAATGGATAAAGGAGATGTTGCACATATATACAATGGAATATTACTCGGCCATAAAAAGAAACGAAATTGAGTTATTTGTAGTGAGGTGGATGGACCTAGAGTCTGTCATACAGAGTGAAGTAAGTCAGAAAGAGAAAAACAAATACCATATGCTAACACATATATATGGAATCTAAAAAAAAAAAAATGGTTCTGAAGAACCTAGGGGCAAGACAGGAATAAAGACACAGATGTAGAGAATGGACTTGAGGACACGGGGAGTGGGAAGGGTAAGCTGGGACGAAGTGAGAGAGTGGCATAGACATATATACACTACCAGATGTAAAACAGGTAGCTAGTGGGAAGCAGCCACATAGCACAGGGAGATCAGCTCGGTGCTCTGTGACCACCTAGAGGGGTGGGATAGGGAGGGTGAGAGGGAGACACAAGAGAGAGGAGATATGGGGATATATGTATATGTATAGCTGATTCACTTTGTTATAAAGCAGAAACTAACACACCATTGTAAAGCAATTATACTCCAATACAGATGTTAAAAAAATAAAATAAAATAAACTTGAGCTGCCTTCTCTGGATTTCTAATACATGATAAGCTCTTTCTTGGGAATAGCTTTTGCAATATGGGGAGGCTTCATTAACCCTTTCGTCTTAGTTATGAAAAAACTTCTTTCAATAAATTATAGAACTGAAATACTCCACTGAATGACTGATTTACATAGCTAGGGCACCGGTTTTAAAAGTGCAATCCATGGAATTCCAGGAGACACATTTTCCTTTTCTCAAGGTTTGGGCAAGAGAAATTTAACATTTTTAGGTTGCTTCCCGAGTTTAGTTTGGTCTCAAAATGGCTGAAGTGCTTACAGTTCATACCTTTCACAAACATTTCTAGAAATTCCTTTAAGGTATCTTTACCATTATTCAAATCCTGCTCTAATACTTCATTATAAATTTCCAGGCAATTAAAAAAAATTTCCAGTCTATAACTACAAACCATTCTCCTGGTAGAATGAAAAATCAACGTAGCTGTAAACTTAGAGGGAATAGGCTATCTGCTGGGGAAAGAGAGGCCATTTTGTATTTCCTTAGAATTTACTCTGTTCAAAGATTTGCAAAAACAGTCAGCTCTCAATTATTCGTACGATGAAGAGTAACCTTAATTGCACTTGCCAGTGCCCAGTACCTTCCACTTAAAGAATTCATACCTGCTTCCACACACAGTTGCTATGGCTTTGAAGCAGCCGGATGCGAGTTGGTAGGAACCAGTGTAGCATCGGTCAATTGCCCAATTGAAAAGATTTATTTGGTCAGGATTTAGTTCCAATAGCAAGACAACAACTTCGCAGCCAAGTTGATGAACCTGAACACATGGAGGAAAGCAATCATTCACGCTCAATGAAAGATTATTCAAGGGAAAGACACAAAATCAAGCTTAGCGAATATAAATTGTGTAAAAGGAAAGCGAACGCTAAACATTTATCTTGATTAGTTTTTATTCCAGGAATTCCTCTTTAAGAGGATGCAATGTTGCAACTGAAAACTGAAATGTATAAACTAAATTTGACTCAGTGTAAATCTGTCATATAGGCTCCACTCATTCTCGATTTTTAACTCTGAAAAGGTGATAAAGACTTCATTGGCAATGTTTCTTTTTTGTATTTAAAATATTTTTGAAAAATACATGTATTTGGTTAAAAAAGTTTAAATATATAAAAGGATAGCCTTCATGAATGCAAAGTCTTTTAAGGAAAATGATCAGAGGGAATATGTTTATGAGGCTTGATTACTAAATATATGGTGTACAGCTTAGCTGGCAATCTTTTAAAAAGAAATACAATATCAATAAGCTCTTTTTGATCAGAGACTTTCATATGAAAAGATTATCATACTAGATAGAATTAATGGGATCATTAACTGATGATTCTTGAAGCTACTGTTAAATACTGGATGGTCACATTTGTCCAGGACAAGCCTGGTGTCTGGAGGCTATAATCCCCTCAGAAAGTAACATTTTCCTGCCTCTTCCTGAAGTTGTCCATTCTCCTGCCAGTAGCAACAAGGTGGAGGAGGAAAGATTATGCCTTGTTTGTTCTTATATTATAGGGTATGGGCCCAGATGGGAGCTATATTCTTTTCCTTTCTTTTTTTTTTTCCTTTTTTTTAAACTAAAAATCTTTATTGTGTACCAAAATTACCATTTTTTAAAATTAATTTTTATTGGAGTATAGTTGGGGAGCTATATTCTAATTGGATGGTCAAATATCATCGACCTAGTTCCCCATGGTCTTAAGTACTTAGAAGCAGATAAAAGCTGGTGATACTATTGCAAAGGACTTAAAAACAACATCTCATTAAAAACTTAGTTCAACTTGAAAGAAAATCAGCAGGTTTTTATTGTGCTTTAGAAACTTTATAAAATGTAGATAGTATATAATTCACAAGTAAATGGTGAGTTATGTTAACTAAACACACTAGTGTGAATACCAGAAGAAACCAGATCACCAGCACCACTGAAGCCTGCTTTGTGTATTCTCTTCATCACTAGCCTCTCTTCCTCAAAAGTAACCACTATCTGGATTTCTACCACCATTGGTTAGTTTGAGCTGTTTTGAACTCTGTGTAAATAGAGTTATAGAGTATATAATTTTGTGTCTTTCTTTCACTCAACTTATGTTTAAAAGTCATCAACATTTATTCGTCTTCATTGTTGTATAGTATTCTAATTTATGATTGCTCCACAATTTATTCATTCTACTACTGATGAACATCTGGGTTGTTTCCAGCTTTTGACTTCATAATACTGCTTTGAATATTTCTATACATGTCTTACATTGCACATACTGGATAACCTCTTTTGTAAATTGCTTGTTTAAGTCTCTTGCTCATTTTTCTATGAGTGTCTTTACCTTATTTATTTGTAGAGGTCCTTTATATATTCTAGATAAGAACTCTGTTGGCTTTATGTTGCAAATATCTTTTTTTACTCTACAGCTAGCCTGTTTACACTCTTAATTGTGTCTTTTGGCAAACAGAAGTTATTAATTAGTCTCCCCTTATGGTTAGTAATTTTTGCATCCTATTTAATAAATCTTTCCCTAACCCCAGGGATTAGAATAGCCTTCTGTTTTATTTTCTAGAAACTTCAGTTTTTCAGCTTTCACATTTAGATCTACAAACTACTTTTTTTTCAATTTTTATTTTATATTGGAGTATAGTTGATTAACAATGTTGTGTTAGTTTCAGGTGTACAGCAGGGTGATTCAGTTATACATATTCATGTATCTATTCTTTTTCAAATTCTTTTCCCATGTAGGTTATTACAGAGCATTGAGCAGAGTTCCCTGTGCTGTACCGTAGGTCCTTGTTGGTTATCTATTTTAAATATAGCAGTATGTACACGTCAATCCCAAACTCCCAATCTATCCCTCCCACCCCCCATAACCATAAATTCGTTCTCTAAGTCTGTGAGTCTGTTTCTGTATAAACTATTTCTTCTTTTTCACTCATGATATCTTATTTTTTTCTCTTCTAAAACATTGGCTAGGATCTTTAGTATAATGTTGATAGAAGTAATGAAAATGGGCTTCCTTGGTCATTCTAGTCTCAGAGAACACTTTCAATATTCACAATTTAGTGTGATGTTTACTACTGGGTTTTTTTTGTTTTTAAAGACACCCTTTATCAAACTAAGGAAGTTCTTTTTTATTCTTAGTTTCATTAGTTTCTCTTATGAATGAATGTAGAATTTTATTAATGCTTTTTCTGCATCTATTGAAATGATCAGATGATATTTCCTTCTTGCAACTTTAATATAATTAATATACAAATGAATTGAATGACATTTGAATATTAAACCAATCTTGTAGTTCTTGAATAATCCCAACTTGATCATGATGAATCATCTTTTTAATATATCACTGAATTCAATTTTCTAACATTTTGTTTAAAGTTTCTGTATCTATGTTCATGAATGATTTGCCTTTTAACTGTCTTTCTTGTTAAATTCTTGTCAGGTTTTAGTATGAAGGTTATGTGGGTCTCATAAAACATGTTGAGATATGTTTCCTCTTCATCTGTTTTCTCTTTGAGGATTTGCATTAAATCAATGCAATCTGTTCCTTAAATGTTGAATTAATCCATAAAGCCATCTGGTCCTAAAGTTTTCTTTGTGGGAAGACCTTCAATTATAGATTAATTTTCTTTTTTACTTATATGACTTTTGATTTTCTTTTCTTCTTGTGCTGTGTTTTTCTAGGAATTTGTCTATTTTATCTAAATTTTGAAGTTTATTGGCACAAAGATGTTCATATGTTCTCTTATTTTTAATATCTGTAGCATCTGTAGTGATGTCCCCTTACATTTCTGAGGTTGGTGACATACACCTTATCTCTCTTAATCAGACTTGCCATGGATATACTAATTTTATTAGTCTTTTAACAAATTCAACTTTTGGTTTAAATGATCATTTCCAGTAATTTTTTCTCTTTAATTAGTTTCTGCTCTTATCTCTATTATTTCTTCAATGTACTTTGAGTTTGATATGCTATTCTTTTTCTAGCTTCTTGAAATGGATGCATAGGTCATCAGCCTTTTTTCTTTCCAATATATGCACTTAAGGCCATATTCTAAGCAAGGTTTTATTTAAAACCCACAAGTTTAGTGTGTAGTGGTTTCATTATTCTTCAGTTAGTTAAAAATATTTTTCACTTTATATTTTTATTTATTCTTTGACTCATTGGTTAACTGGAAGAGCATTTCTTAATTATCTTTTTTATTACTGATTATTGGTTTAATGCCATTGTGATCAGAGAACAGAGCCTGTATCTTTCAATCATCTGAACTTTGTGGAGACTTGCCTTATAGCCTAGTTTATAGTCAATTTTGGTAAATGTTACTGTGTTTTTTATCCTGATGCATCATAGTGTAATGTGAACAACACATAAGCCTACAGTTCTGTGGCTGATGTGTGAAGAGACTGTGCTGTGAACAATGCTTAGACAGGTCAGTAACCCAACTGAGGCAGGATAACCAAGACATTTAAAAACAATGTATTTTTGGCTAGTACTTACTCGTAAATCTTGACAAGCCAGAATGTTGTCAAGCCATTTATACAGGTAGCCATCTGGGGAAAGGCCCACATTGTCAAACACTGGGCCACAGCACAACACTGCTGACATTGCCTGATGACAAAACAGAACACAACCTGGGATGACTGAATGGTACACAACTGACTTTAAAACACATACTACTAGATGAGGGTCTTTTTAAAAAAAAAAAAATTTATTTATTTATTTTTATTTTTGGCTGCGTTGGGTCCTTGCTGCTGCGCGCAGGGCCTCTCTAGCCGTGGCAAGCGGGGGCCACCCTTCACTGCGGTGCACTGGCCTCACACTGCAGTGGCCTCTCCTGCTAAGGAGCATGAGCTCCAGGCACGTGGGCCTCAGCAGTTGTGGCACGTGGGCTCGGTAGTTGTGGCTTGCAGGCTCTAGAGCACAGGCTCAGCAGCTGTGGCACAGGGGCCCAGCTGCTCCGCAGCATTTGGGATCTTCCCGGACCAGGGCTTGAACCCCTGTCCCCTGCATTGGCAGAAGGACTCTCAACCACTGCGCCACCAGGTAAGTCCCGATGAGGGTCTTTTAAAGCAGTTATTTCCACAAGATTTTAAAGTATTCCTTAGAAGATTCAATAAAAAATACCAGATTCCCAATTTTGTCTCTTTTTATAAGAGTTAAAACCCATAAATTGAACTTTGTAGACATGTAATTTTATAATAAATCTTTATAATGAAAGGCTGAGATATTCAAAACAAAATGACCATTTCACAGAACTTAAAATAAACTTACCATCAGCGACTTCAAGTGAATGAATTCTGCTATGATAAATATAGCTTTTCAAATTTTGTTTTGATGACAAATATTTAACTAATATACTGAACCAACCAACTTGACAAATACTTGACTGATGCACTATGAAACCATAAATTACTAGATTACATCTTCCTTTAAACCATGAAACTAAAGCAAACTATGTAGAAATAAATAACTGTGATTCTTAATCAAAGATAAAGAAAATGAAGAATATGAACTTTAGTTCCTTTGAGGTGGGGAGAAAGCAAGAGAAGGGAAGATCTTGATTCACTTTGTAATCCGTAGGTCCAAATGATTATCAGGGCCATGGCTTATATTAGCTCCATAAAGTCAAAAGTCAATGTGACAGTTAGCAACTCCTGGTATATATGACTGAGACAATATACAGTTAGTTTTCTAAAGGAAATTAAGCTGTAAGGAATAATGGTTCTGAAAATGTTGAACAGTCCTAGTAGTGTAGAAACTTATTTCTGGGAGTCCTTAGGATAGGAGGAGACTAAAAAGGGAATATATATATTTTAAGTTGGAAATTAACTGGCAAGGCAGTTACTTAAAGGGTAAATAAGCAAAATCTATGGTTTTCATATAGTAGAAACCTTAGATAAAAGTGGGATCTTGGAAAAGTTTCGCATTTTGAAATTGTGAACACAATCGGAATATTTACATGTTTATACATAGCTATCTATTTTGTTTATGTATGGATATTTTAGAATTTATAGAGTAAGCTTATGTATTTATATACGTGTATATATTTGTGTTTTTTTGCATGTGTGCTTATATTTTATCATGTCATATTATATTATTTATTTTAATCTTATTTAAGGCATGGTTGTTAAAGGAAAGAGACCATCAATCTGACAAAAGTCATTCATGAGGCAAAGGTGACCTACCTTTAATGCACAATACTGGTATCTTGTAATCTGATGATTTCTATCACTATAACGATCCAGAGGAGTGAACATAATGCTGAAGGGTCCTGCCCACTGGCTAAATAAGATGAAAAGATGGTGCCTCAGGCTTTGCTGGGGGAAGAGAAATCTTCGGTGGTGAACTAGAGAGAAAACAGAGCTAAGAGTCTACAAGACTGAAAAATACAGTGAATACAGTTTACGTTGCTATTATGCATGATTCTTAAGTTTGGGGGAAAGGAGTAATTTCGTTTTCTAACTCAAGTTTTCTTTACATAATGAAATATGTATTTAAAAAGTCAAGCTTAATTTTCTTTCCTCTCCTCATGTTTCAGTCAACAGCACCTTGTCTCAGAGCAGAAAGCAGAGATAGAAGATGGACTCACAGACACTGTTTTCTAAGCATTATCTAGAGAAACTGCAACACCTTCCACTCGGCTGTTGATTACATATGAAACGTTCTCTTGACTGCTGCTGCGTCTTCAGGAAGAACTGTGAAATACAACGGATAGACTGTCTATCTCAAACAAACATTCTTTAACTGAAGAAGGCAAATCTTTTTTTTTTTTTTTTTTTTTTTGCGGTACGCGGGCCTCTCACCGCTGTGGCCTCTCCCGTTGCGGAGCACAGGCTCCGGACGCGCAGGCTCAGCGGCCATGGCTCACGGGCCCAGCCGCTCTGTGGCACGGGGGATCTTCCCGGACCGGGGCATGAACCCGTGTCCCCTGCATCGGCAGGCGGACTCTCAACCACTGCGCCACCAGGGAAGCCCAAGAAGGCAAATCTTAATTTAGGGTCATCAAAAATGAGGAGGATTGGTAAGAATGTTTTACAACATCATAATGTTAAATCATAATGAAAAAGTAGAAACAGATGAGCTGCAGCTTTTTGTAATTATGTCAAAACATTTTAATTCCAGCAATTAATTTTTATACCAAACTGACCAGCTATTTTTATTCTCTATGCTTCTATTAGATGAAAATGTTTCAGACCCATTTGTTCTATGAAAAAAATCCCAATAATATAATTTCTTAAGCTATATAGAATTCTATATATAATGTGTTGACTGGATAGAGTCAAGAGCAGGAACATTGCTGAGATTATATGTTCACAGATTAGCACAGTGAGAATGAAAAAATAGAGCCTTTGTGAACTTTCCCTCTGAATTACTTCCTTTCTATGGAAATCATACAGGTTCATTTGCAGGTGGGAACCAAAACAAAGAACAGAAATAATGACGAGCACAAAGCCAAAGTTAATTTCTATTGTTGCCCTTCCAACTCTGTGCTGCATGCCCACGATCTATTCCAAGGATTTCCAAGCAAATAAATGATCCCATCCCAGACCTGCAAACAGGTCAGTAGGTTTAAAGCGGAAAGCACAGTAATGAGGAACACAAATGAGATTTCAAGCACAAAAGGTAATTTGCAGTGAGGCATCAGTGTACCTGGAACACGCTGAATCAAGTTGGCAACCATGGCACTAAAATGTGCCCGGATATCTTTAAGAATTTCCACTTCTTTATCATTTTCAGCTTCCAGGAGCATGCGGGTCAGGTCCACGTACTCTAAGAACAAAGCTCCAAGGGCTAAAGTATCCCGTTCTAAGGCTCCATTGGTGCTGGAATAAGAGGAAATTAAACTTGTAGATTAGTCTTGATGTCAAAGCAGCGCATGCGTCATGGAAAATAAGATTCACTGTTAGAACTCGCACATTAAATTCGTCCTTGACGTTTAGGCAGGGTAAACAGAATATGAAAAAAACAAGGTTTTTTGGACTTTTCGAAGTAAAAGTTAAAGGTAATATATTTTTTTTAAAAAAAAAAAAAGACAGAATGAGAAAAAGAGAGGCAAAGACATCAGTTTGGTGAGGAGAGATCAACTCAGTAGAATTTCCACCTTACCTGTCACTTATTACACCAGCATCAGCCAGAAGTTCAAAAATTCGAAGTAGCTGTAGCCTTAACAAGTCTCGCCGTTCTCGGCGTTTTTTGTTCTGTGCAGAAAGAGGTAATACCACTTATAAACATGGGCACAATAAAGGAAGATGTCATCTAGTCCTTTTCAATTTTCTAAACACAAAGGACAAAAAGTATTTTTCTTTCTTCCTAATCCTTAGAGAAAATGCTTGCTATCACAGGTTATAAGAGAAACAGATCACAAGTGGGCCAATAAATACCTGTAAGTTGGAAATGTTGAGAGTCAACAAGTCTCATTTCCTAGAGGCCTCCAGCAGCTGCTGAAAAACTAAAGCATCAGGAAGAAGTGGCAAAGGACAGTGGACACTAACAGTCCCACCAGTTCTGGTCACAGAGGTAACACTGTTCTTACTTAAATTGCCAAACTTCTGCTACTTCTTGTATCTTATCTACTACATGGGAAGCCTCTTTTTTAGTCTTATTCTATTTTATTTAATTTTTTATCCTGCTACATTCTAAGTTTATCCTTTTCAGAGTTCACTTCAGGGAAGATAATGTTGAGGAAAGTGCTTTATATACCAGATGAAACAAATAATGTTCTTGGCTATTCAACCCCTTATAAAAAAAAGCAAACTAACTACAACCCCAAATTCAATCTTAACTCAAACCTCTTACAAAAGAATATAATATCTTAACATACATATGACTATTTAGGTTGCTTTTCTTTCGTTAAGTTTAGGACTTAAAATCTTTTAAAATCAGAACCAGATTATACTAAATACTCAAATATCAAAAATTAATGAAAATAACAAAAGTTAAAATAGTAAGATTCATTGTTAAAAGCATGTTGGTGAACAGTTGAAAGGTACATTTCTACCTCAACATGTCTTTTCTGTCTGAGAAATACACACATTTTATCCAATTTGATATAAATAAAACACTCAAAAATGAAAAAAAACCACAACATGTTGGTATGTTTGTATTCTTTAGGGGAAACTATTGGGTATGGTTTAAATTCACACTACTGTCCAAATAAACCAAGGCATTAATTATTATTTTTAATAGATCTTTATTGGAGTATAATTGCTTCACAACACTGTTAGTTTCTGTTGTACAACAAAGTGAGTCAGCCACATGCATACACATGTCCCCATATCCCCTCCCTCTTGAGCCTCCCTCCCATCCTCCCTATCCCACCCCTCTAGGTCATCGCAAAGCACCGAGCCGATCTCCCTGTGCTATGCAGCTGCTTCCCACTAGCTATCTATTTTACATTCGGTAGTTTATATATGTCGATGCTACTCTCACTTCGCCCCAGCTTCGCCCTCCCACCCCATGTCCTCAAATCCATTTTCTATGTCTACCTCTTTATTCCTGCCAAGGCATTAATTATATAAATTCAAAATCTTACCTCTGGTCTTCGTTCCAGAGCCTCTTTCATTAATGGATGAAGTTCTTCCACCAATTCTCTATGAATGAAAAAGGTGAGCATTTAGACTTCATTATTGTTGACACCAAATTTGTCACAAAATATAGCCATTCAGTCCCAAATTATCTGCTTTTTAAACATTCTGACATCAAAATCTCCTCTGGCCTTTCCACTTCTGTACCATGTGGTGAAATGGAAATTGCCATTGGCTCGTACTTTGTAGTATCAGTCTTAACTCCAGTGCTACGTATATAATTTGGGCTCAATACATATTTGTTGACTTGATTTAATGTTCCGGAGAGTCTATGGCAAAAATCCCTACCTGAACAACTAAAACCAACAATATTTTGTAAGTGCTTACTAAATTGAAAGCACTTTCCCACAGGCTGAGGGACTGAAGAGAAATAAAATTGATTGCCTAAACAGAAGAAATTTTCAGTCTAATTAGAGCAAAAGAAACAGGTGTAAGAACTATGGCACTACCTTTGGGATCTGTGCTCAGAGGACTGTTGATTTTAAAATAAAGTCTTTTTGGAATTTCAGAGATAAATTCCTTTATTTGAGCTACATGATAAATGCAAATTATGGCAACTACTTTAATAGTGAGGTTCTCATCAAAACCTTTTCTCTTGTGTAGTAAAACTAAAAACTTTTATCAGGTTAATACGTCTGATATTACATGTATATATACTTCATCTGTCCCCATTTTCTTCAATTCTCAGCTTTATAGCTGATAATCTAACCAGCTGTCATCTTTAGGAACTGACTTCTGAATTGCTTTGTCAAAACAGACAAAATTAGGAGATCTAGCCTGTGGCTAGGTATTTCGTCTATAGTCTGCTCCATGTCTGAAAATCTTGTATTTTCTGGTAGAATATTTTGTGCTATTAGACATCACCCTCCAGGGAAATCCAAGGACACGAAGGCAAAAACTCTATGGCATTCTGTACTGAAGAACAGAAATCCTGTATTCCATTCCAGACTTCTCCAACACAGATGCTAGAATTTCCTCAAAAAATGGAAATAACGCTAATGGTCTCCTTCATCTAATAGCAATCATTTATCAAATATTTACGTGTATTTTTACATTTAATCCTCTTGATACATCTATAAGATAGATTCTATAATTATACCATTTTTTTTAAATTAGAGAGATACACTTTATTTTTATTTATTATGACAATTTTACAGGTGAAGGAACTGAGTCCCAGGGACAGTGTTTTCCACACCCACGTGGCCAGTAAATTGCGTAATCTTACTTGCTCCTAGGAGTACTCAGACGGTAAGATATGCAAAAGAGCCTTAGGTTCTTTGGGAAAGACATTAGGTAATTCCAGGAATTGTTTTTATTATCTTCTTGTAGTATTTCTGTATGATGCTTTGTCTTAACTAATTAATCAGTGAAAACACTGGTTAACTGGCACTCAAGTAGTCAGAGCTCACAATTGCTTTTTTTAAGGATAAAATTTGACTCTATACTGTAACAGATCTTTTTCAGTTGCTTCTAAAACATCTCGCTAATCTTTATTTTTCAGATAGGGTTTCTCACAGATGCTTGGAGCTTTCCCTTCTCTGTGTATAGGAAAAACTAAGATTTTCTTTGTTTTTATGGGTTTTCGTTGCTAGATAAAATCATCAGAGGCAGCCTGAAATAAAAGTTTATGATGACTCTTTGAAAAGGCTTTGACACTGCCTCAGCTGGAATGGTTATTTGATTAAAGGTGTGAAATGAGTAAGGAATCCAGAAAGTGAGACATAATGGTTCTCTTAAGGCAGATACAGCATCGTATAGAAAGACCAGCAAGCGTGACACATAACAGACACCCCTGAAAGTGTTCTGTCAGTGTTTAACCTTTGAGAGTCTGTTGTATAAGTGGCTGATGAGCAGACACTCGTGGTTTTGACGTTATAGCCTCTGAACAGTCTGGCTAACTGGGGATTGACACGGAATTATCTTCATTTATGGTTATCTAAAACAAAGCTTGCAAGTGAGAGAAAATCTGAGATGTAAAATCAAAGTTGCAACGTCTAAAAGTGAAATTCGAGGCAGTTGCAGGGAATGCTTGTCACGCGCGTGTCAACCAACAAGGACATAAAGGGAATTGTGCAAAGCCTGCAGACCTCCAGACACATGCCAAACACGAACTCAAACTTGAGTTAGAAGCAGGAACTACGATAGCAGCAGTATACAGGAGTTTAGAACAACTCATTAAGACTACCGTACCTGAAAACAAGGGAATTTGTCCTTCCAAATCCTAAAACTAAGGACTCTGTGATCTCAATGCCCTCTAGTCTCATCAAAGGCACCAACTGCTTTAACAGAACTCCCACCGATGGGGTGCCTATGGCCTGAAACAAGTTGTTAAAAGTGAAAAAGAGGTAACATGATAACTGATGCTTCTTTTAATCAAACGATGATTCCATTATAACAGTTTTAAAGTACTGAACCACATCCCAAGGCACTGCCATCATTTCAGGAAAAAAAAAAAAAACCACATAAAATTTAAAACAGCACAATGAATGCATTTTTTTACCTGGGACACAAATTCTAAAGAACATTCGTATTATAAGAGTCTTCTTTTTTTTTTTTTAATACTTAAATCCACAAAACCATCTTTAACAAGATAAGTTAATCAAGACATGGTTTAAAGGTGAACACTCGTGAGGAGTGAGAGAAATGTGGTATGTAGGACATGAACCAAACCTCAGGGTGCTAATAAATATAAGTCACTCTACGACCTTAGGCAAGTTTCTTAACTTCCCTTTATTTTCAGTTCCCCACTTGTCAGGGAGGAATAATAAATTATTCACACAAACGCTCAATGGAATTTAGAAATGTGTAGGATGAAAATCTGATCCCATATATTCCAGATGGCAGGCACAGTGCAATTCACACTGTGAAATCTAGACAAACAAGCTAAAAAAAAACCTTACAGAATAATTCTTCTGAAGCATGTCATGTCACCTTGTTATCGTAGCTCACGGTACCATCAGGTGTAGTCGCCATTATTTCTGGAGTGGAAGCTCGTAAGTGTCCCGGGCTCATAATACTGGGTTTTGCGACTCCAAAACAAAGAATAAGGTAATTTCTCCACAATGTAACATAGCTGTCTCCGCTGCCGGCAGTGCTGGTTTTCTTGGCATTAATTGGGCTGCTAGAAATACGAAGTCAAAAACAAGAGTGAAACTAAGTTCCGGATTTTAGGTATCACTTATTAAATAAAGATCCTGGGAAGCGCTCCAACTGAGTTGAACAATTGTCTGTCAAGGACTGTCTGTCTGGACAGGGAATGTCTCTATTGGATGGAAAGCTGAATAGAACTTTTCACCGGTAACGGGCTGAGATTCTATACTCAGACAATCATAATGATTATTAAGGGAGGAAAAAAAAATTAGCTCTAGACAAGAACTTTTAACCTGTATTTACTCAACGTGAAGACTTCTGTAGTAAGATGGTCAGAAACTAGAGAATTATATCCCGATCTCATATATAAAACAAAAATGTAAGAGGGCAAATGGTGAAACAAACGAAACAGAGGGAAGCGTAGGGGTCCCTTACTTCGGGTCCACCAGAGGCATCACGGACTGCAGCCGCGTGAAGGCGTAGGGCCAGGCGTAGCTGAGGGCAGTGGGGCAGTGCTTGGGCAAGTTCTCCTGCCGGAGAAAGCTGAAGAGGCAGAGGACCCAGGGGTCTTTGACAGACTGAGCGAAAATCCAGACGTGGGAAGGGCTCTTCACATCGTAATGGCTGTTGACCAGGACGGCGTTCCACTCCACCAGCCACTGTAGGTCCACGCTGTGGGTCAGGGGTAAGGTCGCCTGCAGGTGTAAGAAACAGGCGATGAATCGGTGCTGAACGGCAAGCTCCACATCCTCGACCTGCCTCAGCCCAATGCCCCTTCCTCCACGATGCTTTTCCCGTCCACCTCTGCAATGGGTCCAGCTTGGAACCTGAAGCACCCCTCCCACACCGGACCTGGGTTTGCAGTCACGGCCGTTCCTATGGGAGGCCGCAGGCAGCGGAAGTGCAGAGTTTAAGGGCAGGGGTCAATGTCGCACAGCCCCATACACTAGTACCCAGGAGCTGCCCACTAAATACTTGTCAAACAATTATACAACACGAGCTAATTTGAACTTGAACATGGATTTGCCAACTTAAAATTCTGAAAAGTTATTAATCTCTGAGATTCCTAAGTGTGTTATTATCCCTGTAATTAGTTTTTTTTTTTTTTAAGCCATGATCTTGTTTACCTTTACTTGGACCGAAATACATTCTCTCCCTGGCTTAGGGAGATGGCTAAGTGCAATCTCTTTTATGAAGGGTATTTTACTAATGATTTTTGAGGTAAGATACCTACTTATTCTTGTCCTATGATATCAAGCCAAAATAATACATTCTAAAACCTTTGGAAAGATATCTATATCCATATTTAATCTATATTATATAGAGACATATATTTATATATTGATACCACATAATGTCTTATATTTCATTCTCTTTTAAGTCCAGAGTATCAAAGCTGAGGGAAGACCAAGTTTCAAGTAATCTAGCTGTCGTACGTGGAGAGAAAATCGCTGTTACGTTTGTCAGGTATTTAAAGTGACCCATTTTATCTGCTGGGTCTCTGAGTTCCCATGCGCCAGAGTGCTGCACCTGGGGCTTCCATGGTTAATGTGCTGAAGAGGCGCAGCTTCAGCTTCAGAGCCAGAGACTTAAGGCTCCAACACTGGCTCTGCCCAAAGCCCCTGACATAGGAACATTTCTGAACACCCCAGAGTCTCTGTCTGCTTAATTTATGACTTGGAAATTATAATGCTGATCGCACTTAATCTTTAAGTGGATGACATGAGATAAGGGATGTCAAAACCTGGCACAAAGCAGGCGCTACTTCCCCCCATGCCTCTTCTCCCCCTTCAGTGCATCTTCCTACGTGCAGTACTGCTGATCTGGTTACCCAGGCTCAAGATTCAGACTCTGATAAACACAGAACAAAATCACAGGAACAGAACATAATCTGCAGGGAAACAAGATATGTATATAAAACAATTACGCCTGACTCTTCCATTCAGTGTCAAAACAATCTGAATTTCTAAAAGAAGAGGTAGAGGTATTCACTATCACTGTTAAGGTCTGCACTGCTTGGCTAATAGTTTTAGTAATTATCATTAATATTCCAACCATAAGCAAGAACAGGGTTGCTAAAAATAGGGATCTGTGTTCGCTCTCTGTTAGAAAAGGTCATTAAAACGCTCACAGGTGCCTTTAGGTTTTATATTTATTTATAGATCTTTGTCAAATATGTTTATATTCATTTATAGCTATTTGATCAGAATATACAAGGCGCATTGGCAATGTGGATTCTGCAGATGTGCCCTGCCTCTCTTCAGTTACTTAGCTAAAATCAATCCAAGTCCCATAACTATGCTTTACTAATTAAAAAAAAAAAAATCAGGTAATTAAAATCGGTTTCAATTTTCCTTCTACTTCATCAGAAATTGAAAGCTGCCAATATGCTCTTTAAAACAAAGAATGTATTTGTGTAGCAGATAAACCTCTACGAGATTCAGAGTCCAGAGAGGGTCAAGTCCAGGCCCTGAGACTCTGTGTGACTACAGCCCTGCCCCTTAATGTTTTTGAGTTTCAATACCTATGAGGGTCAAAATAGATACTAAATGTGAAAGCACCTTGTAAACTGTAAAACAACACATAAATATAGGTTATATAGCATTAAGTGTAATAAATAAAGCAAATTAATTTTCTGAAAGAATCCTGAGCAATTCTTGAAATTGCAATTTGCAAAACTTTATCTATCTTCCTCAGACTCAAATTTTGATTTAAATTTATCTGAAGGTCTCCTGAGCTAGTATTTGAAAAGCTAGTCTTGTTTCCCTAAGGACTTTTGTTTTGGTTTATTAACCTGACATAAAATCCCAGAATTCTTCCATATCATTTTTCTTTGTGTCTCTTTTCCAGCCAGGCCCAGAGCTTATACTTAAGAACTATCAACAATCAGGATCAAAAGTGTACTTACTGAATCCAAAGCTGCTACGTGAATAAAACTTTCGAGAATGGAAGAACTTAGCTGATCCATGACATCAATCATAGGCCTGTCATCGTCCTGTACATAAAGGAGACGATTACTCTCCATGGGAAAACGAATCCTTCCACCCTCTCCACCGCCTTTGTCCAGCATGTGAAGCATAACAGCTTGCAAGGTAGTGATAAGGGTTTTCTCACAGAAAAGTGAGTGCCACGGTGGTGAAAGGTAGTGGGTAAAACTCCCTATGATTCTGAGTTTAGTCTTACAAGTTTCAGCGGAAGATAATTAGAGCTCCAATTTGACGTTGTACTGAAAAGACACGTACCTGAATTTCAAAAACTCATGCACATACAGTTATTTAGACTGGAATCTAAATCTCAGCATCACACATTATTCACTAAAGTGTTCATGTTGTCATTAATTTTAGAAAATGGAAAAGCCATGAAAATGCTACTTACTCAAGTCACTGATCTGCTAAAATAACTGGTAAATTGTTGACTGTGATTGCATTTCAGTCCCAAAGAAACTGCACAGGAGACTGACCACACACTCTCTGTAGTATCTATGTTGTGCACAGCTATTTGGTAAAAGAAGCAAATTGGAAAAAAGCACAGGAGAGAGTATCTTACAGGAAATTCTCCTACATGATAGTGCGTATATACATGAACATGTGTGTTTGCCATCCTTTATCATAGAAAGGCTCAGAAATATGAAATTATTTACTTAGCAGCCTTATAGGAAAGCTTCGGAATGTCCTTACTCATGTACGAATGAGAATGGTTTCAAAAAGGTTGTGGCTGAAAAAAACCAAACAACAAAAAACCAAGCTTGTAGATACAGAGACCGGATTGGTTGGTTCCCAGAGGCGGGGGGCGGGGAGGGGTGGCAAAATGGGTAAAGGAATCAAAAGGTATAAACTTCCAGGTATAAAATAAATACGTCATGCAGATGTAATGCACAGCATGGCGACTACAGTGAACAAGACTATCGCATATTTGAAAGCTGCTAAGAGAGTAGATCTTAAAAGCTCTCATCACAAGAAAAAAAAATCCTGTAGCTACGAATGGTGATGGATATTAACTACTTACTGTGGTGAACATTTCACAATATGTACAACTATGGAATCATTATATTGTACACTTGAAACTAATAATGTTGTATGTCAATTATACCTCAATAAAAAAAATTACACACACAAAAAAGCTGTGGCTGGTCAAAGAAAGCACCGTATGAGAAATATTCTTAACACAGTCGGCTGGAATAGCAGTTAAGAACCTGGGCTGAAGAGGCATGTACATCTGGTTTTCAATTCTAGCTCTACCACATCCTAGTTGTTGATTTTGGGTAAGGCATTTAAGCCCCCTAAACCTCAGTCTCAGAATCTGCACTATGGGAAAAATAACAGTACCAATTCTTAAGTTATTGTGAGGGTTCAGTGAGATAATATGTATAAAGCACAGCTCACTGCCTGACACATACATGGTAATTATTATTATCGTTATTTCATAATTAGAGACTTAATGGAGGTTTATCAAAATGCAGCATGTCCTAGAGATCCATTCACCAGATCCCAGAGATGTCCTAAAATACATCAGAAAGCTTGCTGCAGAAATGTGAACAGAAACGATTGGGATACATTCGAAAATATTTTGGGAAGACACTGATCATTTTAAGGATCATGAAACCAAGATTAGAGACTTAAAACAAGAAAACAGAAAGTAGTATTTTTCTAAAGAAGTATGTCACATAAAAAGCTGGTCCTTCTTTCATCAACTTGTGGAGAGAGTTTGGCCACCTGTGCCGACAGGCAATGAAACTTAACTTCTAAACAAGGGTGTACAGCCCTTGACCAAGTGCAGGAGAATAGCTGGAGTCAGTCATGGTTATTAGACAGCTTACTTCTCCCATCTCAAGTGGACATATTTTCTTGTGATGCCATTTTTCTACCACTATTGAGATTAAACAATTTTCAGTAAGCCAGACTGTTTGGTACCTTGCTCTTTTTAAACGGGATGCATGGTTTTCACAAGTTCATTCTCTAATATAAATGTAATATCTTCTTAATTCTATGTACGTTGAACATTATGAAAGAAAATGATCTATAACTGAAGCCTAAGATTCACTTCTTCACAAAGCACCACCTCTTAGAGAATCAGGAATAGTCTATTCTTGTGCCCTCAGAATATATGACTTAGCTCTTGTAGGTCAAGAGTACGATTTCATAATTAAAAACCCACCCTGGGCTTCCCTGGTTGCGCAGTGGTTGAGAGTCTGCCTGCCGACGCAGGGGACACGGGTTTGTGCCCCGGTCCGGGAAGATCCCACATGCCGCGGAGCGGCTGGGCTCGTGAGCCATGGCTGCTGAGCCTGCGCGTCCGGAGCCTGTGCTCCGCAACGGGAGAGGCCACAACAGTGAGAGGCCCGCGTACCGCAAAAAACAAAACCAAACAAAACCAAACAAAAAAAACCCACCCTGAATCAAAAATTATTTGTTGACATCATGGGACATGGAAGTACATAAAATAGTAATGCATTCTTTACAGTTTTTAACCTAAACTTTGAAACTGTTGAAAGATGTGAATTGGAAAATTCAGAAAAATAATCCATACCTCAGGCTGACCCAGGGTGATGAATAAAGCTCGAATTTCCTTGAGTATTAAAACAGACAGTTTGCGTGTGGCCACCTGGAAACTGCAGAGTAAAACCAGAGCAAAGCCTTCCACGGCATGGAGTACACTGCAGTGGGGACCTCGCTCCGAATGGATTCGGTGGCTGGAGCCATTGGCAATGAGCTATTGTGCAATAAGAACAACATTCTATGTTCAGAAAAACAACAGTGGAAGAAGCAGCCACTCTTCTATGTACATCTTCTGGCATGTTTGACCTTGTAATACTAAAATAAATTATACCAGCTTAGAACCACACATGTCTATGAATTCATTATTATTCATGAAATATCATAGATCCCTTTTTATTTTCAGACCAACTGTCACTTTGGAATACCATCAGCCCTCTGTTACCTCTGATAAGGAATAACTTTTCAAAGGTTATTAGCAGGAAAAAAAACAAAACTGCTTCCATCCGTACCATTTGAGATGACACTGTATATTTAATTAAAGTGTCCTAATTTGGCTTTACTTAAATTCTCTATAGAGAATTCTCTATTTTAGTTACTACTAAATTGAATTTTCAAACATTGATTTGCTAATCAGACTTCTTTTCATGTTAGATTTTAATCCGGGTTTTGCATGTTAATGAGATGGGTTCCGAAAGTTCCCAAACCAAATGAGTCTCAAACAAAAGCACGCCAGACAACAGGGCAGATTCCACCTCCGTTTCAGTCTCCCTTTTTCAAGCATAGTAACCCTTGTTTTCCTCCCTGTCATCTTTTGGCAAGTGTAGGACACAAGGAAGGAGTAATGCCCTGAAGCTCATCTCTGAGGTTAGCCCATCTGGGACCCTAAATGCTATCATACTTCCCAAGCCTCGACATTCCTCAGACCCTCAGCTAAGCTCTTCTCCAGCCAGACCCCTTCTCTGTCTGCTCATTGCCAACACCAAGTCACACAGCCCTGGTTCTCATTTGACAACACTCCTCCTCAACCTGCTCTTCAAAATGGTATCATTAATTTTTACCATTCAGGACTGAGGCAGGAAAGAATAAAGAAACCACAAGACTTCTTTCTTCTCTGGATATTGGAGAAAGCAACCAATTTGTTGCTGACTAGGGGGAAAACACTGGTGGGCAGCTAACTTTTATATATCCATATCCAACTCTATATCCATATTCATATCTATATCTATATCTGCTCTAGAGTCATATCCAGATCTAGATCCATATCCATATTCATATCCAAATCTAGATACACATCCACATCCAGCTCTAGATCCATATCCATTTCCAGCTTTATATCCACATCCATATCTAGATCCATATTCATACCCAGCTCTATATCTCTTCCCTATGGTCATTTGCTCTTACAAATAGATTTATAATCATGATTCTCTGAAAAAAACATCCTTTTCTGCTCCATAAATGGCCTTGCTAATGTTAATAAATCTAACCCGAGGTGGCATACGATGCCCTGAATTTCTTGGCCACAATTTAAGCAGATGGAAAAACTTAGGGCCATCTCTAGGTAGCTGAAAGTAAGAACCACAGGGTTCTCTGGGCTGCAACTTATTTATATATGTGCAACATAAAGAATATAAATTAGTGGGCAAAGGGTGAAAATCACCTCTGAATTTCTGATCTTGTTGGCTTGTTCGTAGACTTTTCCTTGAGTTTGTATGACCAGTTTCCACTGGGTGAGGAGCTGCAGCAGTAACTTGAGGGATGAATCAAGGAGTGTGTGATGCATGTCATTCACTTCCCGGAGCAGGAAGTTGGTAAAGCCAAATAGGACATCTTCCCTCCAGTCTGAGAAGTCAACAAGTAAACCCTGAAGAGAATTTTGTGCAATATGTCGCAGTTCATCGTCCATGTGAATAGAGAGCCTGTGAGATGAATAAAGACAATGAAGTCATTTACTTTATCAGTTTTTCTTCTATATCTGTAAAGGAACATATATAAGGCCAGAGCCTTTTACTGTATCTGAAAAATGGGTCACTCTCCCCTAATATATTATTATAATTTTCACTCAGCTCCCCTAATGTTAACATCTTATATAACCATGGTACGTGATCAAAACTGAGAAGTTAACATCGGTACAATGCTATTAACTAAAATACAGATTTTATTCAGATTTCACCAGTGTTCCATCAATGTCCTTCCTGTTTCGGAATGCAATCCGAGATACCATGTTGCACTTAGCTGTACGTGAATCCTTTTTAATACATTACTGACTACAGAATAAATTAGTATCAAACTTTACCACTTTTAAGGATGGTCCTGGAGAAACTAAGGGACTCATCCAGAAGTTCAGTGAAAATGACTAATTAAAAGTTAGGCCAGTTGTCCTCAATTGGTTTGGCCCCCACGAAGGGAGTTTTGGTAACGTCTACAAACATTATTGGTTGTCACAACTTGGAGTGTGCTCCTGGTATCTATGTAGTAGGTAGAAGCCAGGGATGCTGTTAAACATCCTACAATGCACATGACAACTCCGATGACAAAGAATTCTCTGACCTAAAATGCTGACAGTGGCAAAGTTGGGAAATCCTGAGTTTGTCAACTGAAATAATATCAGTGTATTTATGGTTTAAGCCAGAACATCATAATAATATTATTAAATAAATATCAACATTGGTATGGAGCGTTTATAGTTAACATCATGCTTTATAGATTCATTCATTCACTTATTTAATAAACAAATGTTTTTGAGGTCCTCCTAAGATTCAGGCCCTCCTAAGATTCAGGATATGGAGTACGGTATGGCTGTGTTTACTGGGTAGGGTGTTAGCAAGAGCGAGGTATGAGACAGTCCTGGAGAGAGAGCAGGAGTGGCTTGCTGGAGGGTCTGTGGGCCACCCAAGGAGGCAACACAGCAGGAAGAGGTTAAGTGTGAGTGCTCTGGGATCAGAATGCCTGATCATGCATTAGCTATGTGACCTCATGCCACTTACTTAACCTCTCTAAGCCTCAGAGCCTCATTTGGAACATGGGGAAAATAGCTGTACTTGTATCTCATAAACCTGTTGTGAGGTTCATTGAGATGATCTATGAACAGCGTTTAGTACCACAAGGAGCATGCAGTAGGCACTCAGTACAGGTTAGCTCTTACTATGAGAAGAAAATGAACTGTATTCAGAAAGTTACAGGGGAAGTAACATGATTAGATTCACATCTGAGAAAAGAAAGTTAGGCAGCAACATGCAGGATGCCTTGGAGGAGTCACAGGACTGAGGGCAGAGACCAGCTGGGAGGTCACTGCAGTGACTCAGGCACCAAGTGGCGGGGGCCTGACCCAAGGCAGAGAAGTAGTAAGGAAGGGAGAGATGGAGAGCAAAGATACCCAGGAGACAGAATTTCCAGGACTCAGCATCCTGGAATTGTTCAGTGTCAAAGAAGAAGCTGGCCAAGTCAACCGGGGCCCCCATTAAATAGGACAAACGAAGTATCTTCAACCAACAGAAAAAGAAACTGTGAACCAGAGTGGTTAAGGAATTTCCTCAAAGTCCAGGATTCCAACCCAGAACTTCTCATCTTTAATCCAAAGTTTTCTCCATAAAACAGGTCTGATACACTTACATATTTTTGAATAGGTAGTATTTCAAAAACTTGATACTGAATACCCTTCTTATTCTCTAGAGTATAAAGTACACTAATTGGTCCAAATTTGACAATATAAACCAGACAAAAGCTCATTAATGAGCAGATATATACCAAGTCAGGGAAGATATATTTTCTGTTCCAAAAGCAAGTTAAGCTCTACAAAACTGCTGAGAAGGAAGAGCTGAGCTAATTCTTCAGGGCAGACTTGCTATTAAGTCTATAGTTGTTAAGTAGGTCATAGTTGCTGAAATAACACACAGAGGTCTTTAACCTGGGCTTCTAGTTAAGGACTAAGGCAGGAATTTACAAATTTTCTTTGTATTTTAATCAGCAGCTCCATTTTTTTTTTTTCAAAAAATTTTATGTAGAGCTCTAGTATATAGTACAACCGAGTTGTGGGACTTCCCTGGTGGCACAGTGGTTAGGAATCCACCTGCCAATGCAGGGGACAGGGGTTCGAGCCCTGGTCCTGGACGATCCCACATGCCGCGGAGAAACTGAGGCCGTGTGCCTAGAGCCCATGCTCCGCAACAAGAGAAGCCACCGCAATGACGCCCGCACACTGCAACAAAGAGTAGCCCCCGCTCGCCGCAACTAGAGAAAGCCTGCACGCAGCAACAAAGACCCAACATGGCCATAAGTAAATAAATAAATTTATTTATTTATTAAAAAGAAAAAACCGAGTTGTTCTGGTTGAAGCTGGGTAAAGGACCTGAAGCCCCCCATGTGAGAGGAAACATTCCTTCAATCTACAAGCAGCTTCCAGCCACCTTTGCAGCCCATGGTTTGAAAACACTAATTTATGGAAAACACTTGAGGTCATGTTTCCATCTTAAGTTTATTGTTCCAATTTATTACATTTACACCTGTCTATAGTCCTGAATGTCTCAGAGAATAAGCTTCTGCAGATGACAGACCACCTTTTAAGGACAGGAACAGGAGGCACTCAGCAAATGTCAACTGATGGTAATGGTATTGTTCATTGTTACGGGTTGTGTCTCCTCCCAAATTCACATGTTGAAATCCAAACACTCAGCACCTGAGAATATTACATTATTTGGATATAAGGTCATTGCAGATGCAATTAGCTAAATTAGGATGAGGTCATGCTGGAGTAGGGTAAAATCCATATGTCTGGTGTCCTTATAAGAAGGGGAGATGTGGAGACAGACGCACACAGGGAGAACACCATGTAAAGATAAAGGCAGAGATCAGGGTGATGCTTCTATGAACCAAGGAAGGCCAAACTATGCCAGAAACCCCCAGAAGCTAGGAGAGAGGCATAAAATAGATTCTCTCTCACAGCCTCAGAAGAAAGCAACCCTGATGACTTCTAGCCTGTGGAACTGTGAGACAATAAATTTCTGTTATTTAAGCCACCCTGTTTGTGCTACTTTATTACACACATGAAACTAGGCAAGCACATATCTTTAGGGTCAAAAGTCAAAATAAAAACCATGCCATGGCCTATTTAGATGAAGCTTTTAAAGAAGGGCCAATACTTTCAGATTTCCAATGAGATTAATTCTACTCTTCGTCTAAGTTTGGCATCATTCGCAATTTGCAATCTGGAAGCTGCCTTAACTTTAAACCAACAGTGCAGGATCATTTTAAGGACTCTGAGACCCCAAGGTGGTGCAGCTCTTGCTATTTTTGGTGACACTCCTCTTGAAATCATGGTATTCACATGCCTCACCAGTGAGAACACTCAAAAATATTCCTGGAGTACGAAGAGACAGGACCAGGGAGGGGAGGGAGCTTTGGGAATAAAAGGCCCAGTTGATAATAAACGTGGAATATTTGTGGAAGAAAAAGGTCCAGTGTCACAGAACTGAGATGGAGTGAAAATAACGTATCAAGGCAAGTCTGAGTGGCAACAGGCGAGGGAGAAGAAGAAGTTGCGAGAAGAGCCAGAGCCCCGCCCCCGTGTCATTCCTTGGAGAGTCTAAGTAGGGAGCTGCCTATCAGATACAGTCGCCGTTTCTTCCACCCAGATCTTCCTCATTTTTACTTTTGTTAGATTTTAACCAGATAATCACAGATCATCTTGTGAAGCGCATGGGATTTAACATTATAAAACAGAAAACAGGAAAAAAAATTTTGGTTAATGAAAAAGGAAAAGAAGATTCAGTTAAAGGAGAAAGATGCTCAGCCATCCTGAGGATGCAGGATGTGCAGGGAAGCTGCATGATGCTGGCCGACCTATTTACAGTCTCACAATGCCTGCTGGTCCAGCAAGCAAGGAGTGGCTGAGGAGAGGACATCCGCCAAACTCCCGCAGGGTCATCCCACTGAGAAGCCAGAAAAGAAAGGCCAGGTTCTTGCCTGTGAACAACTGTGATGACAATAAACAACAGTCCTGTGAGAGTCTGGTGGCAGCAATTCAAAGAGAAGAGAGACGTTCAGAGAAGGCAGCTCAGGAAGTCTGACTAGGTTGGGGGATCCGAGGAAAAATTTCTAAGACACTGATCTGGTTTCCAGGAGCTTATAATGGGGTCACGGGTATATGGTTACACACAAAACCACCAAGGGGGCCTGAAGGGACTCCACCGTGACACAGCAGTGATGCATCCCAAAAGAAACCGTTATTGCCAACATCAACTGCATCTGTCCTTCCCCAGCAGCCGCCATGAGGCTCATGGACCAGCCTGGCCTGATTAACCAGGTGGCGACATTCTGCATGAGCCAACAGTCCCGAGGCCCTGCTTGGAGTGATCTAGGACAGGGGTGTGGTGTGAGGAGCACTTACACTAAGTAAGGATGTGGGTAAAAGGGGGAAAACCCAGAACTTGAGCAAGGCCGCCTTCTTGGTTGGTCAGATCAGACAAACGACTGAACAGAAACACTTTCGTAAAGGTGAGCTCAGGTTCAGAGGGAATCAGCTCAGTCGCTTTGAAGAATTTTGTTGCTAGAGGTGCATGAAGGAAAAGGGAGTGACTTCAAATTCACAAACTATACCCAGAAGAAAAGATCCATTAGGAGGAACAGCCTCCTCTCAGCTCTGGCAGGACTGACACAAGGTTATCAGGCAGCGGTGAGGGACCTGCTGCCCCATAACGTCACCAAGGGCAGCAGAGGAAGAAATGGTTTAGAAGTGAAGCCCTGGAGACAAAGGTTTCCAAAAGGAGGGACTTGCTGACCAGTGGACTGTTAACCTCTGGCATGTTCACCAGAAGTGGCGGAAACTTCTTCTCTAAGGTATTAAAGAATGAACTCCCGGTACTTCCCTGGTGGTCCAGTGGTTAAGACTCCGTGCTCCTTGTGACCACCTAGAGGGGTGGGA